CCGGGAGCACGGTGGTGCGGCACGGGAGGTCAAGCGGTGTGTGGGCTCCTATATGTAGTAAAATGCAGTAAAATAACGGAGGGGGGGTCATCAACCATCCGTGTTCTTAGCTAGCGCGGCGTATTCCTCGCTGAAGTCACTGGCGTCTATTCGTATCAGTGTTGTCGAGGAACAGGAGGGAATTGGTGTGCTGTCTCGTGAGCTTTTGACCACCCAGAAGCAGAGCTTTTTCGACGGACAAGATCAATGGTGCTAGCGCTCACCTATAGAAACCGTGTGCACGCATTGGTTGGAATTTCATATCTACGGGTACCGCGTTTTGTGAGGACACCACACTGGCCTAGGTAGCGAGGCGAGCGACGTTCAGGCACCGTTTGCCATCATTTCTGTTGCAGAAGAACTTGCAAAAGTAAGTTACTATAGAACTGCAAAAGAAATGCCCTCGTACTAGGTAGTCACTAAATCAAGAACTACTATAATTCGGAGTGCTTATCGAGGGTTGAAGTTGAAGCTAATAAGCCGATCAGCATTGGCTCAATCCAAAGGTCACACGGAGTGGTATCAGCCTGGATACAGCCATCAAGCTTCGCGCAACACACAGCTTTTCGCGCGCTTTTCCAACTTGCGCTTTGAGTTCGCGCAACACGCAGATTTTCGCCCGTGGGTTCGCTCTGGTATCTACGCCAATCAGCGCCCCCATCGTTTGAATTTGCGACGTGTAATTGGCCAGTCATTTCGCGGCCAATCACGCTCGCGCTGCGATCCGTGCCAGAAGATCGTTTCCGCGCGCTCAATCCCAAACCTTATTTCCGAAATCGCCAGCTACTGCTCCAGCGCGCTTCTCCAACTATGCCGTCGCCTGGCTCGCATCGACCGTCGCCGCCAAGGCCGCCACCAAGCTGCTGATCCTTACTCTGGCCGCCGCTATGCTCGCCGTGCTGCTCTCGCCCGTGCCGTCGCCATGCTCACCATCTCGCCATGCTGCTGTCGCTGTGCCGGCCGCCGCTATGCCCGCCGCGCTGCGCTCGCTGTGCCGGCTGCCGCTATGCTCGCCGCGACACTGTGGCCGGGCTCACCGGAATGCTACCTGACGGTCGCCCGTGCCGCCGCCGTGCTCACCATCTCGCCATGCTGCTGTCGCTGTGCCGGCCGCCGCTATGCCCGCCGCGCTGCGCTCGCTGTGCCGGCTGCCGCTATACTCGCCGCGACACTGTGGCCGGGCTCACCGGAATGCTACCTGACGGTCGCCCGTGCCGCCGCCGTGCTCACCATCTCGCCATGCTGCTGTCGCTGTGCCGGCCGCCGCAATGTCCGCCGCGCTGCGCTCGCTGTGCCGGCCGCCGCTATGCTCGCCGCGCTGCGCTCGCTGTGCCGGCTGCCGCTATGCTCGTCATGCTGCTCTCGCTGTCCCCGCTACCACTACGCTCGCCGTGACGCTGGCCGGGCTCGCTGAAATGCTGGCCGACGGTCGCTCACACCGCTGAGATCGTCCAGGAGCGCAACTGGTCCGGCCAAGAAGTCGATGTTGACTATCCCAGCTCAATGCTGACTTATGTTATGTGTGTTCACACATGGTCGGTGACATGGTGTGGTCAACATCAGAAGCAGCGGAATCTTGGAGGTTCGACGACATCCGACGTGTGAGAAATTGAGTTCAAAGCCCGACAACTCGTTGACGACTACCGGGCGTATTGGGAGGACTGCCGCGCGTATATGCAGTACCCGCCTCGGCTCTTCGTGATCATGAGAGGCCTCCCGGGCAGTGGCAAGACAACGTTTGCTCAAGAGGTCGCTCGTTATGCAGCAACAGTTGATTTCCGCGCATCGATTTGCTCAGATGACCTCTTCTTCCAGCTCATATGTGTTCGACGCAAGTCGGCTTTGGGAGGCGCATCTACGAACAATGCAGAGAACTCCTGTGGCGCAGCCCCGACCGTGGCGTGGATATCATTATCGTCGACAACTGCAACCTTCGGATGGATGATTTTGAGCGCTATCAGGATCTGCACATTCCCTCGGACAAGCTTGCGGTTGCTGCGTTCGAATGCCCCCCCCCCCCCCTGCCATAGCGGAAGCAACACAGCTCTTGGAAGGAGCTAATCGTGTTGGCCACGCTATCCCTGGTCGCACTTTCGTGGAGTACTTCAACATCTGGAGACACAACGCACCGGAGGAGCCGCGCCCCAACAACGAGGTGGACACCGTCGATGAGCTGCACATCGATAACGAGCTGACCACCGTCAATATGCCGCGCGCCTACATCGTCACGCTGGAAGAGTTTATGCGTGATCACTAACGTGCTCCGGCAATGCCGAAGAGGTGACTGGTAGCTTCAGTAAATCTCTAATTTGACGTATCCACTCTTGTGCTGGCGCTTATCTCACCACTTCTGCATCTTTTTGTAAAGACGACCATGTGCATCTATTCGTACATCTCTCATTGAGTCACCAAGTCGACTACGACTTGGAACGTGTCTACGCTGGCTTAGACACTTGTTACTGAAGCCAGCTCAACAACGACTTATACCAAGTCAACGTTGACTTACAGTCCTCTTGATTCTAAATCGAATTGGTCCACATCAATTTATTTCAACTGTAGGATTTGCGGTTTCACTTTCTCAAAGAACCTTGACTGCAGCAAAGTGCTGATGGCGATGCTGATGGCGAAGCGATCTCAGGCTGCAGAGAGCGAGGGAACTGCTGGCGGTGCTGCTCGCCAGGCGCCCATGACGAGGAGCAAGAAAGCTGCAAAGGCGACGGACAAGCCAGCGACAAAGCGGACGAGCGCGCCCACTGACAAGCCAGCAAACGCTGCCAAGACCACGCCTGCCACCGGCAATGCCAAGCAGAAGCGGAAGAAGGGGGAGGGGCCAGACACTTCGCCAAGCCTCCGTAAGCAGAGGAAGACTGCCAAGAAGACTGGCGAAGGATCCAACGGGACGACGCGCGAGTTGGGCGCCGCGAGTGCATCGGAGGACGAGGCGACGGCTCGCGATGAAGAGACGACTCCCCTGGTACCCAAGCATGCGCACCGGTCCACGTGCTTGGCTCTACAAAAGAAGACCGCAGACGAAAAGGGCGAGCACCGGCAAGGCCCACGGCGCAAGGCAGGTGATTTCTACAAAATGGCAGACTACCAGAAGCGTGTGTGGGCGGAGAAATACACAGCTGCTAGGAACAGCGGCAACGACTTGGACTACGAGGCTTTGAGCAAGTTGACTCAATTCAAGGCGTTCAAAAATAACCCAGAAGAGCTCCAGCGTCACGAGCCCGCGCTGCTGAAAGAGTTCTACGAGGTTTACTTAGCGGACCAAGCCCTGAAAGCAGACGCACACTCGCAGACCGCTGGATCGGGTTCGTCGAAGCGATCGCAACGTGGCGGAGCCGAGCACCTGGCGATCGAGCAATGCGACATCCAGGCGGCTCAGCAGCTTGCCGCAGCCAGAAACCAAGCATCGCTAGCGTCAGACCAAGCTCCAGGGCCTCCAATCTCGCAGACACCCGTGGCCGCGCAGGAGGAAGGTGCCCCAGCTCGGAGCCTGCAAACCCACCCTTTCCGAGGGGAGTATGCGAATTTTGAACTCTCTGTTTCGCAAGCACTGCAGCAGTTCCGAGAGAAGCTAGAGGAGGAGCAAGCGCGCTCAAGGAAATTAGAGGAGCAGTTAGCAGCCGCTGAAATCGAGCTGACCGAACTCAGGAATTTTGATCTCCCAGACGACAATTTAACTATCGCGTTGACGAAGGAGTTGCGGAATTCGATTTTACAACTAGCCGAGGAGAAGGCGATTTCAAGTGGCTTGCGCAACAAACTTGCCCATGTGGAAACTGAGTTGAATTTGTCGAAGCAATCCGTCACCACGCACGCAGACAATCTACTTAAGGCGCAGGCTAGCCAACTCCAGGATGTGCACGAAAACATGAACAACCTCACGAGAGAGGTGGACGAGCGCAAGAAAAAACTGGAGGACCGGGAGAACGAGGTGGCTACGCGAGAGAAGAATATGGAGAACGAGGAGGAAGAACTACAAGTCAAAGCCGAGGAGCTGCAATCTCATGAGGCCAAGCTCAAAGAGGAGGGCCGGCGTCTCCAGAACGTAACGCATCGCCTGCAACGGGAGCGGGAGCAGTTGGACGCGGATAAAAAGAAACGAGAGAAGCCGAGTCGAGAAAAGCAACAAGGAGGCCGAATATCGCTGAGGCAGGCGAAGATTTTGAATGAAATGAAGCGCCAGACCCGGCTCCTGGATGAGCAGTTCAAGAACAACGGGTGCCCAGCTGCGTTTAAAGAGCTCGAAGCCAACCGCAACCGAATCGAGGAAGAAATGGCGGCGATGCAAGCAGAACGGGATGGAGTGAGAACGCAGTTGGAATCGATGAAGGCTGCGCTAGAGGCGGTGAAAACGGAGAACAGCGGGTTGCAAGACACCATCGCGAGGCTAGAGCTGTACTTGAGTATGTTCAAGTATAGCGCGGTGACCAAGGAAGCTATCGGAGAGTTCACAGAATGGAACGCCGAGATCCGAAATGGTATGCCGCTTGAGTTTCTGCTTCAGTGTGGTTTGACATTGTATTGACTTCCATTGTCTCTGGACTGAAAAAATGTAGGTAACACGAGCACAATGCAGAAGAAGCGCGACTTCATTCTGGACAAAATGAAGGAGGCGTTTGGATCGAAAACGGCGGACGCTGAAGAGTTCAAGGTGCTTGCGGTCGAGTTCTGGGAGAAAAGAAATGAGTTGGTCCACGACAAGACATGGACCGTCATCCACTCGATGGACCACGGCAGATACGCGTATGTATGCACGGAGATTATGGAAGCATTGGGCCTGTTGGAGAAAACCATTAATCCTTAGTCTGCTGTAGTTGTGTGTGCTGCTGCGTAACGATGAATGAATACACATTTTCAAGTCACCGAGGACTCAGAGCGAGTCAACTTTGACTCGAATACGCTTGTTTTATTGATCGCGAAGTCAACATGGACTTAAACCAAGTCGACATTGACTCAAACGTACTAGTTTCAGTAATAGCGAAGTCAACGTCGACTCTGAACGAGTCTACATTGACTCGGTCGACAGCGACCCAACGTTGACTTACAAATCTAAAAAATAAACTCGGTTTCAGTATGAACCCCCAAAGGGTCGTTTACTTGAGTTTGTATAGACAGTATCCGAAGCGAAAAATGGCCGGCTTTTCAGATGAAGAGGATCGCCAACTCGTTCAGCTCGCGGCGGTGTACGAGCAAGCGGGAAGACGAATCGACTGGGTGTCAGTGGAGAAAGACATGAGGCCGTCAACATGGAGCGCAACCAAACTGCAACAGTGAATCAAGACGCTCAAGAGACGATATGGCAATATCGTGCTGAGTTTCCCCCCACGCTATTTCCGCCCGCCGCCAGACCGAGCAGGACTGCATTTGGAAGCCAAAGTCGCGTCTCCTCTACGGTTTTCGCCTTCACCGCATACCATTTCGATCCTATCACCGCAAGAAACCTACAACGCCACTGAAGGACTATTCTGCCTACTCACCAGGCGTGATGTGCGCGCGAGTGAACGTCAGCTAAATAACGGGGAGATTACAATGGCTGGGGTGTCCATGCTGATCGAAGAAGCGAATATTCAAGTGAATGACGTGTTTCTGGATGCTGGATCCGGCGTGGGAAATGTTCTCGCTCGAATCGCTCTGCAAACGCAAGCATTTCGTGTGGTTGGTATTGAGATCCAACGTGACCTGGCCGCTAGAGGTATGGAGCTGATTGCGTCAAGGGCATCACGCTTTCCACACTTGCTCAAGATCAGCGTCGTCACCGCAGACATCCGCAATATTGCTGAAGGCAGCGATACTATTATCAGTGCTGATCCAGACTCGAAGTTGGCTCAACCCAGCTCCCTTATCAGCTCCGCCACCCTTTTATTTTGCCACGACACTGTGTTCGAAGAAGATGTGGTTTTGGCAATGCGTGCTTTGTGCATGAAGCTACCTCATCTACGTCTGGTGGCGCTGGCAACACGAGTGTGTCCGCGGCATCGTAATACGTGCCGAAATTCGTTTTGCAAGCGATGGAAGTTACTGAAAACAATTCAGGTTCCGATGACTTACAGCAGCTCCTTTCGGGATTTACACCTGTACGCAGCTGAACCAAGATGGTCGATGCAGTAACTACGATCACTACTCTAACATTGCCGCCGAGGGTCAAACCAACAACTATGTATTAATTGCATGAAAATCAATCACAACTCTAATCAACTTCGACCTGCAGTTGAGTTTGACAGCATAATGAAGCCGCTGTCGCCCCATGAGCTGTCATACGAGGTCTAGAGAACCCAATACAAGATGAAGTGTTCGTAGCGGACGAGCTTACTCGAGTCGACGTACGGCATCGTGGGCTCCGTAACCAGACCCCAGCTGACCATGAAGACTCCATGCTTCAAGCCGCCGTTGTATCTGTCGTTCTTGGAGTCTTGCCACACCCCGCTGTCCCTGTCGTGCTCTTGGCGTCCTCCCTGCCGCTTGTTTCCACCGTCGTGCCTTCGGCATCGCGCTTGGACATTCGCTGTGGAGTCGACTCGCGTTAGGGTGAAGTGTCAGCACCCGCATGGTTTCAGCGGTGGGGGCACGTAGCTTAGGTGGGCGCAGATGCGCAAGATCGCCTCCTTGCTACACTCCTGCCGGGAGTAGGCGGTGAACAGCTCGTTCTGAATGTAATACGCCTGTCGACAACAACACCACCAGCATGAGCCCCTAGTTATGAACACCAAAGCTGCCAAGACGCCGCCTTACCTTGTGGGGGTTGAAGATGGTGTCCAGTTCGCACACCTACCGAGTCCACAACATCTCTCAGCGTCAGGCTCCGTTCTGCTAAAGCTCCAGTAGCCCTGACGCCTCACGTACATTGCCGAAGTAGCGGTCGGGCTCCTCCACGAACAGGAGCGTCCAGGTCTCGGTCGAAACAACTCGGTCTTCGCAGTGGCACCGGCAGAGCCGTACTCGTAGCTCCTCGACCAGCGTACCTCGCGCGTGTGAAGGCATCTATAGAAGGCAATGATACAAGGGAAAAGAAAGTTAACATTAGTGAGCGGTGCAGCCTATCAACTCAGAATTTTACCATAGCGGAGAAGCGCTAATCCTTCGCGGGCACCTGGCAATCTGCGGGTGTAAATGCTTGTGCGGTGGCCAATGGTGGCGCGGAAGCCCGGCACCCATGCCCATCTACCTTTCAAGGTGAGAATTCCGCAAACAGATCGCATTGGCCAAAACGCTCTCGGCGGGACCTTGAAGAGTCGCAGTTACCCTAACCACATGTATGGCTTGAACCGACACTTTCCCCCGAGGTTTTTCTTATCCCAGCAAAACCGGAATAACGGTCGCCGGTGGGATAAGGCCCTCCTGGTGGCGAAAGGGTTTAAGCAGAAGTTCGGCGTGGACTTCTTCGAGACGTACTCGCCCGTGGCCAACATGAACTCGATCCGAGTGGTGTTGTCGGTTGTGGTGGCCGAGGCGTACATCACTGAGCAGCTGGATGCGGACACCGCCTTTCTCAACAGCCGCCTGGTGGAGCGCGTCTACATGGAGGTGCCCTATGGAATCATCAACGCGAAGAACATGATGTATCGGCTGCAGAAAGCGACCTATGGTCTGAAGCAGGCGGCAAATGCCTGGCATAACACCATCCACCGAGTCTTCGTGGGCATCGGGTTTCGGAGCTACGGCGGTGACCAGTGCGTTTACGTCAAGGGCGAGAAGGGCAGGTTCGTGTAAGTCTGCCTGTACGTGGACTATATGACCATCGCAGCCAAGACGTGCAGCGAGATCCAGGAAGTCAAGGTGGCGCTCAAGAATGCGTTTAAGATGAAGGAGGTGGGCGAGGCCAAGTTCATTCTCGGTATGGAGATCGACCATGACTCATCGGCGAAGACTCTCATGATCAAGCAGACTCGATACATTGATGATGTGGGGAAGCGGTTCAACCAGCAGGACGCCAAGGTGGTGGTGAACCCGTGCGAGTCGGGCATGAAGTTGTCGAAGCCTCAGTCGACGACGACTCAGAAGGAACGCGAGGAAATGCAGGCGAAGCCCTACCGAGCACTCATTGGCTGTTTGTTGTACATTACAACTTGCACCAGACCTGATGTGGCGTACATCGTGACCCACTTGTCACGCTTCCTCGAGAACCCCGGGCAGCAGCACTGGAAGTCTGCCATCCGCGTGCTCAGGTACCTGAAGAGCACCCGAGACATCGGCATCGCCTGCAATGGGAACGCGAAGAAGGTCGAGGTGACGGCGTACACCGCCGCCGACTGGGACAGCAATCTCGACGACCGACGCTCGGTCTGGGGCATCATGGTAATGATTAGCGGGGCGCCGGTGGTCTTCAAGTCGAAATACCAGCGCACGGTGGCGCTCAGCTCGGCGGAGGCCGAGTACATGGCGCTGAGCCTGTGCACGCAGGAGGTGCTGTGGACCCGCGCCATGCTCAAGGACATGGGTCACGAGCAAGTGGGGGCTACCCAAGTATGGGAGGACAACCAGGGCGCGATCGCCCTCGCAAGCAACGCTGGGTACAACGCGAGGACCAAGCACGTGGGCATCAAGCATCACTTCATCCGCGAGAATGTGTCCCGAGGACTCATCGTCGTCAACTCCTGCCGACGGAGGATCAGCTCGCGGACATATTAACCAAGGCATTGGGGACAAAGAGGCTCAAGTACCTGATCGACGCAAGCGGAATCGTCGTGACGGTCGTGCAGCATTAGCAGCGAGTGCGAGTGTTCATGAGTCTTCGGGAGCGCCGCCAATAGATGCACATGGACCACATGGACGAGGAGAACGTGTGGACACATCCGCCGATGACTCGGAGGATCCGACGGCGACAGGAGAGCCGGCGGCAGCCGGGCTCTGGGTACACCAATGGCTGGTCAGGGAGACCCATCTATACTGAGATCAAGTCAAGCGGAACCCGGGAGTAATCCGTCTGATGAGAGGCACCAACGAGCACAAGGAGAACTAGTAGGAAAGCAGGAGGGGAAGACTAGAGAGTAGTTTGAGAGATGAAAACATTTAATCTCACTTCGGAATTTGCCCCCTAATCCACAAGCTAATGTACTGGCGAGATGAAATGCACCACCAAACTTTGACGGAGCGTATCTCAGCACCAAATAATCAGAATGATGTGAGCTTTGTTTTGTTGGAAAGCTCTGCGCTTCTTCTTTTAAGTAAACTACGTTTGGACTTTTAGTCGCAGCAAATAAATGAGATATACCTAAATGAAAAATGACTGTCCGCCAGTTTCTCGAAAATATCGAGGCTATGTCTGAGCCATATGGTGCCATATGATTGCTCTTATACAACTTTAGTACTAAATTATTGCGCACTTTCTGTAACGCGATTTATGCACATTATTGCATGACGACGCCACCACAACTGTAACAGGGTTACACGCACAAGTGGCTACAGTCACTTGTAACTCTAACAGACACGACGTCTGTTAGAGGTTCGAAAGACTTTCTCGACCTTGGTGTAGACACACCAAAGGCTACATACATTTACGACCACCACGACGGGTGGTCCATAGAGACTTAGGATTCCTATTGGCTGAGAGCAGCATCTCTTAGCCAATGAGCGACATGCATAGCATTGGAATTCTGCCAACCAGCCGTTGGCAAATTCCTATCTTAGAATATTACATTTAGAGGAAGTCAGAAACATAAAACAAAAATAGCAGTTCTCATTTTAACCCAAAAACATTATTTGGATCGTTTATTTAGATTAATCTATACTCGGAGGCCCGAGTATAATTAACTCTAAGTTAAACTAAGCTACGCTTCCTCACATACACGCGCACACGTGTAAGCTAAAGTAGTGGGCCAAAGTAGGCCTATTACAACAACCGGCGAGACCAACGCGGTTGGCGATCATGAAACTACGTTTGTTTGATGAACCAAAAGCCGAGCTTCACCCTGACGTTTAGCTTTCTCGATCTAGCATCTTCGTTTAGGAAATATGGCAAAAATGTCGTGTGCAGATCAGACAAGCGCGTCTTTCCCGCAGCAGAAATCGCCGGATGATGCCGGTAAAATTAAGAAGTAGGATACTAACACGTGTACACCTACATTCTGCATGTTATGCTGTTTTCATTGCTGATCTTCTTGCCTTTATACGTGAAGTACTTTTGAAATTATGGACAAATGAACATTTTGGTGGTGCATTTCATCTCGCCAGTACAATACAAGCCAACAGTTCCCGGCTAAAAGTGCTGATAAGTTCCCGGCAAAAATGCTGATACATGTCTTTTTTATTTATACTGCGTTGTTAGGGGTGTGGTCGACTTGAGATGAATAATATCAATGCATATTGAGGAATCATTATGTCCGAGAGAGAGAGAGAAAGAGAGAGAGAGAGAGAGAGAGAGAGAGAGAGAGAGAGAGAGAGAGAGAGAGAGCTGCAAACTCGGAAAGGAAGTCACGGAAAGGTCATATTGATGTCAAACCTGACTCAAACCTGATGGTAAAAAATGCTCAACCAAGATATGAAAGTGAAGGAGAGGTATAATCTCCAGCAGAGAGATAAAGTATACTGCCTACGTTCTCACCACTTTCAGGGGTAAGTTGTATGTCATTCCTAATTTGTGGTACACTATACTGAAACAAGTAAAAACCGATTTTGTCCTCCCGTTTGTCCTGGCGACTGGGGTTAACCCCGATTCACGAATCCAAGTTCGTCGACGCATGGTTCGCAATCCAAGCCGCTCACTACGGTGGAAAATACTCCATTGAACGGATGCTGGCTCTGGAAGAATATACCCGTGTGACGTCGTTGACTCGCGTGATATACATCAGCGTTGGCACACCACTAGTTGTCGTCGTGGCGGTACTTCTACAAGAAAGTGTCCCGCTTCAAGACCCGGCAGCAGGTTGGAGGGCGAACTATGGATTTTGGTTTCGCGCGGCAATGACTGGGTTTGCGGTCAGCATTGCGAGCACTGTGCATATGCGGCGATGGATCAACCTCCCTCGGATCCCTACTGTGTACACCCTTCTTTATTGTATCGTTACCGCTGCAGGATACGTCTCAGCTGGAATTGCAGTAGCGGCAATCTGGGTCTTTCCTGTTCCGTTCTATATGTTCACGCTTTGTTGGGTAACTACGATTATTATACTGGCATACATCAGGACTGCCGTGGGCGCTCGCGCTTTTTGGAAAATTTTCGCTCAGCGCGAGCACATTCGCCAAATGAATCGAATTGGGACATTGCACGCGTTGCTGTACGTTGCGTATCCTTTGTATCAAGTGCTTTTCAGTAAGGCGAACCACACCGACTACGAACTGCCCATGCTGCTGCTACTTACAGCCTTTAGACTCGTGGTAAAGAAGGTATTTTCAATGGTGGCTTTGCACAAAGACATGTGATCCCGGTCCTCGTCGTTTTCACTGTCGATTTCTTCGATCCGCTGTATCTTGCGACGTTCATGCAGACTTTGTCGGCGGCAACGCTGGTTGTCTTTGTGATCATTGACATCATTCAGACTGCGGTGGAATTGCAGGAACTTCATCAGCGAACGCGTCGTATCATTGCTCGCACGCGGAGAGTTGCTGGCGGGGTTCCTCTCTGCAGTCTCAACAATGGCAAGTTGCTCGAAGCGGTACGATCGTTGTGCTGCTCTTCTGGGGTACTTCAAACGCAAATTCGAGTCGGTATCAATGGTCGTTCTTTTATCGAGCACCAGCTTTCATCCGAGAACGAGAATTTGTTAAGGAGGCTTGAAAATGCTCGCCAATCGGGGCTACCTCGAAGTTATTTGAACACCAATCGAGTACGATTCGCCTCCAGTCACAGCCAACATCAATAGTGCCGATTCCCATTGATGCAGTAAGCAAAAAAGACCGACGTGCTCACGGCAACACGAGAATTTCGGTACAGCCAGTAAGGACGGAAGCTGTCCTCGACAAAACTGCTTCGAAATACTCGAGCCGTAGGCGATCGGTAGTAGACAGCTCCGTTGTGTTAAAAGAGGCGCTGGAGGTGCTTTTCACCTCAGAGTGTCTCGTGCTGGCCGAGTACGTGGAGGCGATCATTCCTGTCCTGTATGGCGCCTTCATCTTGACGATGGTTCACCAATCCAGCGCGCAGTATCATACGGAAATGAACGGCGTCACTCTGGACAATGTCAGCGACATGGTGTTAAGAATGTTCCTGTACGCCCTCCTGGAGCTTGCATCGTTTATAGCGCTTGCACTGATCACGAAACGCAACTGTGGAGTTAATGCACTCTATCAGCTTGCTTTTTTTGTGCTGGAAATCCACATGATGTTTGTCCAGTCCGCGCTATTGATCGGCGTACTGATGACGTTGACATTTCGTGTCGTACACTTTGGTCAGTACGCATTTCAGTTAAAATATGCAGAAGACACGCCAGCTAACGGACTGAGCTCTTTGGTTTCAGGTTATCCCAGGTATCGACTTTTCATTTCAGTTCGAATGGATTACACAAAGGGCATAACTGAGAAAAACGAGCAAACTGTTAGCCTCCAAAGAGCTTTTCAAGCCTTATGGGCTGCTGTCGAGCTCAACTCTATAACACAGTGATAGAAAACGAAGTTTACAATGGGGTAGCTGACTCAGGAGAATAGCTCTGTACATGCAGTGCCTCAGTGCTGTTGTTTCATAGCTTTTTGAAAGTAGTAGAGCACCTCAGCGGCCGTCGGTCGCTCGTGTGGGTCCACACTCACGCAGCTTTCAGCGAAGAGAACCATGTCCGGGTCCGTGAACCGCGAGAAGCGAACCCGCAGTTTGCCCATCGACATCATCTGCATCATCGCGGCCTCGGACGAACCGCCTTCTTTCGCGTGCGAGTACGGCAGCTCGTGAGTGTCCAGCTCCGACAGCACCACGCCGAACGAGAACACGTCGGCTTTCTCATCGTAGCGACCTCCGACCATCACCTCGGGCGCCATCCACATCCAGCTGCCCACCCCTGCAGTCATCGTCTCATTCGACCGAGTGCGCGATGTCCCAAAGTCCGTGATCTTGGCGTCCAGCGACTCCGTGAGCAAGATGTTGCGCGACTTGAGGTCGCGGTGCAGCACCGCAGGCTCCAGCGAGTGCAGGTACGCGAGCGCGTACGCCACTCGGTACGCGATCTCCACCTTGCCGGCGTCCATTCCCTCCGGGTCTCCGTTCGCACGGTAGTCGTTCAACAGTGACCGCAGGTCGCCTCCGGCCATGAACTCGGTCACGCAGCACAGATCACCGAGCGATTCCCACGCGACGCCCACGAACTGCACGATGCAGGGGTGCTCCATCGTTGCCATGAGTCGGATCTCGGAGAGGAAGGCTTGGATCTGCACGAGGTCCTTGCGTTTGTCCGGCAGCAAGGTTTTAACGGCCACGTCCTGGTCTCGGTAGCGTCCTCTGTAGACCTCTCCGAAGCCGCCCCGGCCGATCATAGCTCCGAGCTGTACTCGGTCGACGGAGACCCTCGCGGCTACAATGACGGGGTCTTCCCAGAGGTTTATCTTCCCGTCGGGCATTGAGGCTCCGCTCGAGTGCGTCTTTGACGTGAATCTGGTGTTGTCTTCGTGTTCTTCAGGAGAGCGATCGTCGTTCAGAAGCCGCACTTGCTTCCCTCGGACCGGCGGCTCCAAGCCCTCCGAGGTAGATCGTCGTCGTCCTCGGTCTCTGCGTCGAAGTCGCCGCCCAAGGAAGACCGCGAGCAGCACGAGCACGAGCACCACAGCTGCTACGATGATGCCGACCAGTGCTCCGGCGCTCAACCTGCCGGAAGAAGTGGACGAGTTACTACTGGAGCCCGATTGAGAGTCGCTAGTGGCGCTGTCTGCCCCTCCACTGCTGCTAGTTGATGGACCGGGAGAGGGGGTCGTCGAGGTGCTGCCTCCACCCGAGCTGCTACTCGAGCCGGAAGTTGAGGGGCTTGGGGTCGTCGTAGGGGCAGGAGACCTGGTCGTGGAGCCGCCTCCAGACGAACTGGAGCTGGACGGAGGCTTGGAAGACGGAGAAGACGATGACGACGACGATGATGAAGATGGCGAACGACTTGCACTGCTGCTGCTGGAGCCAGAGGTCGAGTCCGACGTGGACGTCGAATTAGCTGCGCAATAGTCGGCCACAGGTGTCAGGAGGTCTGCGTCGAGCTCAAAGGTGCCGATGGAGCACTCGGACGGCTCCACCTGCTTCAACTGCGTCAGCATCGCTTGACAGGCGCTGCTGGAGCACATGCTGGCCATCTCGGCGGTCGTGGGAGATACCAGCGACGTCACCGAGTAGCCCGAGTCGGACGAGCATGTGGACGCGTTCGACGCCGCCAGGACCTCCGCTACAGTCGTGGAATTGCAAGACGCGGCGTCTGCAGCGAGTGCGAGCACAGTGAAGGCCACGGCAAGAGCGGCCAGCAGCATTGTCGGAGATGATGGTCGCGACCACGAGGGAGTGGGAGAAGACTCGGAAGTGAGGCGGCGCCAAAGGCATGGAGCATGGATGCGGTACCCATTTCGTTCAGGTCGGTACTACTAGCGAGACAACTTCAACTAACCTGGTATCCAGTTCGAATGTTTGATCACCTATACTTTGTATATTTTAGTCGTAGTTTTAGTCGCGAATAATGGAATGGTTAATCGTTTTGATGCTGTTTCCTCGTCTTCTGAAAGTGGTAGAGCACCTCAGCGGACGTGGGTCGCTCGTGTGGGTCCACACTCACGCAGCTTTCAGCGAAGAGAACCATGTCCGGGTCCGTGAACCGCGAGAAGCGAACCCGCAGTTTGCCCATCGACATCATCTGCATCATCGCGGCCTCGGACGAACCGCCTTCTTTCGCGTGCGAGTACGGCAGCTCGTGAGTGTCCAGCTCCGACAGCACCACGCCGAACGAGAACACGTCGGCTTTCTCATCGTAGCGACCTCCGACCATCACCTCGGGCGCCATCCACATCCAGCTGCCCACCCCTGCAGTCATCGTCTCATTCGACCGAGTGCGCGATGTCCCAAAGTCCGTGATCTTGGCGTCCAGCGACTCCGTGAGCAAGATGTTGCGCGACTTGAGGTCGCGGTGCAGCACCGCAGGCTCCAGCGAGTGCAGGTACGCGAGCGCGTACGCCACTCGGTACGCGATCTCCACCTTGCCGGCGTCCATTCCCTCCGGGTCTCCGTTCGCACGGTAGTCGTTCAACAGTGACCGCAGGTCGCCTCCGGCCATGAACTCGGTCACGCAGCACAGATCACCGAGCGATTCCCACGCGACGCCCACGAACTGCACGATGCAGGGGTGCTCCATCGTTGCCATGAGTCGGATCTCGGAGAGGAAGGCTTGGATCTGCACGAGGTCCTTGCGTTTGTCCGGCAGCAAGGTTTTAACGGCCACGTCCTGGCCACGTCCTGGTCTCGGTAGCGTCCTCTGTAGACCTCTCCGAAGCCGCCACGACCGATCAACGCACCGAGCTGTACTCGGTCGACGGAGATCCTCGCGGCTACGATGACGGGGTCTTCCCAGGAGTCTGTTTTGGTCGCTCCATTACTACGAATCTCGGTCGTGGAGGAATGTGGTAGGGGCGTCCGCTGCTTATCCTTTTTGACTGTCGGCGGCGAGTGATCATCCTGGACTAGCCGCCTCATCCTGTCACTAGCGGTAGGTTGTACATTTTCTAGGTCGGGGTGAGCAGATCGACGATTCCTTCGTCGACGCCGCACGATGAAGAGCACTGGCAACACCACCGCTGGAGTTACGACGACCCCCACCACAACACCAGCTACCGGGCTCAATCCCTGATGAGCTGCCTGATTCAGACATTCCACTACTCCCTTGGCTTAGCTCTTCAACTCCGCTGCTGGTGGTGGTATTCGTCGATCTTCGACTGCTGCTGCTCGTGGCAGTTGCCGGGACCGACGAGCAGTAGCCGCTTAGCGGGGTGATCAGATTGGCATACAGCGCGAACGTCCCGATTGTGCACTCCGATGGAGAGAGCGCTTTCAGCTGGCCTATCACCGTTTGGCAGGCGGTGCTCGTACACATCAGCGCCATCTCCGAGCCCGATGGGGTGAGGAGCGATGTAATCGAGTAGCCCGAGTCCGAGGTGCACGTGGTTGCGTCCGTCGAGGTCAGGAGCGTCTCGATTGAAGTTGAATCACATGATGCAGCGGCGGTGCCAGTGAACAGCTGAGCTACTACAACAGCAGCAACAGCGACGACAACTCGCATTCTTGGTCACACTGAGAAAACTTGGAAGTGAGGCAATCTACACTATCTTTCCTGTCACCTGTAAGTGTCACTCACCTCTGGTGACTGTATGAATGAGCACTGGTTGCAAATCCTGTTCCCGTCTTACGCTTTCGTGACTGCCAATTGATTACAGTCACTAGCCGAGCGCCGCCACTACGCGGCGGTGAATTTTTTGTTAGTTGGCGCTTCGCTCGCAATGCTCGCTGCGCTATAAGAGCAGGCTGCGTACGCTTCGCTACGGCAGTAGTGGACCCGTTCCGCTCGCCTCGTCGGCTCGCTGCACTACTCCCAATGTCAGGTTAGTAATACAGAGGCCGGGGCGGGTCCTGCGGCCCCGCAATATCGTTGAGGGGGTCGCCTTCGGCGACGGGCCTTCGCTGCGCTCGGCAGCAATTTCAGCCAATAGGAATTCACGTGATCTACTCTCGGACGGACAGCGACACTCTGATTGATTCTTAGGATGGTTTGTCCTGATTCAGGACTCTTGATGAGCCTAAAAATCTTTAGGTACAATTTGATTCCAAAGCTTCGGCCCGCAGGATCTTTCGTCCTTGAGAATACTTACCACCAGCTTGATCCTCAGTCTAATATATGTGTTGTTGTGCATGCACATATTGCAGACCCTAAAGCAGTGTGGCAACATTTATGAAGCCTCCTGTGGCTCATCAAACTTTGATGTCAAAGCGGGTGGCAAGTTGCCTTTTCTGTAGCCATTTCCAATTTGATGTGCTGAACACAATGCTATGTACCATTCGTGTACCGGTGTACGTGTCCCATGACGCGCATTATTGCTCGACACCTGCGGCCATCATGCTGCCTATGATCAAGCTGGGCGGCCTGGTGGCTCGCACGCTGACGAAGCCCCTGGCGCGCGTGGTCAAGTCGCGCTCCAAGGTGCACCCGCTGCTGAACGCCGTGTGCGGGCGGCTGGGCCAGCAGCAGCACGAGCTGAGCATGAAGCTGCACATGGGCTTCCGCGGCATCTCCAACTACACCATCAAGCCGCTGCCGGCGGACCAGGCGGTGGAGCAGGGTGCGGACCTCGTGGGCGAGCTGCTCATCTTCTCGGTGGCGCTGGGCGTGGCGTCGCTCGAGTACTCGCGCTCGGCGGCCAGCGCGCGCGTCAAGGAGGCCAAGCAGCGCGAGCTGCAGCTGCAGGAGGAGCGCGAGGTGGAGGCGCGCTTCGAGTACCTGGAGAGCCAGGTGGTGTGGCTCGAGGACCGAGTGGCGCAGCTCTCGGGCGTGCTGGAGGCTGAGATGGGCGCGCGCGTGGACCAGCTAGTGGCCGAGGCCAACAGACAGAAGGAGGAGGGCGGAAGCAGCGACGCCCAGGCGTCGACCGGCGCCTCGAGACTCGCGCGCAGGAGACAGCAGCGACTTGACCAGAACGTGCATGTTGGCGTCGATTTCGACGAGAAGGTGGCGGCGGAGGCTTCGTCCTCAGTGGCGAAGCTCTGGACTTCGACGTACGACGCAGTGGCGGGGTTGTTCAAGTAAAACTAACTGCACTGCTTGTTGCTTACTGCGGTTTCTTGTGGTTTATTACCGTCCTAACGTCATCAGGGCATCATTCGCTTGGGGGCTTATTCTACCTTACAGGCGTTATCAGCCGATGAAGAGCTCCTGGCTCATCTGGACAGCTGCGGTCTTGAGAGCCGAAGCCAGATCGGCGCGTGCTTGTTCTGCTGGATCAATCGGCGACTGTTTCTCTTGTTGTGACAGCAGTCGTGTGTTGCCGCGTGGGCCCAGCTCGTGGTGTAGCTGAAGAGCGAAGCGGATGCACCGCAGTACGAGTGTGGGGTGCCGGACGTCGGTCGATGCAAACTGGAAGATGTCGAGCCAATTCGAAGCTGTCATCATCCGACACATCGCTGAAGTGGTCACGTGCCAGCACTTTGCTGACCCGATGGTATTAGCAAGGTGGAGAAGTTCTTGCATGCTTGGGAAGCTGTCGAGCTTTGTGAGTGTGCGCACCGCCTCCTGTTGCGTCAACGGGAGGAGGTTTACGCACAGCTGAACGTTCGACGCCTTGAACGCCTTCAGTCTGTCAAGCACAGTAAGACTATTGCCCGCTTGGTCTTGTGGCTGCTCAAGCTTTAACTGGCGGAGCAGGTTACTGTGCTGGCGGAGTAAGAGTGCTCCGATCTCGACGAATTCTCCGTCAGCGCACAGAAGCCGAATCGTTCGGCCCTGCTCGTCCCCGTCATTGGGATCTTCCTCCTGCTGCTCGTCGTTATTGTCACGGCAGAAGACGCTACTGTCTTTCGTGCAGCTCTCGATCTTCAGCGTCGAGCACTTGTCGCTACAGTTTAGGCAGATGGATAGCAACGAGACGGCCAGCCCCGCGTCGTCGTCGGACTGAATTGCCGAGACCAAGGCATCGGTCCGGAAGTCCTGGTCTTCCAGAGCCTCGCGGATAGCTGCGTTGCGCTGCGCCAGGATCTGCATGGTGAGGACGATATTCTTCTGTAGGAGGACGTTGGTCGAGCTCAGGACGGACTGCACACTCGCGGCCACGACGCCCGACTGCCACGCCACCTCTTCCGTCACCCAGTTCAGGAGACTGCGGCAACTCGCAGCCACCGCAGCCTGTGCTGGGGTCTTCTTGGCTCCGCTGCACGCCGACAAGAGCGCCCGGTAGATAATGACACAGCCCTGCTCGATGACTGCACGCAGGATGTCGCTAGGTGGCGAGTGCCGAATGATCAGCTCCAGGGTCGTGGCTGCCGTTGCTGCAATGTGCGGGGCGCTGTGGTTTAGCAGCCACGAGATCGATATGAGGATTCCTGACAGACGAACGGCACTGCTTAGTGCGCTGGATGAAGCGTCATCGAGGACAAGCAGAGAGCAGAGCAAGCGCAGAGCTGCGTCCTGGACGCCCGAGTCAACGCTCGCGATCCCCCGAGTGCAGACCTGAAGCATTGCAACTGTGTCGTCAAAGACAGGTGATCGAGCACCTCGCCGCTGAGACTCGTCAGGACGCGCCACCGTTGCCGCTGAAACGAGCAGCTCGAGGTAGATGTGGTCGCAAGGGTGTAGCTTTACGCTTGTTGGTTTGGCCAGCTTGAGAGCAACAGGATGCGTCGTTGGGACTGAAGCTGGTGCCACGCCCTCGTCGCCTAGCAGCCAAGTGGCGCAGTGCTGCATGGCAGTCGACCGGCAGATGTGCGTCGTCATAAGCCCGCTCAGCTCATGGGTCTCCAGTGAGAGCAGCGTTTGCAGCCCCAGTGCCGCGGCTCGCGCAATTTTGGGGGTCCGCTCCGCGCTTGTGGACAGAGAGAGCAGGACGTCCACGACCTCCATGACCTTGGGGGCCTCATTGCCCCCGGCCTCCTCAAGCTGATCCTTGGGCTGGCCGTCATGAGATGAAGTCAACGTCACCCAGAGACTTGTGATCAGGATTTGCAATAGCCGGGTTGCGACCAGATCTTCTTCAGCGGAGTCGGTCCGCCCCGACCGAATGGCTTCCCGGTCGAGTCGCGCGTGACAGTCCACGATCTTCTCGCGCAAGTGGTCTCGCCAATGCGAGTGCCAGATGCGTCGGAGGAGCCGATCGGTGGCTTCGGAACTTGACTGTCGGGGTGCTGCCACTTGCTCTAGCACAGCCACGAGAGCGAGCACCAGCGAATCGGTAGACGCGAAGACCAGCAGCCCCAGACGTCTCCAGCACTTGGTGTCGAGCCCCAGCAACTCCTCCGCAAGGCGCTCGGGGTCGTTGGCCGCCCACAGTTGTAGCAGCGCCAGCTCCAGCAGTGCGTCGGCGTCTCCATCGCTTAGCAAAAGCGCCCCTAGCGGCATTGATACCTATCCGATACGAGCTCACGCTCAGGTGTTGATGACCATTACGAGCGGATTCATAGCAATTAGGTAACAGCTCCATCGAAATGTATTTTGGTGAATCGAACGAAGTAACGGATACCGGCACTGCTTTCATTGCTCTCGATGGTCAAGTGTCAGCGCGGCATCATGCGCTAGGTTCACCGTTGCCAAGGTTCAGCCCCACCTAAATGGCTGCCAGCCGTCATGGCGCATGTAGTCTAGTCTACACAGCGCAGCTATGCTGGAAGACAAATTCCAGTGGGTCAACGCGACCGAGTATTGATTCATCGCGGCTGCTATCATAATGTACCAACCTCCGGAGCTGCGATCTCATTGTCTAATGGCGAAGCGCGACTCATTACCACGAAGAGAGCGTTAACCGGCGACTGGTTTCTTCGAGAGTCGATAACTTCCCACGAATTCGATCCTAGAATCAAGGCCTCGAATCTAGGCTAGATGGGGCCGCAGTCAAAGCGAGTCGCATCTGCGTGAGCGTCATGCAGACAGTGTCTGCCAGACACTGCCTGCTCGCGGGCGACTCCAGTCCTCGCGCGTTGCGCGCTGCAATTAGCTAACTGCGGCGAAGATACACTCGGCAACTTGTCAAGTTGGTGCGCCCCTTCAGCGGTGCCGGCCGACCAATCACACGGCGCGAACGAGACTTAAAGTGAGACAGGATTCGCAACTGACACCAACCCAGCAGCTGTTCCGCCGACGGCTTGCTTTTTGTATGGTGTAACCAGTGACTTGGCTTTTGTATGGGGATGAGGCCAGAATCCATCACGGTCCGCCCAGAAACTGTCATGAACAGTGGGACCGAAGAGCCACATCTTGATGGCACCGTCCCACTTTGAACCCTCAATTTTGCCACTGCATCGTGACTTGCGCGACTTGCAGCTCGCAAGTCTTGCACGGCCCGCCGGCGCAGCTCCGCTGGCGAGCGCCAGCCCCCTTGCCGCACTAGCGGCGTCACGTGGGACCTCGCTTCCCTCGCCATGGCCGGGCTGACCTGACAGATCCGGCAGATCCGCGCAGCTGGGCGGCGCCGCGGCGCTGGCAGAGAAACCGCGAAGCCAAGCGCTTGCTCCCGGCCACCACCGTCATCGCCATCGCCATCGCCATTGCGGCAGCGGCGGTGGCGCCGCCAGCCTCTTGGCCGCGAGGGGATCCTCGCTCCGAACTCAACTGGGCCCGATCGGATCCGCGCGCCAGCCGGTTGCGCCAACTGGTTGCCGCGACGCCAAGGTGTATCCAAAGGCTCAGATCGCTGTCAGCGGCGCGCTCCGGCTTTGGCGCACGAGCTCCTTTTCTTCGGTCATCACCGGCGAGAGATGGGGCCACGGGACCAGCTCACTTTGCGGCCGAGCTTCTTGCAGTCCACCGACCGCGCCACTTGAAACTTTTCCCCGCAGCGCGCAAGTGGAGACAGGAAGCACAGATCACTCACTGCGCGATCTCCCGGACACAGGTTTTGATTCACAGGCCAGCCGAATGAGCTACCCGCAGCGCTATATCCCGCCCATCTATGTGGACCTGAACATGCCGGCCACGCCCTCGAAAGACAAGGACTTGCCGGCGCCGGCGCAGCCCTGCTCGCCCCCTAGCTACTCGACGCTGCCGCAGTCGAGCGACGCCGAGCCTCGCCCCAGCCGAGCCAACTCGCTGCTCTTGGACCTGCTCGAGTTTCCTCTCGCCTCGGCCGACCCCAGCCCGGACGCGCTGCTCAAGTGCGAGCTCGAGAGCGTGCTGGACGTGGGCAACGGACACGACACCCCCGCCGGCGCGCAGCAGCAGATCTTCCCGCTGCCAAATGGCCGCGAGGAGTTGCTTGACCAAGATGTGGCCAAGATGAAGCAGAGCCACGACCCGGAGGTGCTCGAGGAGGTCGCGGCCTTCCCCGCCGCCGTCTTCACCAACACCACCATCTCGGCCTCGCGCTCGACCCACGTGAGCAGCGTGGCGCCCTCGCTAGTCGCGCAGCGCGGCGGGCGCACGTCTCAGTTCTCGGCCAAGCAGCGCCGCGAGCGCCACAACGCCAACGAACGACGACGGACGAACGCCGCCAAGGACCGTGTCCGCGACATGCGCGACACGGTCGCGGCTCTGGAGCGCCAGCGTCGTGAGCTGAGCGCCCAGCGCGACGCCAACGCCGCTGCCAACGAGTTCCTCCCGCACAGGAGGCCCGTGGCCGACGTGGTGCCTCGCGAGCGCGTGGACGGCGACCTGGGCTACAGCATCCCGGCCAGAGCCACCTACCTGGACCTCGCCAAGTCTGTGGACGAGCTCCGCGACGAGAAACGGTATCTTGAGGAGCAGCTGGACCAGCTGGACTCGCAGAACAGCGCGCTTCAAGCGGTGCAGGCGGAGCTGGTCATCGATGCCACGGCATCCCTGACGGCCGCCGGATCCAAGAAGAGCCTCAAGCGCAAGCGCGCGGACAACGACGACGCCTTGTCCTCGGACACCAAACGCGCGGCCCTCGAGGATATCGACACCCCGGCGGGCGGCTACTGCCTGGAGACCGAGGCCGTTCCGTCGTTCCTCAAGGTGCTCTTCCCCGAGCCGATGACTAGCGACGCGGCCTTCAACTGGGTCAAGGACAGCTACGGCGACATCATGGCCCTCAAGGCCCAGCAGAAGCCCGCGGACGCCGCCGCCATCTCGGTTCTGGGCTGGCGCGAGGACAAGCGGGAGGTGGCCAAGGCCGAAGGGCCGGACGACGAGAGCTCGATCGAGCTCATGATGACCCAGGACTTCGCCGGCGTCGTGTCGGGCGAGCTCGTGTTCAACACGTGGAACCTCCTGACCGTGCTCGAGGCCTTCCAGCAGCTCTTCCCGCTGGCCAAGGACCTGGCCGTGCTGCAGACCATCAACGACGACTGCGTGGTCGTGCGCGTGGGCATCGCGCCGAGCCGTGACGCCCCCGTGGTGCACAGCATCGTGGTGCTGGCCCGCGGCCAAATCGACGGCGGGTACCTCGTGAGCATGCGCTCCGTGCCGCTGTCGGCGGGCCAGAAGGCCTTCGCCGCCGGCGAGGAGACATACCTGCCTGTGCTGGCGTGGTTCATGCTGCTCGACAAGTACGACGAGTACGCCCAGCCGGTGTGTGAGGTCATCGTCGGCGCCTCGACGCAGCACAAGTCGGAGCGCGTGCTGCAGCGGCTGGCCACCGACTTCGTTGCCGGCGTCGTGCGCTGGCAGGAGGCTGTCGGCCAGAGCAAGCACTGGCTGCTCTGAGCGCTCGAGGTGCTCGAGCATATTTAACAAGGTAGTTTAGTAGTAGTTCATCCGCGGGCCTGGAGCGGGCGGCGGATACAGTCGCGACTAACGCGCGTTAGTAGTAAGGTCGAAGTAGTCTAGCCTAGTTAGCAGTAGTTTTGAAGCAGGGCGTCATGAGGCGCCTGCAAGTAAGGCCGGCGACGGCGACAAAAATGCATCAGAGTTGGCAAAGAATCTCTTTGCAGAAGAGCGGCAAAGGAGTTGCAGGCGTGACGAGGAAGTGTCCGCGTCGTCCAGCTTCAACGCGTTTAGTCCAGTCCGGCTATCAAGCAGTTTCAGGCCTCGGTCTCTACATGTACTTCCAAGAGCGATGATTACGAGCTCATGTTGGCAGACAGCAAGCAGCGGTTCAACCCGTCCGTAGCCTCATGAAAGCAGGGTCGCCGCCACACTACATGTACATGTGCTCGGCAGTACTGTACCGAGCACACTCGCGAGGCTGGAGTCGAGAGCATGTGTACATGCGCGCCGACCCATGAAAAGGAGCCCCGCCCGAATCGGGCGAGCCCGATCACGCTGCACTCGAAGGTGTTGCTGACTCACCCAACCATATGAACGCCACGGGGCTACAGTCGGCGCTGGCTTGAAACTGGCCGTGCGAAATGATCGCGGCCAAGTCACCAGGATGTGCCATGATGCGCTTGCGCCCGGGTCTCGGGAGGAGCCTCCCAGCCGGCGTCTGGCAGACGCGCGCTCGCTGCATTCCACGCCCCCGAGTTCCCGAGTTGAGGCCCGACGTCCTCGACCTGGCAACAAATAACAAGCGTAATGGCCACTCCAAACCTTTACAAACCTGCAAAGGCAGTTCCCGGCAGGCATGCCGAAAATACGATATATATCTATTTCTCTCAAGTTAACGAAATACGTATTTGTTTGTATACCAAGAAGAGAAGAAATAAATATCTGAAGACCCGGTGCTGACGCAGTAAATTATTCAGTAAATTGCTGCACCTTCATGGGTTCTTACTAACACTGCCCACGGTCGCCACATCCGTGTTAAGGTTGCTGAACAACATCATTTTAGCATAAAGGGAAAATTTGATGGCGTTAACACAATGTAAATTAGGGGGAAAAACTTCTCAATCATGAAGGATATATTCAACCGCAGAAATAAAACAAGAAGTTTTGATCTAAAGCTGGAATAAATACCGGATACACCAAGGAGGTATACCTACAATAAAATATTGATTCCGAAAATACAAATATATTTCCGGGCGTATTTATTTTTCGGGATCCCTGGTTCCCGGTAATATGACAGTGTTCCATTGAGCAGATAGTTGTCGAGAAACACAGCGCTGCTCGGCCGCTCGAACTCGCATCGTACACTTCGCCCCGCTTCGCACATTCACTCCCCAAGTGGTCTCCTAGATTTTGTTCATCACACACGGCTGCCTTCCGCCAAAAAGACGTTGAAGCCAATCCAAGCCTTTGACGGGGCATCTTCCCTGCAAACATGCTCGTTGCTGCCAGCCTTACCACCGCAGGAGCCCTCGTGAGCCAATCCCACGACTCTCCATGCGCAGTGCCATCTCGAGGATCTCGATCGACCACCACCCCGTACTTGCGAGCGCTGTGCCCTCGATTTCTCCACCGAAAGTCTGCTTGCAGTCGTCAAGCTGATCGCCCGCGTACTCGTAAAAGCTCCAAACGAACACATCCAGCCAGAAATTCTCTTTGTGCGGCTCCACCTTCCGGCGCCCGCGTCGGACGGGCGCTGTGCAGTCTCCGTCGTGCTGCAGATACGTCTTGGGGTCCAGGTTGCGGAGGATCACCATGCAGCCATCGGGCCCGAGGTCGACCCGCATGGCCAAAATGAACGCTCGGATGCGCACGTCCGTGTGCTCGCGCTCCAGTGTGTAGTAGTACACGACAGCGTCCTCATTGAGCCTCTGCACGACGTGGAAGTGCACCTTGGCGTCGCGCGGACGCATGATCACAATGGGCTCTGGCAGCGACAGGATCTCCCATATATTCCGCGCCATCATGTCCGTCGCGCGGCCGTGGAACGTCTTCTCCAGGGAGAACATGAGCTTGTTCTGGCGCAGCACGTGCCGATCTCGCCAGCCCAGCACGCTCGTTCCTGTGGAGAAGCACGTGTCGCTCTCTCGGAAGGCCTTGATCTCTCGGTACGACGCGCGCGCCATCTCGGCGCACTGGTCTTGGGTCAGCGGGTTGACCTTCAGCACGGGGTTCCGCCTCTTGTGTTCCTGCTCCTGCTCGGCCTGTAGCTGGGCCTTCTTCTGGGCCGCGGCCAACTGGTTGATCTGCCGCTCCATATCCAGGTAGTTGGCGTGCAGGCGCTTGAGCTCCTCGTTCTCCTTGGCCAGCGCGCGCTTGACCTGCGCCAGCTGCACGTACGCGCGGTGGGCGGCGTTGGCCCCGTCCTCGGCGGCCTGCGCGGCGGCACCGGGCGTCGGCTGCGCGTCTCGCTGGTGGTGCTCGGCCAGTAGCCGCTCGTACTCGGCCTCCAGAGCGTCCACGTCGCGCTGGAGATCGTCCAGCAGGTTCTGGAGGACAAGTTTATTTAACAAGGACACAAGCGTCAGCAATCAGCCGCGGCTGGGGGTCGGCACGAGCGAGTGCGGCCGTCGCACCCGCTTCTTGTAGTAGAGGCGCTTGGCGCGCAGGCGGCTCTTGGTGCGCTGGTCGGCGGCCGCCAGCACCTGCTCGAGGTCGTCGCTGGTCAGGTCGGGGTGCTCCATCCTCAGCTTAGCGGCAGCGGCGTGTTCTAGCTGGGAAGTCAGTCTCGATAGCTAAAGTGAGACTAAATGTGCCGAAAAGATTGCACTCCAAGAGGAGATGACGACCAATCGAAGAACCGCACTTTCGACTGTCACATGGATACTGTGCACTTTCGCGCAAAACTGAGCCTTTTGGAGGTCAGCTTTTTGAGATTGAGCGGCTCTGGTGAGCGAACGACAACGAGCCCGATAGGATACAGTAGAGGGCACTGTGCAAACTTGCTGTACGGTGCATGCATTGCGTGCTTTTTCATGCAGACCTGCGCGTGTTGTTCATGCCGCGCGATTCGTCCTTGGCTGCTTCTTTAGATCTATCAACGAATACACCTGCTACCAGTACACCTCCATCCGAATGCGCTGCGTGCCAGCATTGACAACTTCCTGTAGGTTCGTATGGCACAATTTGTATCCGCAATGAATTCATCGCATGAACTCGACCATCAGCCACTCCGTGGTACATGTAAGCTGCCTGTGCTACCCTGGTACTGAAGCTCCGCGGAAACGGGCGCGAAAAGTATGTATAGAGCCGAGCATGCGGGCTCGCCTCGTTTTGGCAGGCACGTGTTCATCGAGTATGCAACGCTCTTGCTTGCTGACGCCACTTTACGCGCACGCGAGCGTGGCGTGATGACTTACATGTACATGGGCATCCGAGTTCTGTAGCTGCCCCAAGCTAGCGGCGGCGTTGAATGCGTGCTTCATGTTGCCGAATCCAGGAGAGGCCAAGCATTTCTGGTGCATGCGCATGAACCAAGAGGCCGGCTACGTAGAGTTATTGCGGCCACCCGCGCTCCCAGCCAGACAAGCAGGCTTTCCACCGCTACGCCTCGCTATACAACTTGCCTCCTTTTGCGCAATCGATAGCGCATACACGCTCAGCGTTGGCGGCGGCACAGCGACCAGCCTGCTTTGCTCAAGCTACGTTTGTCAAGTGAGTTGTCTGGCAACGTGCTCGTGACGCAGACAAGAGGGTTTTGGCAAACAAGTTATGGACAAAGTGTTCGTGTATTTGTCTAATAAATTATCTGTACCTCACCGCAAGGTTTCGTTGGGGTGGGTGTTGTTTCTGTTGCTACTGCTGCTGTGGCTGTACGTCGGACATCTTCCGTTCACCTCCATCTTCACACTGCACACACTTATTCACACACAATGTGTCTCTCGCCGCCTCGTGCTGGCGAGTGGACGGCCACCGCTGATTTACATGGCCAATTGAGCGCCCACCGCGCGGTTCTCCCATCGCAGGTGCAGGCACAGGATCTCCACGGCCATGAAGTCGACGTCGGCGCGCGTCGGGTAGGAAAGCTGGCCACCGGAGGTAACGGAGAAGCCGCCGTCCGCGTTGCACTCATACCGCTGCCACGTCGTGCAGTCCATCCAGCGCAGGTTGGTCTGCTCGGACGCCCCGACAGGCTTCATATTGATCGAGCGCGCGCCCAGGAGGTATCCGTTGGGCAGCTTCTTCCGGAAGAGCACCGCCAGCACGCGATCCACGCGCGTGGCGTCGTGGCTGGTCATGTCGTAAATGACAACCGCCTCCTTGCCGACCTTCTTCACAAGCTGGGCCTTGATAGACCCGTAGTAGATGCCGGAGAAGCTGTCGGAGTTGCTGACGTTGGCCCACGTCTTGTGCATCACGTCCTGCATGCTCACGTCCTTGGAGAAGTCCTTCTTGAGGCTGTAGGTGAACACGCCGTCCTGGGACACCACGCTCTTGTAGCTCCAGCCGTGCTCATCCTGGTGGTCCTTGAGCACCTCGCCGTCCATGGAGCAGTTCATCGCCGAGTGCATTCCCTCCTCCACGGCCGCAGCGCACACCGACTCATCAATCGAGATGCTCAGCTGCTGCAGCTCTGCCGTGTAGTCGCTGCAGCCCTGAAGGAGAAGCTCGCCACGCTGCGAGCAGCTTGTGGTGTCCGTCTTGAGCTGAGCGTTCTGATGGGAGAGGCCCTGGATGACACGCTGCAGTCTCTCGATCGCGAGCACGAGCTTGACCTTGTTGATGCTCGAGTCGTCGGCGCCCGACATGTTCATGCAGCGCGAGTAGTAGAGACGGCTGAGCCCGTCCATCTTGGCGCGGAGCTTGGCCAGCACGTGCTCGACAGGGCGGCCGTCGCTCGGTCCTGGGGCAGCCGAGGTGGGGGCAGGTTCCTGGGTGCTGGCGGGGACGTTCTGGAAGGGGTCGATGACCTCGTGGAAGAAGGCGGCCATGGCGTCCTTCTCGTCCACGATGAACTGCTGCAGGAAGTCATCGTCCGCGCCGATGGGGGACAGCAGCATGCTGGTGGCGTCGGCGCCCTGCTCCACGGAGATGGCGAGCGGGTCCTCGACCACGGACAGCTTGCCGCCGCTGATGGAGATGTCGCGGATCTGGATGGCCTTCTCGTCTGAGAGGAACATCTCCTGGATCATGTCGATCTCCTCGTTCGTCCAGGAGGCGGCGGGCGGCGCCACCCACTGCGACGGCGCCTGGGATCCGGGGCTCGAGACGGCAGACAACATCTTGGACTTCTCCTTCTCTCTCTCAGACGTGCTACGGACGTCGACGCTTGTGATCCTCTTGGCAAAAGCCCAACTGCCGGGCCGGAAGCGCATCCCGCCGTGGCCGTGGCCGCCGCCGCGCCGACATGCCGAAAGAGGATTGACAGCAACATCGGATGAGTGCGCGCGCCCTGCTCCGGATCTCTTTTCAACTTGCTGCGCGGCTCGCAATGCAAGCGCAGGCCGCATAAGGCATCACGACGTCTCTGCAATCCAAGCGCGGCGCGGCAGACCCGCCCTCGCTCGCCCTTGCGGTGGCTTGGATCGCGGGCGGGGCGACGCCGCTGCCATCCGGATTACTCACGCGCCATGCACGACGAGCTCGATCGGCCCAGACGAGACGAGTGTCCTCCTCGGCTGGCGTGGGGCGTCCTCGCCGACATAGCGAGGCAAAGCTCGCCTTGACAAGGCGAGCGCGGCGCCCTCCTCGTCAGCGAGCGCCGAGTCTCTCCGCGTTGCGCCAGCTGCGCCCCGTTTGGGCGCCAACACCGCCCTTTGTTGACACGCGAGTGTCTGTTGGCCAGCGCGAGGCGCTCGGCGAGAGCCGATGCGCGGAGTCACGTCATGCCGCCCGCAGAGACGAACGTCGGCGTGTTGGCCGGAGCTATGCAAATAACAGGCCCGCGCTGCCTTCTCGTCTGCTGCCGCGAGCTCCAATCGGCCGCGGCCCAGCGGCGCGCCTGCGAGCAGAGCCCCGATGAGCAGCGGCGCTTTCGGTGTCGCAGGTCTCCGCTCGCTGCCCGTCCTGCCGCGCAGCCGTCTCCGCAGCCGCCATCGCCGCCGCTGCCATGGTGGAGGCAAGCAGCACCTTTGTGATGACTCTCGTGAGGTACGGAGGGCGTCGCGTTCGGGTGGCGATACAGCCGAAGGCGCTCCGAAGACTCAGCGAGCGATTGCCGTGAGCGCGGGCTGCCAATCCCGGCGCGGATCCTCCGCCCCTGCAATTCGCGGCCGCATCGAGCCGGAAGGGATCTCGCTGGACGAGTCGCTGCGATTGGCCCATTGTCGAGACGGAGCATCCTCTGCGTGCGTTACATGTACTGTATTAAAATACATGCACATGTACATGCACACGTCCACCGTGCGTCCACAGCAGGGGGCAGCACCAGTTGTTGCAGTTGGTCTGCTTCAAGATCGGCACGACAAGCGGATCTCCGAGCTGCCCTCGCTGGTCGGTCGGCACGGCGCCGCTAACGTGTACAGTTCAAGAGATTCCCGCCTTGGCATCGACAATCACCGCCCGATGTTGCCTTCAAGGACTTCAGGGCAGACTGGGCGTTCGCTCTCCGAGGTGAAGCCGAGGTCTTGCAAGCTGCAGCTCGTGTTTAAAAAGCAGGAAAAAGTGGGATGAAGGTGAGTGGCGCGAGGCCCGCTCGACCTGGCGTTGCATTGCGCGGGACTCGATTGCCTGCGAGCAGCTCGCAGCGACGGCGAGCTTCTCAGCCGCCTGTGTAAACAACGAGCTCTTGTCTTTGGCAAAGACTCTTTGCGGTGCGCGCCGCCCGCAGCAGTGCTGCTCACCACCCGTTGGTTAACTGCAGCAAATCGGCCTCGCTCAGCGCGGCGGAGCATGTGTTCCAGTCTGGAACTTCCTGAGCCACCGCCTCTTTCGCCGTCGTCGTCGCGGAACCCGTACACCATCAAAATGAGTCAGGGAGACCAATCGACTGATGAGGAGCTCGAGTGCGCCTGGCTCGATGATCTCGTCGTCCGTTGCCTGAGGAGGAGCAGCGGAGAAAGCTGTAGCTGTTGGCTGGCTGGCCTTGGTCTTGCGGTGGTGGCAGCGCTGCGGCTTGCAACCGAATTGCGATACGGACTGAAGTTGGCTGTATAGCGGGTGTTCATCTTGCCGATTTGATGGTCGCACACTACCGCATCAGCACAGCAGCGCCAGGAAGATTGCTACGCGGCGCAACGTCGGCGCCCCCTTGTCGCTTTGGACCGCGGCGCGGTGTCGCACGATCTGCTGCAGCCCGCAGTGCGATCAGGCGAGCCCGTCGGCGCTTGCATCGAGTCTTGCTGGGTTACAGCACAATTTCTGAAGGCGCCAAGACGGGCAAGCCCTGGCATCTAAACAAGCCGACCGCCTCACCAAGACCCTGCTGGCTGTGCCTCAGCCCTCAGGCCGGCCGCGCGGCGCAAGAAAATGATCTTCAAGATCAGCGTGCGGGGCTGCGGAGACTTTCTCGGGAGCTGCGTCGTCCGCGCATCCCTCCTCCTCCTCCCTCCTCACCGAGATGTAGGATGCAGTCCGAGACGTTTGTTGGCGTGCCAGGCCGGAGTCTCGCTCGCTCCGACCAGGGCGGCAGACTAGATGATCCACGGGTCGTCATCGCGCACCAAGCAGCCCATTTGTGCAAGTCCAGCAAGATGGGGCGGGCGGTACCATCCGGTGAGGACCAGAGCTGGTCCTGGAGGACAACTGTCTCCGATCCTGATTGAGCCAAATAAGGTCGATTTTCGCCCAATCACAGTCCTTCCCTACACTTCCTCGCTGCGACCATGCGCCCCATGCGGCTCGCCGTGGCGGCGCTGCTGCTGCTGTTGCTCTTGGCGCTCTCCAGCGTGCGCGGCATCGTGACGCCCGACGCGCCGTCCGACCCCACGCCTAGCGCATCCGCTGACGCGTCCAGCGGCGACTCGACGGCCTCTGAGGCCGCCGAACCAACGCAGAACGAGGGGCCAACAGGCGACGCGCATTCCGTCGACGCGGACGCCGCCTCCAGCCCGCAGCGCATCGCAGAGCCGGACGAGCCCAAGGCGGACACGGAGCTGGCGGACGAGGACGTGGACCCGCTGCTGGACGTCCCCAGCGGCCTCTTCGAGGTGGTGGACGCCGACAGCGTGGACAACCGCAAGCGCCAGAACTACGCGTCGCTGGACGCCGGCGCCACGATCCTGGACGCCGCGCCGGACACCAAGAGCCCCACGAACCTGCTGGTGCCTGACAAGGACCGGTACATGCTGACGCCGTGCTCCAACCCCAGAAAGTGGGTCGTCATCAGTCTATCGGAGGATGTGAGTCAAGGGGACACAAGATATGCTTTACACAATTGTCAGAGAGGTAAGGGCTGGACTGACGCCGTTTTGACTGGCCTTGTTCTCATTGGCAGGTGCACGCAGACGCGATTGCCATCGCCAACTACGAGAAGTTCTCGTCGCCAGTCAAGGACTTTATCGTGCTGGGCAGCGTCAACTACCCCACGGACACGTGGCTCGTGCTCGGCAACTTTACGGCTGCGCACTCGAATGGGGAGCAGATTTTCCAGCTGGACGCGCAGCAGCACGTGCGGTACATCAAGTTCCGCTTCCTGTCGCACTATGGATCGGAGTATTACTGCACGCTCAGCCAGCTACGGTGCGTTGCTGCTGTGCCGTGGGTTTTCGCTACAGTATCTAATCTGTGCACTGAGTGCTGCTGTAGGGTATTCGGCCGGACGTTCACTCAAGTGATTTCTCAGTTGGAGAAGAGCATCGATGCTGAAGTGGAGGCTCTCGATGCGCAGGCTGCAATCCCAGCCCCGCAGCTGTCCGCTCTACCTGACAGCGCTGAGATCTCTGTGCCCCGCATCCCAGACCCGACGGAGCTCACGAGTCAATGCTTGATGGAGAAAAATAACACAGTCGTGGCTGTGTTTTACGACGAACCCCAACGGATCGAGCATTATCGGAGCCACGGGATGTGCTGCCTAGTCGACTATACTCCGGAGAAAATCGAGGCAGAGGTTGCTGCGAATTTAATCACAAACGAGCACGCAGCTTCAACAACTGCCGACCCCATCGACGCGGACGTTGTCGACGGTGCATCGCTGTCCTCTGGCTCATCATTACATAATGGCGCATCCGCAAACACCAGCGCGTCGGTCAACGGTTCCAGTGCTAACGCAACAGCCCCGAGTAGCGCGGCAACGCCAGCTTCCTTACTGCCTGCAGCTCATAATGCTGCAGCAACTTCTACGCAAGGTCTCGGACGATTGGAGAGCATTTTCGTGCGAATTACGAAAAAGAGTAAGCGTTCCCTAAAGGACATGTTTCTTACAACACCCAAGTTTCTGACCTTCTTTGTGCGCTTGTATGCAGTTCAAGCCTTGGAAGTAAACCAGAGCGTCATGGGACGACAACTGGAGGAATTTCATACACACCAGTGGGCAGCGATTAAAATGCTGCAGGTAACAATACGTCGTACGGCGAGCGAGGGGAAACGACCCCCACGCTCTAACGCTCTGTGCTGTCCCTATTGTAGGCGAACCAAGAGTCCTTGAATGAGCAGCTCAAGGAGATCCGAACTATGATCATTGATCTGGTAGGCAAAACCGTTGTCATTGCTGTATGTGCAGGTGTGTATTGGTTGATTGCTCCGTACTGTTGTGCAGAAGGAGCATGTGGCCAAAGAGTTGGCCGCAAACGAGAAAACGCTGCTGAGGTATGGTCGACTGCTCGATGATGTTCGGCGAGACAACATTGCTCTCTGGGTGGGTACAATAGTCAATATCTTGAGTCGTGGATTCGGCGCGTTTGAACTCATAGTATCTTTGTCCATGGCGTGTGTATCAGAACGAGATCCTGATCGTGCGCGAGGTCATCACAACCATGAAGGCAGGCATCCTCTGTGCCATTGTCCTGTCAGGCTTTATCATCCTGTTCTACCTGCTCCGGCTTCTGTTTCGCTGCGTGTCGAAGTGCAAGGAGCGCGCTGATCTTCGGGAGTGGTTCTGGCGCATGGAGAACGAAGAAAGCAACGCCGACGAGGCCGTCAAGAATATCCCGAGCGTCGACATGGTTGCTGGCGCGCTGCGCGTGAATCGAAAAGCCCAGTTCGGCTCGTCCTGGGACGACTCGGCCATCGAGCGGAAGACCCTTGTCAGCGACATGGTCGGCGACGGCCCGCAGAAGTTCCGTCGCCACAAGGCGAAAAGGTCGAGTCAGCCGTCCACGTCGCTGAAGCGCTCAAGGAAGTGAACGTATTCATAATAAAGTCCATTAAAGCTTGAAGCGACGGCAGTTTTCGTTTGTTCAGGAGCTGGAGCAATGAGCCGCCGAGGATCCGGGTCGTCCTTCTCGAGCAGCAGCGACGTCAACTTCGACGATCTGGACGATCAGCAGGTGTTCGGCTTCCTGGAAGATGACGACGACTCGCGCTCAGCCAGCTCCAGCAGCCGGTCGAGGAGGTAGATAGACATGGCTGTGCGAGTGACCCCGAGCTTCTATTGCGCTAACTCGTCGCATGTGTGTCCCTGACAGCCCAAGTGCAGACTTTCGTCTCGACTTCTCATCGAGGATTAATGCCTCGCGAGCACCGCCCCCTCCGATGCCAGCAGTAGCTCCGAACAAACCCGTGCGTGCCATCAACACATTTCCACACGATACGCCTTCCAAGTGACTAACAGAGGGGCGCTGTTGTGCAGGTTGCTCGGAAAAGCGTCGCCACCACCAAGCCCCGCTCGCCTTCCCTGACCGCAAAGTACGACATTGTTGTTTAAGTGCTCTTTTCAATAAACTCACTAATAAAGTTGTTGCGCGTAGGAAACGAGTGGTGAAGCGACCGTCTTCGTTGACGATTTCCACTACTGGTAGTAGCACTTCGTCGGCATCGAAGCTGTTCTCTCAAAAGAGGGAGAACTCAGCAGAGAATGTGCTTCAAGCCTCAGTCTCTTCCAAAGACTCGGATAGTGACTCGATCTTCGAGCTGGCAGCAACCGCGGCAACCCTCGTCGACACTAGCGAACGCCGTGCCGATTGCATATCAGCCGAGCAAACGAAGGAAGCCCCCGTCGTTCCGAGCACGAAACCCCGCAAGTCGAAAGTGGTCGAGAACACCAGCACCGGAAGCAGAAGTGGGAGCGCCAGTGGAGGCGTCGCCCCGCTTGGGAATTCCAACGCTCTGGTCGCTGCGCTTGCATCCTTGCAGGCTCAAGTGGAACTCCTAACGAGCGAGAAAGCGCAACTGGAGACCGAAGCAGTCACAGCGCGCACGACGATCCATAACCTGGAGCAGAAGCTGGCAGCGTCGGAGCAGTCCAGCGACCTCTTTGCTCGCCAACTCGACAACGTCAAGGAGAGCTTCCAGGCTAAGCTCATGGCTCGTGAGGAAGAGGTGTCGCTCGAGAAGATGACCCTGGCCAAGGAGAAGGAGACGCAATTTCAGCACCAGCAGGCTCGCTTCACAACTGAAGCGGAGCTGTGGAAGCACGAGATCGCGGCTCTGACCAAGGTCAAGCTGGAGCTGGAGAGCGAGACCGACCGACTCCACGGCGAGCTGAACAATGAGGTCCTGCAGCGAGGCTTCGCCGAGGCCAAGAACCGTGCGCTCAAAACTGAGCTCGATCGCACCTCGGAAGAGCTTCAGATGCTTCTGCAAGAACGAGAGCGCTTCGAGCGCGCTCAAACCGAGATCGCCGAGCTCCGGGCGCAAATGGCCAGTGACTTCCAGCAGCATGAACTCCAACGCCAGCAACTGGAAGAACGAGTGCACAGCCTGCTCCAGGAACGAGAGGTCCAGGCCGCCGGATACGAGCGCGAGCGTCAGTCTTGTCTTCAACAGCACGAAGCAGAGAAGGCCAAGCTGCTTCGCTTCGTCCAGGAAGTCCGCGGGCTCCATCGCCTGCTCCAGATCTCGGTCGTTGACGCGCGTGAACATCTCAACAACGAGGTCAAGAAGACCAAGGACGTACTGGAGACCATCCAGCAGCAAGCGAGCGATTTCGCTGTACACCAAGGCGACCGCGATGTGGCTCTGATGTCGCGCAAGGGCCGCATCCTGCAGCTCGAGACCCAGCTGAAGAACGACCGACAGACCATCAACCAGCTCGAGTCGACGCTCGCCAAATCGACGCGCGTGCTCGAGAAGAAGCATTCGACGCTGAAGACCAAGTTCCAGGAGCAGCGAGAGCACCTGGAGATCACGCTGGCAGTGCGGCAGGGGCTCACGACCGACCTGCAGGCCAAGAGGAAGCAGGTGTCCGAGCTCGAGCGAGAGGTGGCGAGGCTCACCCTGGCCAAGGGCAAGGCGGACGTCAAGCTCAAGCACGCGCAACAGCAGATCCAGGCCATGCAAAAGGTCCACGCGTGCGAGATGGAGAAGATCGCGAGGAAGAAGGGCGTCTCGACTGGAAGTGGTAAGGCCGACCAAGTGCAGGCAGCAGAGCCCAACGCTTTGGAGGAAAACGTACGTTACGTTCGCCCCACGCTGGCAAGAGCTGCGACTTGACTTGACTTGACTTGTGTCCTGTATGCAGAACGAGGTCAAGGCGTCGGTGCTCGAGAGTCCGGAGGAACCAGGTGCGTGCAGTTAGGTAGCGCATTTGGCTCATTAGTCGATGGTTGTTGGATTAATTGGGTCGCTGGGCAGAGTGGCGTGAATTCGTAGAGCTCGTGGCCGCCTACGAGGCCGAGCGCCAACTGCACGCGCTGGCCTAGCCCACCAACACTCATCAGCGCTGCAGTATCTACACTAGCATGATCTCAATGATTCGTATGAGATGGCAATCCCGATGAGAGGCAGAAACCCTCTCAAACTCGTTGGGTCCCATGCTTGTCAATCCAATCCGCCTGCCTCTCCCTTCACTTCATTCTTGAACTTGCTCACTTGATCCGTCATGCGCGACTCGTCCGTCTCCACTGCCGCCGCCTTTTGCTCGGGCCTGGCGGGCGGCGCCGCCCTCTTGGCCGCCTTCCAGCACCTCGCCCGCCGCCGCGCGCTCGAGTCCACTCGCCCGCTGGACGTGCAAGACCCCGAAGCCATTCGCCACCCTGCGGCCGCGCTCACGGAGCTGCTGGTGCGCTACCACGAGAACCTGCAGCGTCATGACCCGCACCGCGGAGAGCCCGGCAGCTCCTCGTACCCGGTCCGCTCCAAGGTCAAGCCCGGGGAGCTGCGGGCCCAGCTGCCCGCCGACTGCCCCGAGGACCCGCAGAGCTACGCCGACATCTTCCGCGACGTGGAGCAGCTCATCTTCCCGGCGCTCACGCACTGGGCGTCGCCCAACTTCCACGCGTACTTCAAGATCTGCGGCAGCGACCCCAGTGTGCTGGCCGACTACCTGTGCTCGTCGCTCGACGTCGTGGGCTTCTCGTGGGTCGCGGCCCCGGCGGCCACGGAGCTCGAGCAGGTGGTCTGCGACTGGATGACCAAGCTGCTCGGCCTGCCCGAGTGCTTCCTCACGAGCTCTCCCGGGGGCGGCGTCATCCAAGGCTCGGCCAGCGAGTCGGCGCTGTGCGCGCTCATTGCGGCGCGCAACGCGGCTCTGGAGGGGCTGGAAGGTGCCGCCCGAGAGGAGAAGGCGGCCAAGCTCGTCGTGTACGTGTCGGACCAAACGCACGCCATCGCCGAGAAGGGCTGCATGGTGCTGGACATTCCGCACCTGCGCGTGGTGCCCGTGATTCGAGGCAAGGCCGACACGGACAACTACGGACTGGCGCCTGACGACGTCGCGCGTGCCATGGAGGAAGATCGCGCTCAGGGCTTGGTGCCGTTCTGCTTGATGCCCACGCTGGGCACCACGTCCACGACAGCCATCGACCCCTTGCGAGAGCTGATCGCTGTCGCGCGCAACCAGCCTGAGCACGTGTGGGTCCACCTGGACGGAGCCTACGGAGGAGCGGCCGCGGTGTGCCCCGAATACCAGCACTGGCTGGACGGCGCGGAAGGCTGCGACTCCATCTGCGTCAACACGCACAAGTGGCTGCTCGTGAGCTTCGACGCGAGTTTGCTCTGGGTCAAGGACCGCCGGCCTCTTGTCCAGGCACTCGCTCTCGACCCGGAGTACCTCAAGAACGACTTCATGCAGTTGGCTCCCAACTACAAGGACTGGCAGGTGCCGCTCGGTCGCCGCTTCCGAGCGCTTAAGCTCTGGTTCACGTTCCGTCGCTTCGGAGCTTCTGGTCTCCGCAAACACATTCGTCAGTCGGTTGCGCTCGCCCAGCAGGCCGAGGAGCTTTTGACGAAGGACAGCCGCTTCAAGCTGTTCGTGAAGGCGCGCATGGGTCTCGTGTGCTTCTACGTGGCTTTCGGAGGCCGTGAACTCAACGAGGCGCTGCTGCGTCGCGTGAACGAGTCGGGCAAGGCGTTCCTCATCCACTCCGTTGTGGACGGGGTGCACTTCTTGCGTCTGGCCGTTGGCGGACTTGAGGTGGACGGTTGGCACATTGAGAATGTGGTGGGTTTGCTCTCCAACGCGCTCACCGAGGTGATCGACGAAAACCCAAAGTGGCAGGAGCTGCAGCGCGAGAGCTTTGCGTCTGCAGCGTAGACCGTAGAGTGCATTGTAGCAGATGTGGCTATTTCAGTCGGGAATCCGAGTCTACTGTAGTTATTCTCGATCACTTCCAAGGTTTTCATTGTTGCACTACCACCATGGACGAGCGCCGGCGAGAGCGCAACTGGAGTATGCAGGTCACGGCACTGTACGACTACGAGCCTGAACGTAGGAAGCGCCAAACAGTTAGATGAAAATCTCGTAGTATTTCGTGGCTGACCACTTGTGCAACTAACTGGTAGAACTGGACGAGTTGGGCTTTCGAGAAGGCGACGTGCTGCGAGTGCTGCGTGTTCAAGATGACGGGTGGTGGTCCGGGTACAACGTGGGAACCCCCAACGCTGTCGGCCTCTTCCCGTCCAACTACGTCCAGGCCCAGAGGAGCGTTGCACCACTTCAAAGTACTAAGAAGACACTGGTCGATGCAGTCACGACCCCGAGACCCCCTGCAAGTTCGCGACAACGGATTCAGCAGGAGGCTCGACAAGCACCCGACACACCCGAGCTCGAGGATGAAGAGGAAGAAGAAGATGACGAAGTTCAAGAGCTGCGTGGTGGATTTCGTGGTCACATTGGAACAGTTCTTCAGCTGAGGAAGAATCTGGAGGAATCTGAGCGAGCTACGAACGCAGTGCGAGATGCCCGACGCCAGGTTCGTCATGCGCGATACATGAGTTTGTACTGTTTAGTGCTGCAACTAACGCTGTATACATCTATAGGCAGAGCGAGATAAGTTACGGCGTACGAAGGGCTGGAGGGAGCGGGGCCAAAATGAAGAGGACGAGGAGGAACAGCTCGCCCAACACGAATCGGTCACCGATCGGCGACGCCAGCAACAAGAAAATGCCTCTGACAATGAAGAGGATACCGACGACGACGACGACGAGTCAGCATATCCGCAGCAACAAGGCCAGATGCACGACGGCTCCGAGCAGGGAGCTGAAGACGCTGAGCTCGAGAAAAGCTCGGCAGATGAGGGGGAAAATAACACGCACAAAGCCGCTGAAGCGGAGCAAGCTGAGATGGCGATTGAAGCAGAGAATGCCGCTGCTACAGTAATCGCGAGGTCCTACCGCCGCCACCGTGCCGTTGTCCAGGAACAACATGAACGGCAGCGAAGAGACGAGCAGCGGAAATTGAGCGAGGTCGCTGCGGTTTACATCCAGCGGTGGGCAGCACACGCGTATTCAAGACAGCGGAGGCGCCGGCAACGTGAGCTCGAGCAAAGCACAGCACGACGACGTTGGGAGCGAGAAAACCAAGCGGCCACTGACATTCAGAAGTGGATTCGCATGCGGTGGTCGTGCTTCTGGCGGAGACGCGTACAACTTGAGCGAGAGAGGCGAAATGAAATGGCTCTACAACACAAGGAGCTTGAGGATGCCAAACGGTGGCAGGCGGAGGAAGACCAAAAGCGCGTTGAAGAGGAAGAGAACGAGCACGATCGGGTATTGCAGCAAACGCTAGAAGAAGAAGAAGAAAAAGAACAACGAAGGCAGCTTGAACTGAAAGCGGCGGAGAATGAAGTGCAGCGTCGATTTGAGGAGGCAGGAGAACAAGAGGACGAGGGCGACCAGCATGACGTTGAACCAGCCGTGCCGTCTCCAAGCGCTCAAAGTCGTTCACCATACAAGCCTCGCCGCAAGGTGATGAAAAGGGAGGCGGTGGAGCTGATCAAAACGCTGGTTCAGCAGCAGCTTGGTGAGACTTTACGCGATCACGATGCCAAAATGGACGAGCTTCAACGTATGGTAGCGAGGCTTCAAACGGTTGTGCGCAAGCAGACTGCGATGCTGGAGGACTCCACCGACCAGATAGTGAACTTGCAAATGGGCCAAGAACACGAGCGGAAGATACCCATGCCACAAAAGAGCAACGGAGCAGGAAATAGTCCTTTCCTGCCGAGGATTGGCGTTCAGTCCACAGTTCCCCGCCAGCCTATTGCTCCGTCGGGTCTTCGTGCCCCTCGACCGGTGGTGCTATCGAAGTTACCAGTCTTGGCGGGCAGTACAAAGGGGGCACATAGCAACCAGTCGAAAAGAATGTGATGCTGGGACAATTTTGCCCTTACTTTTTGTCGCCTTTATTTGACTCGGATAGCAGATATTGTGCTTTGCATCCAGTTTGCCCTCCTATTTAGCTACAGTGCCTACAGTAATTAGTCTGGGCTCAAAATTAGTCTGGCTTCAAAATTAGTCTGGGCCAGACTAATTCGTGTCAAGCAAAAATTGACGTCTTCATTATTAGTCTGGCTAAAAATGTTCATAATTAGTCTGTCGTGGTGACCACGATTCTAGTCAATCTCTACCTACTTTACGATACTGATTTTTGAAAAAGCACTTGACAGCAGCCAATTTACCAGATCTCGCACACACAGAACCTGATATCTGGAAAATATAATAGATACCTGAGTGAACATGGCATCGAACCCAATGAATAGCCTTCTCTAACCGTTAGAGAAGCAGCATCTGCGATGATTTAGTCTTTATTTCTCCTTAAAGCCACGATAAATATAGGTATAAGGTACGGTGCCAGTCGCGTGCAATCTGCCAGTTCCGTGCCACTTTAGCTTCAACCAATTAGAATGCCGTAAGTATTTTTAAAGAACCCTATTGGTAAAAAGTCTGTAAGCGCTACCAGCCAGTAAAACCCGCCAAACTGTATACGAACAAGACACATTTCCCGCCAGTTTGAGCTCAGTCTCCTATTTCCTGAAGCCTACAAACCACCCACCAACCCCGCAGCGACCACCTCGACAATGCCCGCGTACGAGATCGAAGACCTCAATTCTGCAGTGAAGCGCGTCCTCGCCGGCGACAGCGCCCGCAGTGTCAGCGACAGCACCCCAATTCCGTATCGGACCCTTACGAAATGGGTCGCGAAGGGGAAAATGGGCATCTTCCGCGCACCTGTTCGTCATGGCCCGGCTCCGCTGCTCTCGCAACCAGCGGAGGCATGCTTGGTCGAGTGGATTGTCGGGCGCCAACTGGTCGGTCACCCCGCAAGTCGCAAGGAGATCATCTTCAAAGCCGGCACCATGAGCTCCATGGCCACTGGTCAAACGGTTGGTGGCGGGTGGTACCGCCGCTTCATGGGGCGACACCCGATGCTGGCAACCCGAACGTCTCAGGCGGTATGCAAGGCCCGCAACGCTGTGACCAAGAGCGATCTCGAGCAGTTTTTTAGCTCGTTGATCAAGGCTGTGGTCGCGAATCGTTTGGACGCGTCTCGCGTGTTCAACATGGACGAAACAGCGTTTCAGACAAACAAGGGCTCCAAGCGTGTCGTGGCGGTTCGAGGCTCCAAGAACGTTTGGCACCAAGACGTTGCTCTCAATTTTCACCTCACACTGGTCGCGTGTGGCAGCGCGTCGGGGTGCATGGTGCCGCCGCTTACTATAAAAAATATTTGAAAATAGGTATAAACATACAATTTCACAAAAACTAGGGCTACGCATAGGCTGGGACAGCAAATTTACGGGGGCAGCCAGAACTTTCACCACAGCAGTAGTATTACGACGACTATCAAGGCGTGCGAGCGCAACCTCAAAGCTTAACTACTCGTCGCCTCTCTTGCCTAGCAAGTGAGAGGAAGAACTATCAGCTTCATGGGCGACCTTTATGAGAAACCTGGAGCATTGAATATCTTGTATCATAGTTAACATTGCGTTTTGTTTTCTTTGCATTGTTTGTACCCTGAAAATTATCTTTAGACCACGACTTCTAGCGCCAAGATGCGCGCCGTATACCCCCCCCCAGCTGCAATATCGCCGCACGTAGCGGTCGTGGGGCCATTAACGTAGTCGTAAGCTTGGGAATGTAAGGATTTCTAAAAAAAATAGTCTGCTCAATGTCAAAGTTTGATATAATTGAGGGCTATACTACAGACATAGAGTAAGTGTCTCCTGCAGTCACACATTCGGTCTTGTAGCTACTGCATTTGTACTTCGTAGTTAAAACTCGTGTTGTCCTCATACCGCTCCAAACTTACTAGACAGTATCTACTTTTCAGATCGCATTACCAGACAGATGCTGCGCCTGCTTCGCAGCCGCAGGAGACGCCAATGGGTAATGATAAAAAGCCTGCTATAAACTAAAAACTAAACAACTACAGATACGGTCAAAAGACCCCTATCCTAGCCATTGCGGGGCCCTAGTGCGGTGGCTAGGTACGTAGGCCGGCTGCTTGGTTTAGTGGTAGAATGTGAAATTGCACAATAGCTGTAGTCCCATGGCGCCTATCAGCGATGCCGAGGTAGACACGGCCTGCGACGTCAACTACAACAGTCAGCCGAAACCACGTCTCGAATTCAGCGTCGTAGTGAACCTGATAGTGGCGAATTATGGCGAAAAACGCGCGACCATGCTAGTGTAGGGAACTTGTGGCTGTACTGAGCAATAGTTCGCGAGATAAAGGAAAAGCAGGGGGATAGGTACGTACGTAGGTGCCGGTTGCTTTAAAATGCGAATGGCTGAAGTCAAGTGACTCGAGATCGGACTCAGTTACCAGCTCCAGTTACCGGGTCACCAGGAAAAAGACAGCCAGTGACAAAGGACCACGATACCGGCCTCAGTTTACTGGCTTCAGTTACCGAGGCGCGAATTAACCCGATTTGGGCTGCCTAGCAGCATGACCTATCGGCCACTGCTATCCCAGTATAATGTTTTTTCTTACTTGAAAACGGATATTTTTAGATATTCATAATTAGTCTGAATTCAAAATTAGTCTGTCACTGTTGGGGCCAGACTAATAATTGTGGGCAATGAAAAATCTGCTATTCAGATTTAGTCTGGGCCAGACTAATTACTGTAGGTACTGTAGTGTTCGTTCTTAGCGGTAAATCATAGTGGCTTTGAATGCGAGCTGCTCGAATCGTGTTTTGAAACCGATTTTGCTCAGAAATGGCACTTTCTAAAAGTGCCAAAAGGATGCTAATCCGCACTTGGTGTGCTAGATCATGCAGGAGATGGCGCATGTGCACTACTTAGTGCTGATTGACCATCCACGACTTACAGCAATTCGGACTCGAGTACGATTTATTGATAAGTCGTGCTCGATAAGTCGTACAAGTACGAGTGACAGTCCGAAGTGCCAAAAACTTTGCAAAGCACAATACAACTTGTAAGTATACAAAACTGCATGTACAGGGTTTGGGATATGACTTACTTGATTAATTTGTAAGCTACAAGTTAAGTAGGTCATATCCCAAACCCTGTAAATGCAGTTTTGTCACTCGGCCGGATGCCCTTACCATTAATTGTGTACTTGATCCATCCAATCAGCACTTGGTTTCACAGTCAATTCGCGGGTCTACAGACAACGACCGGCAAATGCGCCACCCCTTGGACTTGACCTCCATAGTAAAATGCCCACCAATAATCCTCGAACATTTTCTGATTGGTGTAGTATTTCCCGGGTTCCAAGCAACACAACACACAACGATGTGAGGGCCAACCCGCATGGAAGTAGGGCTCTGTGTATTGCTAGGAAGAATCGAAAGTGAAGGGGGTGAGGCACTGGGTCTGATGGTAACCAGCCCGTGGCCTCACCAGCCTCCTAACGAGAGAAGCAGCTTCTAGAAGGTTCTACACCTTTGTCCGCTCAAGTTCGCGGCAGTGTAGAGCAACTTCGTGTGAAGTAACTGAAGTAACGCCTATATTTAGAGAAAAATAATGAATTTTGGATTTACGCCAAAGCGGATTTAGTACAGGGCAAATTGGTGGCCAGTATATCCTAGCGGCACCATGCCGAAGGAGCCGAAGCACACGCTCGCCGCTCGCGCGCGCGTCCTTGATGCTCATCGAGAAGGCGGGGACTGGATGCTGGTAGCGCATCACAATGGTATCCCTCCCACTATCGCGCGTAATATTGTCGAGCGGGGGGCACCAGAGCTGAAGAAGAGAGACGGGGCGCGCGCGGCCATCACTAAGTGCACGCCGGAGATGGAGAGCGCGCTGGTAGACTACCTCGAAGAGAACTGTCAGTATACGCTCTCGCGAATGCGTGATATGCTGTTCTGTGACTTTGGCGTTCTCGTCAGCACGTCGCTTATCAGCCGAAAGCTGTGCGGCAAGCTTTACACAGTAAAACAGGTCTACGCATGATGCTACTGCAAATGGGATGGCCCGTACGAACATGTATGTACACATGTATGCTGCTTTTCGGTATGTAGGTTAGAGTCGACCCAGAAACGTGCAATAACGCAGAGAACAATGAGAAGCGCAGAGTGTTTGGAGAAGCGCTTCTAAAACAAGAGCGGGAGGGGGCTTTTATTGTGTACTACGACGAGACCAATTACAATCTTTATTGTAAACTGTCCCAGGGGCGGGTGCCAATCGGAGAGCGTGCTGTGATGAAGCTTCCGCCGTCAAAAGGCGCTATCCTGCAGCTTCAGTGTGCTGTCTCGCCTGAGGTTGGACTAGTGCATTACGAGAAGAGGTGTGGAAGCATCAAGATGGATGTTAATGCGGCTTTGTGGACTCCATCTATGACGCTGTCAAACAGCACGATGTCTACAAGGAGCACTTCGTGGGAAAAATATCGCGGTGATCTTAGACAACACACCTGCCCACAATTAGACCGAAAATCCTGTCCGCGATTGATGTGATCTGGTGCGGCTTCGGCTGGCCCCCTATTCTCCAATGTGCAATCCCATCGAAGGTACGTGAGCTTACGTTACATCTTACTCTGTGTGTGCTCTAACAAGCTGTGTTTACCTACAATTGGCAGGCTGCTTCAGCACCTTGAAAGCACGCATCAAAGCTTACCTTGCGCTCAGCCACGAAGAGATGATGAATGTTCCCTACGGTCAGAAGACCGAGCTGCGAATGCAGCTACTCGAGAAGGCAGCCGAGCATGCGATGCCATGTATGGACCTCCGTCTGGCCAATAAAATGGCTCGCCACTGTGCGCTGTCCGTGGCGGCCGCGATCCGCGGCGAGCCCATGGAGTACGGGACTTAGCTGTGGACTAAATCCACTTTGGAGTACAAACTAAAATTTAAGTTTAGTTTTTTTAAGAAAATAATTGCAAATTTTGGCTCCCATTCCATATTGGTTAACGCTATCGCGAACTTGAACGGGCAAAGGTGTAGAAGGCAGCTGCTGCTCGAAGAAGTGGACATCAGAATAAACTTGCACTTGAGCCTACTCGATCCTCATGTAGCTCGACTGGACACTTCAGTCCAGTAAGCCACGCAACTGCTCGACCTGTTTACGCCGTAAGACACCTCAGCGTCGAGAGTAATAATTCGAAGAGATCATCCATTGTCATCAATCGGTGCTGATGACGCACTTGGGTGATCGTAACTTGGGTTATGCTGCGGTGACACCAAGCTGGACCTGGAATTCACTACACTGCCCCCGAAGCTTGTGTCACCGCTCATATCGTCTCGATCACCGACAGCGACTGCATTTCTCCTCAAGAAAGCTAGTCGTGCTGGCCACGGTCCTTACGAAAACGATTTGAACGGCGAGAACGTCGTTGACCGCCACTTGGAGGCTGTCCAGCCTCTGCGACTCTTGTCTTCGGACGCTTGCGTTTTGTGCTCGCAGCAAGAGGCCTTGCTCCAGCTCGATTGCCATTATCAGATTGTGGAGCGCTGCGGTCAGCACCTCCATCGCGTTTTAGTCGGCGCCTTGCCTGTCCCGCGTTGCCTGGTGGCACACGCGATTAACCGGTCGACGTAGCGTCGGGATCGACAGGTTGCCCGTCGGCGCTCTGCCTTGTGTTCCCCTGCAGCTTTTGCCAATGCTCCGCGAGCACCTCGTCCTCAGCATGCAGTACATAGTTTTTCACCAAAACACGAATTTCCTTAGCCAAATCACTCAGCGGCTCGTAGGAGACTTCGATGGCCTGGAAACCTTTCTACCCGACCAAAATCTCGTAGTCCTCGATTTTTTGTTCCAGCAGTGGCCTTTGAGTTTCTCCACTGCGAGCACGATGCCTTGCGATGCCACGTGCTCCAGCAACTCCTCGGAAACGTTCAGGCTGTCGCCCGCATAAAACTTGAGCCTGGAGGGATGCATGTCCAGCTCTTCATCTGTGATAAGATGTTATACGCCGAACGAATGCATATCAGCTCGCACCACCTTATAAGGGCCAACCCACGTCACCTGCAACTTGTTGCGGTGCTTCTCGTCGACTCTGGAACGCAGCACGTAGTCTCCGGGCGCGAAATTCACCATATTTTCGCCTCGTTCTCGCCGTTTGTTGAGGAGACGTTGCTTTTCCTTTTTGTCGGCGACGGCGTTGTGCATGTTCTGGATACTCGCGCGAAGTGTGTCCAGGAACGCATCAATTTCATCACTTGCAGGAATTTCTTGCAGGTCGTTCTTGTCAGGTAGATAAAACTCCTTCAATGGGGTCGGGCACTCGAGACCCGTGAACAGCTCTACTGGAGCGCGATTTCCGAGCGAAGGCACAGCAGTATGGTTGAAATTTGACTGGATCATCGGCACCAGGTACACCCAGTCCTTGTAGCTCACCTTGTAGTCGAGTATCATCGCACGAATGACTTGAAGAATGTCGCGATTGATTCGTTCAATTGAACCGTTCACCCACGGACTGTACGCAGGTGTGAACGACTGCTGGGAGCGGAGGCGGCGACAGAGCTCGGCGACTACCTCACACTTGAAGTGTGATCCTTGGTCGGATATCCAGTCAGGTGGAACTCCAAACCGCGAGTGCCAATCCAGTAACGCGTCCACCACGACGTGACTCTCATGTGTATCCGCGACTACCAGCTCACAGTAATGGGTTGCGTGGTCTTTCAGGACCAAAATGTACTTGTTCGCACCATAACTCGGCCCCAGGTATAGGAAATCAAAATGTAACACGGCGTTCCGTGTACTGCAGTCAATCTGCTCACCCCATGGCCTCGGGATTATCTTGCCTCCGTGAGAGTGTAGACACAACGAACATCCACTCACAAAAGTTGCCACCGTCTTCGTCAGGCGATCAATTGCAAACAGTCGATTCAGGTGGACTGTCATTGCTTGTTGTCCCCGATGGCCTTGGGCTCCGCAGTGCGCACCGACGTACAGTCGCTGGATCAAATCCGTAGCTTCGCGCGGCACCCAGATGCGGTTCCTAAGCGTTATGACGCCATTCTCACCGCGCTCAGCTTCGGCGGAGGTGAAAACTTCGCTTGGATCTCGCGCAGCTCCTCCAGCGTAGGCCAAGTGAAGCCGTCGTCATCGAGAGGTCTTAGCAAGGGCGACGCGTGTCGCTCGGACCCTTGTTGTCGTCGTACTGCTTTTATCCGTTTGACGGAAACAGCGGTCACATGGTTCCCAGCCCAACGGGAAATCATGTCTGCCCACACATTATCTGGTCCAGGCACATGCTCTACGACGTATCGAAAGTTCATCAGCTTCATCACCCATCTTAGAAGCTTGCCCTTGATATGCTTTTTCACGCTTTCGTGTGGGGCGAAGACGTGAATCAGGTTCCTATGATCGCAGTACATCCTGAAGGGTTTGGGCGGAGAAGCAAATAGCCCAGCTTCTCGCACGCAGTGACTATTGGTAGTGCTTCCTTCCGATAATTGACCAGTTCAGTTGGCTGCCCGTGAACGTCCCGCTCATGCAGTGGATCAATCGGTGTTGCTGTTCCGTGGCAGGCTTGGAAGAGTCAAACTCCGCAACTTGGGTCACGATCAACGACCAACCGACGTCCGATGCGTCTGAAAACAGGCACGTGGTCGCGTTGTCATCAGGGAAGTCGAGCGTGGCGGACGTTGCAAGCAGCTCCTTCACGTGATCATATGCCCGGCGCTCTTCCTCAGTCAAATCGATCTCAATACCTGCGGCAGCACGTCTTGTTCGTTTAGTGTCGGCAAGTGCTGCATCCAATCGGCGCTGCAGGGGTGCGACTTGGCGCGCGAAATCAACGATACTCTTGCGCATCCAATTGATGGCGCATACAAACTGCTGCGGCTCCGCAGCAGTACGCGGGTACGGGAGTGCTCGCAGAGTATCAATGCGCTCGGTATCATGCCGCACACCTTGGTGATCAATAACGCGACCACACCACTTCACCTTGGTCTGGTACAAACTGCATTTCTTAGCACTCAACAAACTGGTTGAGCAGTGAGAACAGCTCCGCCAGCTTAATCAAGTAGGTCTCGATGCCCGCAGCGTACAATAGCAGGTCGTCAATCCAGATCAGAAGGTGCTCGCAGAGTAAGGTTGAGAAACAGTCCGCCATTGTTTTCTGGAAGTGAATGGCAGCATCACTGCTTCCTTGCGGCACTCAACACAGCGTGAAAACCTTCATGTCAGTCATATAGGAGAAAACCTCTTGGCAGAGCACTGCAAGCGGCAACTGCCAGAAACCCTTGAGGAAATCAAAAAGGCCAAAATGCTTCATTCCTAGGGCGTTTTCCAGACCTAACAAAAGAATAGGCATCACTGCCGCCATGACGTCCGTCAGCGAGTTGACTGCTCGGTAGTCGGTAGTCTGGCGGAGGTCCATGAGGTCGGCCGATTTCTTGACTGGAAAAACGGGGCTCGACCAGCGGCTCTTGGGGTTCTCGTACACCAGTCCTAGAGCCACAAGGCGATCGTTAAATTCTTGCAGGAACTTCCGGATGTGCGGCGGGTACTTGCAGGGTTTACACTTAGCTGGGCGAGCCCCGATCTGCAGACGCACTTCCAGGAGCGGCACGTTCGCCGGTGAGTCAGCACGCAACTCGAGGCGCCACACATCGTACGCGTGCACGATCGTGCGCAGCTGCTCCACATGCTCCAGCGGAAATCCGTTCTCCACGGCGCGGTCAATCAATCGGAGTTGACTCGAAGAAATGCCAGCTGCTCGAAGTTGGTCGGAAGCATTGATCGACGCTGCGGTGTCAATACCAGCTTGCACTGAGAAAAAGCCGCTCGACCGTGTTCGACGTCGGAGGAACCCTTTTCACGAGCGGCATGTAACGTGTGGTACTCGGCGCTTATTTCCTCTTCTTTCCCTTCCCTTGGAGCAACATCGTCGCGTAGTCTTCTTCCCCCTCCTCGCGCTTCTTCCCTGTGGGTTGTGCCTGCTCGAACTGCTTCAAAGCTGCTGTCTTCACGAACGATAAAGCCGTGCCGGAGATGACCTTGACAGCACCCGATTCGAAAGCGACCGACAAGGCTTGTGGATAGGGAGTTGGGGAGATGCAAACTTTATCACAGGAGGTATTCGAAGTCTAATCCAGGACAGCGCCATCGGCCGATGATTCGAAGCAAGTAGTCAGTAGCTCAGTAGGGTTCCGCCGGTCGTTATAGCAGTGTTACTACTTCTATATGTATCGGAACGCTCATCGCAGAGTCTGAACGTCCAAACTACCATACATACTGTCTTTCACGTCCATTGCGAATGCACACAGGAGGGTTTACGTTCGAGCGATTGTGTCTACATTAGCTTGTTAACTTGGCCGTCGTGTCATCCTGATGATGCACGATTATGATGCAAACAAACACAAGCATTTCATCAAATTGTAGCAAATACAATATAATAAAAACATATAAATAGAATAAATAAAACACATTTTGAAATACGATATAACAAAATAAGTCGAGCCTCCGACCCGTATAAAATGTGAAATATGAAGATTTCAAACCAAAATTTAAAATGGGGGATGCTAAGGAGAAAATCGGACGTTACATGTTCACTGCATACCTATAAACCGAAAAGCTGACCCGCAAAAAGGTGAGTTTTGTTTGAAGGCCATTATCTTAGCTGCTACATTTAAACTTGCATTTTCCCGCACTGCCTTGACATGCCGTACTTCTCTCCTTAACCACTCCGACTAAGTAGAGCCGCCTTGTACTCTCAGAACGGGAGGGGGGGGGGCGTCACTCGAGCTGGTGATACCAAACCGCGGGTAGCTCGCTCATTAACTTGATCAGAACAGCGTCAATGTCATGCAAGTATCTCGGCCCAGAGTGCTTATGGGCAACTCCACCACTGGCTACGGCGGCTGGTCAGTGTCACAGTCAACTTCAAAACGGGTAGTAGTCTGTTCAGCTAGTGGCGAATTATACATGAGATGCGTAGGAAGTATATTAACCACGCCTGGGACCTGACAACCTCTCGGTGAGTAGGAAGCTTGATTTCATTGACTAAAGCGAAATATAAAGTGAGGAACCAACGCGTACACAACAGCTCAAGTCATACAGTGTCCGGGTATTGCCTCGACGCGATTGATGTTTAGCGCTATGACCATTGCATTTGACATCATGGATAAGTCAGACCAGATAATGTTCCAATCGCTTCCCAACCTGATATAAACTTCAAGGCAAAAATACAACACAATCAAAAGTGGACAAAACACACAGAAAACCTCACCAAAAACAATACCATACCTTAACACAAAGTACAACCAAACAAAATACAGCGAAGTAGTGCCTAACGGACTGTAATCTTTCCCCGGGTGCTCCCGCACGGGCGCGCAATTTTATGAACGGCCATCAGGTGCATGTATGTATGCAGCTGTTTTGAGACCTGGAGGTGCAAATCAAGATTTACCGAAAAGGCGAAAAAGGAACGCCATGCTCAGCTTGACGACGACGACCGATTTTATTTAGGAAGTCGAAACGCTAAGTTGCGCTTTTGAAGTTGGGCCCATGAAAAAGTTTGAGAAAAAATGGAACACCCATGTCGGACGTCTACAAGCTGTTCTAGGATCTACCAAGGCCCATCGAGCCATGCGGGTTGCCTACGCGTGAAGTGACGGTCGTCAAGAAACGTTTGAAGGAGCGGTGTGATTTTATGTACCTGGAAGGGCGCCTCGATTTTCTACTGGACCCTCCCTATCGTGGTCTGGACATAAATGCTAAGACGCGCTGTAATGTCGAGACACTACTTGTGCAGGGGCACGCCAACGACACCAACAAGGTTGGGATTGAGTTGGTCCGTTCCCAACGCTTCGCTTTGAAGGTGAGCATCGCTTCGTACGTGGACCCTTAAAGGCGGGTGCACGTGTACTTCAACGCGCGGAAGATTCCAGACTCCGGCACGGAGATTACTCTGACCTGGATAACCTACTGCGGCCGATCGGGACGACGAACAGGACGGCGATAGCCGCGACATTCTAGACATCGACTTTGCGTACTAGTAGGGTACACGTTATCGCTAGAACAGTTATCGCTATCGAAACAATTTTTTTGGTAATACAAAATGACGGTATGGCACCCTATCAGAAATAAATGGCAAATAATCGCAGACGGCGTTTTGGCGGTCTTATCCGTTACCTGGTAACGATTGCGTAGTGTTTCATCGTACTGTATTGGCGCAACACCGCCTTGAATAGGCAGCTGTCAGTATCGACACAACTCACCGATAACCTCTTTACCTGGTGGTCTTGTTTGCGAACGGCCCTAATAAGCCAGCCAATCGAAGTGTCGTTGATGTACGGGGACCATTGAAAGATAGTATTTTTGGCTATTGGCTGTCCAGCCAACCTGGCTACGGAGCTTCACTAGGCTACTCATGTTCATCTTGATCAAGTTACTCAGGACCCATATATGGCGGTGATCGTGGTAAAAACGGTGTCCCCCGGGATAAATAATCGCAGCTACCATTGTGTAGCACATTACACCCCTACCGAAAACGCCGAAGGGCGAGGCGTGGTGTCTGCGCTGCAGCACAGGGCGCACCGCCCGGTTGAAAATGCCAAAGTGGTTGAGATCGGACAGTTAGGTATTTTTCATCCAAACGTAACCGGGGTCATCACATAGGCACATTGGGCTGCAATGCCGGACACTGCATTAGAGACGCTCCCAAATCTATGCGCTCAGTGTACTTTAATATTGCAAGCCTCTCAAGATTTCTGAAACCCGGGTGGCTATTTACCCACCGCCAAGTCCACGTTGAACACACTCTCACTGTTTGCCCCTCCGGTTTGCGTTGTTGTCACGCAACGCTTATATGAAAGACTTGAATATTTTGTTTTTTGAGCTGATGCTTCAATTATCTCTGCTGTATGTAAAATTCTTGAATCTTGCTGACAGGAAAGCTATTGGAGATGCTAGAATGAAAGGACCCCGGGCTAAAATATTTGACAGAAGACGTCTGTCGCTTGTCCTAAGTCCACGAACCTCGGTATCGTCCACTATAAGATTCCTCACATTGGGGGAGGCGCTTTGCAAAGCATCGCCGGGCTGCTGCGTAAGGAATATATTGTTATATCTAAGAGTGCATGATGTAACATCATGAGTGATACGAGTAGGCTAAAGTTCGCATCTACGATCCAATGTACGTCCCAACGCATCAAGAAGCTGACCAAAACAAGCGTTTCTGGTCTGGCGCCTCCGAAGAAGACAAAATGCCACATCTGAGACAAAATACCACATCTGAGATCGGCTTCTAACTCGACAGATCAACTGCAGTGTTCAGGCAAGTAGTGGGTACGGAGCACGGCTGGATCCAAAGTTCGAGGTGAAACCGATTCCTTTTCTCCGGTACCGGTAGTTGAACTTGTCCATTTAAAGCCATGCACTAAGGTCATTGGCGGCATTTTCAATTGTTGGATGGGGTATAAAACGCTGAATACAGCTCTAGCGTTTGGAGCCGTATGCCATGCGTACTATTTAATTCTCGCTGCGGGTTGCCACCTAGCTGTTAACCTATTGTACCTGCCTTATTGTAGTTACGCATCTCTGCACGAACGGTGCCCGAAGCAAGTTTACAGATGTCTCTGAAATATGCATCAATACATTGACTGAGTAAATCACGAAGCACTTCTGCACCATATAACCGACACCATGCGACAAGTGTCGCATGCGCGAACTTGACCACACCAGCCACCATCCGAGCCACCCATGCGACGCCTCAGCAGGCCGAGCGCCAATAGTAATATTTTTACATCTACCGTAGCTGCTAGAACTTCGTCATCCAAAGCATCCACCCTATCAAATTTGTGCTCACCCCGACTTACAGCTAGCCAAACACCTGTACATGCGTATGTAATAGCATATCTACATCTGCAATTACTATTAGAGCCCCGCAGCTCGCAGCATCTACTATATCACTGTGCGACTTGCACGTATACAATGAAGAGCACTCCAGCCCGTGCAAAACCCGCTGTCCTCCGAGTACTTAGTTCCCTACATCTACATACACCAATCGCAACCGTTAAAGTGTTAGAGACTAGCGGGGCCCAGCTTCCGCAACACCACCTCCGCACCTGTATTGCGAACGTCAACCTACGTGGCCTCCTGTCCGAGCTCTCCGGCCCGAGCACTTGTGTAGGAAGACGCTTTGTAAGCGCGTAAGGAGGTTTTTTAGTTGCACAAAGAGAGCATTGTTGCTTAATAAGCTAGCATCATCGAGATTACACGCAGAGCGTATCGTTGCCGAATCATTGGTATCATGTACGCTAGAAATGTTTGGCTGACACTATTGATTTTTTGCTGGAGTACGTTTCACTAATAGATTTTGCTTATATTTGAAACAATTCAGTCCCTCGCCACCGCCGGAGGTAGCGCTATTGGCAATCAGGAGCTCAGTTCCGATATAATATTTTTTCTTATTCGTTTCCTCTACAGATACCCCCAACATATCGTATTACTAAATATCCCGTGGTATACATTCTGTCTTTTCAAAGCTGTTAGAAATATCTGTACCAAATTCGCTTGTTATTATTATGCACCTGAGTACGATGCTTTTGTTAAGTGTTCCAGGCACATCGGTATAAACATACTACAATGTTTGTGAAAGCCTTCTGCAAACAGCAAGGAATACCGAGGAACCCAGTCGCCCCTCAAATTGGACTAACACATAAAGTACCATTATTAAGGGTACCGAAGAACAAATTGTTGTGGCGTTTCTTTGTCTAGCATACTTTCAACCAAAATCGCTTTCTCAAACGTGAGCACATTTGAGGGAGCTACCTATGCTGCATGAACGCTCATGTTAGTGCAACCATTACGGTTGATGCTGCAAAAACGTGTAGACGATGGCCTAGATTTGGGGTGAGCGTTAGGACAGCCCCGTGACCGTGGCCAGCGCCGGCACCGTCAGGGACCGGACCTTAGATTTCATCCCGGGCACCCAGAATGACTTCCATATTCTCGTGAAAGTCACATTCGCTGACCCTTCAGTCGCTCTGGTAATGCAACCACCACTTGTGCGTCCCCATTATCATTCTTTCCAACCCGTACTGGATTGATCTTTTCTGCTATCCACGCTCTACGGAATGCTGCATCCGAGTCTAGGTCTCGCGGACGCCAGTACATAGTGTGCATAAAACCCATTAAAACGTAAGGAGCCGTCGAGGACGTGCTGGGTACGAGAAATCGTACTGCAAATAGCGGTAGAGACTTTGTAGAGTATTAAATTACTTTGAGCCGCAGGCACGACTTTGTTCATCTTTTTGTTGTATCGACTCAGTAAATATGAGTTTAGAACGCTATTGAAGTTAGATTTCCATATCACCCCTTTTAGAGTAATCCCCCCCGCACACACAAAACGGGTACCAAACGTTGGCCGTACCCCACGCGACATAATTACACTTGGAAGTTAATGCGTATGATATTGTGGTGTAGCAGACGTGCCAAAACTCGTTAGCTTCCCACTCTCACACCAACAACACCTACACTAACGGGAGCGCAGGCTTGTCGGGTGATCCGAAGATCGCCCAGTCCGTTTACAGCGGTGCGGTGGTTACCCAGGCATCTGCCAAGTCGTCCCAGCAGGAGCCGTTCCACGAGCACAGAACACGCTCCCCTTCCTTCGCCGACCTCTCCTTGTCGCTTCTTCTCCTTCTCCTTCTCCTTCTCTCCTTGGCCCGTGCCCTCCACCAAAGGATGGACGGCGGCTCTCGCCTTTTACGGGGCGCCGATGCAAAACCGCACCGGCTGAGTCGGGGGCGGGCCGAAAACTCGCGCTCGTACGCTCGACGAGCTCTTCGCCAGGGGCGGAATCCAGATAACCACTACACGCACTCGCTCTTGGGCTCGCCGGGCGGCCGAAAACACTTCCGTCACTTCGGATAGCCGATCTCAGCGGTGGTCATTATCTAGCCCCACGGGGGCGGTCGTACCTTGAAGAGACGCCGCGTGCCGCTTGTTTAGGACCTCGAAAATTCCACTCTGTAGTTATCTTTGCTTGTTGGGCTCAATGACCCTTCCTTCGGGTTCCTATACAAATATCTAATGAAAATGGGCTGTTACGGCCCCTCCAATACTAAAACCAAGTTAACTCGCTCGCCGACTCCTCGCTCGCCGACCCTTGAGATTTTTGGGATCCTGCGTCGGCGAAACTCCTCCGGTCGGTGTCTGAAGTACACACTTGGACCGGACGGGCTTGTGCGATTACGGCAATCTCTTTCTCGCCAAGTCCTCCTCGTGCTTGCCGCAGTGATGCCGTCGATGCTGGATAGCGGGTGTTACCATGAAGTCTTCGCTCGCTGACTTCGGTACCCAGCGAAATCCATGCTACTGCCCTGCATCTATACTCGCCGAGATGTTTGAGTCGACTTCGGCGATGGACGAGAAAACGCTATACCACAATATATTTATAACAGGCACTGATTTTGATTGTACAGGAAACACTAGGATGCCATTGCCTAATTGAAACTGCGTACTTCATTTCGAGACGGGGGGAGGGGGGGGGGTAGTCTGGCTAATATTAGATGCTGGCGCAGCTAAGTGTTGTGCTGTCTTACACGACTAGGGCTGCAATTTTTCATGCCACACAGTAGGCAATATACTCAGTAAACAGTTAGTGATCTGCCCGAATCCCGAGATGGCGCGAAAAAAACCAGTTGAATATAGCTAATAGAAAGGTGCCCGTTCTCAAGGAATTGTTACGACGCCAAATAACCATCGATATGCATGTAAATTCCTCTGAACATTTACGGCAGTGTGGACATTCTGGTCAAATTATATATATAAATCGCTCAGTGCCCGCCTAAATCACCAATCGGCATCTTTATTTACCATCCTGCATGCATGGGTGCACCTGAATACTCCAGATGGTTAATATAAGAATACCGGAGTACCGAATGGCAGACTTGAACATATTCTTTTGAGCCGCAGGAACAGAGCCATCAGGACATGGTGCCCAGGACACTTCTGGATCAAACCTTCAACCCAGAACGGCCCCCTCAGAGATCCAGAGTTTTGTGGCGATTAAGTTAACTGGCTTTAACGCATCGAATAGCTTCGTTTTAAGTGAAGAAACCCTCAATCCGTAGACAAGATACCATACTCTGGGTTTGTCGTTGCCCGCGGGTGAGTAGACGCCCGACCCCAGGTCGAAGTTGTGTAGCCGCTTGGGGTCGTCACCCACCGTTTTTGTCGTCGTGGAGTGACCGGCCTGCTTGGTGGCGCGAAGGTGGGGCCTAGAAGACGGAGATCGCGCTGGGGTATTCTTTGTGACGTTTGAACCGAGACGTGAGCGGTTGTCGCTTGAACCAACCAACTTCACTAAACGATACCTAGACACAACTTTGAGACATGCTCGCAAGGCTCCCGTGCCAACTACCAACGGCTTCAAGTTGAAAGTTGCATGGTCAAAAATCCTGGAATTCGTCATCTGGCGGCATTCAGCACGCACCGAAAGCTTCCACATCTCTCATTTCCATACTTGCTGGGAAGAACCAACGCCTAATTCGCGCTAGCAAACTACCGTCCTTCAGTACTCAACTATTGCGTGGTGATGTCGATAACTCGCTTCTTCTCGTTGATGTCCCAGAACGTCAACTCGCCTTCCGTCATATATTGGACACGTATATTAATCAGTTTCGCGATCGCAGAGAACGGTATCTCGAACTCCGCAATGTACGTGTAGTCGTCGACGACGAAGATTTTTTGGCTTGTCCTGGCGCGTTAAAAACAACGGGTATAGGAGCTACTTATGTTTTGGTAATCAAAATCACATAGGCTCTACTTTTGCTGAAGGCGAGTCCTACACCATTTCGGCTACTAGAGGTTTGCCGCAGTAAGCGAAACCAATTTTCCCGATGTTTTAGTTCAGGTATCCAGCCATAACCCAGTGTAATAGGTCATATGAGACCGCGTCGAACAAAAAGATACTAATCAACCAAAGAACGAATTGGTATTTAGGTACCTCGTTGGAAAGAGGGGCGTCTTAGCTATCTTATGAGGCCCTCCACAACTTCTAAGAGTTAGATTAGCCAAAGATATGACCCCGCGAAAATTATCTCCCGTCCCAGAGCAAAATTATGATTTTTTTATTGGCTACCCTGGTGTAAAATTGTACAGCGGATCCAATGATACCCTTCGTTTCTTCAAATTCGCATTGAAATAGTCTTAAAACTTCACTTTCGTGCGATGTTTCACATTAGTGACACATGCTGTCAATTGATATCATTTTGGTTTAGCATGGACATAAGTATCACATTGATTGATCAGCTGGGCTAGACGACGTACATTGCTACACTTTTGAACTAACCAGAGACTGCAGCTCTTGAGCCTTTCCCTGAAGGCAGCGACGCTCACACTTATCAGCTCTGATAAGGCCTGTCACCTTCTGGTGAATATCAACCTCGATCAAATTGATACGTATATCCTCCTCGGCTTGCTCATCGTCTTCGATTCCCTCGCTGTCCCCCGTCACCTCTCTATCCTCTTCAGCTGACTCGGCCGTGCTCCAATCTTCATCATCATTGCTTTCATCAGGCTCCTCGCTCTCAGACGAGACGTCGCTGGCGGCATGTGCCGCAACGTGCGGGAAGCTCACGCGGGGTCGATTTTTCTGGTTGCGCTGCCGATCGGTTCGAGAAGGCGTGCACGCCGGTGGTTCGTGCAGCTCGGAGGCACTCTCCTCCTGCTGCGGATCGGAGGTGCGCGCAAGCTGCTGCCCAGGAGCTGCCGAAGGGTGCTGCTCGGGCGCGTACGGCGTATGCTGCTCGGGAGGAGGGGGGTGTTGACAGGGAGAGGACGCGGGCGGCTCCGAGGTACCAACGGACTGGCGCGAGAGCGCCGGAAGCCTGTGTGCCGGCGGGCGACGACTCGGGGCCGCTGGAGGTCTGCGATGGCAGCTCGGAGGTCGAGCGGTGGGCTTCCATGCCGGCGGTGGTGTAGATCTTCTTTGAGAGTGAGGTGTTGAGGGAGCGTTCGCTTTAGTGACAGTTCAGGTTTTCAAATCACAAATCGGGCCCTTTCTCGAAACTTCACTTAGATACGAAAAATAGCAGCCAATTTTTAAGCGAGATTATCTCGATAACTCTAAATGGTGGCTTAATATCATTTTGTTCGAGGCAGTCTCATATTATATATAAGACGACATTACGACCAGGTTTGTACAGCCTAATCTGTTTTGGCGAACTTGAGCTCCGCGAGACTGCGCATCGTTGCGTCGGTATTCTAAAGTATGTTAATCCGTGTGGTCACGATCTCGTTCTCGACAACATCACGTTCCCCTCCCATTGTCATTGTACATAATAGCCCCTCCTCTGTTTTGCATGCAATTGCGGTCATGCTGGTTCCACACCCTGTAAACAAAAAGTAGGGTGCACTCTGGCTTGTTTCCGTTTAGGCTTATCGTAGCAGCCATGCACACGGTAGCGAACCCGTTGCAGTTGTTCGAATGTGTCAGCCGGCACTCGATTCGGTACCTACACATCGTTCAACCTAGTCAGATATCTCGCACGAAAGTCAGTACGAAGCGTGCACGTTGCCCGAGGTTTTGCAGAACTTAGTTTTTGTTATTGCGTAAGGCCCGTAGGCGGTCGTACAAAAACACTACTCGAAACGTTTGAATTGATTTTCTTTTCTAAGGCTCCCCAATTGTTGAAGACGTCGTTTGGTAAACCGATAGGTACGACAATTCTTTGTGACTGGCAGACACTTGCTCACGGTCTTTCCTTGTTTTATCGGATTTTCTTCTATAGTCATCCTAATCCGCTTTCTTCAGCTCAACATGAAATGCCAGTATGGTGATATCAAATTTGGTTTTTCGCCATGTGTCTCCATGATGCTTATAGCGGCTTCGCGACTACATTGACTGAATCTTGCAAAATTCACAATACCATCGTATATGGTTTTTCAAGCACAGCTGCCGAGGTAGCATCGTTCGGCCAAGGACTCGAGACGCTCTCCTTCATCAAGATAACCACGGAACAAGGGTGCCGCCTCCTGCACCTGATTCAGACCGTGAACCATGTATTGAGAATACTAAAGAGGTTCAAAGTGCCGTGAACCTCCTTAGTATTTTTACTTCATGGAGCTCCGTATCGCTGATGCGTTTGATCATTTTGAGTGATACCACATAGGGAACGCTCACCCGCTCGACTTGCCCTAATTAGAATACTATAATAAACGACTCGGTGTTTATTCTGGTTCTAGTAACCGTTTTAAAAACAGAAAGTTTCTAAAGATTGTAACTATTTTGTTGTGTTCAGAGCATTTTTATAACACGTTTTAAGGATGCCAGATGCGACCGTGCTGTCGACGTTTTAAAGATCAAATCCGGATCCCGCATCCAAGTGTTACGAAAATAACGCTGCATCTCATCCTTGTTCAGATTGGCGCAAAATTACAATCCACCTGCACATAAATCTGGTGCCCAAAAAATATCAATCAATGTAGAACACTGAGTTCTCAACCCCCAAATTTATCCGGAAGCCAGTATCTTGTCAGCGATTTAGTACATGTCAATGATCGCCAGAATATATATAAACTTCTGGCGCGAGGGTATCGGCAATCTGAGCCTAACAAATCCGAAGCTCGATCACGTTCTGATGGAGTGCCTGCGTCTAGTGGAAGGGACACCCGACAATATTGATTAACAGGAACGGGTCAGTAATCGCGTTCATGATACCAGATTTAAAGTCGATGGCGAGTGTCGCTGGCTTCGGCAGGTCCCCGCCTAGATGATCCCGTAGTTGAGAGCGTTCCCGTCTCCGGTGGTATAGGATTAAGTTGTAAGTACAAGGTGGAGACGCACACATCCACATCTTTGTCTTTGGCCGTCACAATAAGACACTGCGTAAGGGTCAAGATACCCTCTAGAATGTGCCATTGATGTACAGGGCGGAGCTCGCTGGTGAGAGCGGGATGGCTATCGGTGATAGTAAGGATTGTGATTACCTCGACCACCTCGTCACAGCTGTGATCGTAGTGGGATATCCCTGCATTACCGCGGTCAATAAGACGGGTCTTACAACCCGCCCGATGAACCTTAGTAGGAGGTAGTACCGGTCTCTTTACGACAACGCGCCATCGGTCGATCGGAGGTACCACCTTCTCATAAACTGCCATAACATTCACACTAAGCTGCTCTCGTTTGGCTGTAAATCGACCTCCGGCCGTCGTTCAGAGGCCTCTCTCTCCACTATCTGCAGACCTCTCTCTGCGCCTACATATCCCAACAGGTATCATGCATTAGCTTAGAAATAGTATGGATATCCTTTTTAATGGGTCATCCGCTGCGCAGGTCAAATTTGGCTCAACGCATTTAACGCTTTTTTAGGTCAAAAATGGAACAACAGAGTTCAACACACATTTTTGGTCAACTTACGATAAAAAATTATCACCCCCAAGAGCTTACACGATTACTCCATATGTGATAGTTCTGTGTAAAACATGGCTAACTAGAATGTTTTACAAAGTCGCCCCAATCAGGTTTTAGAATAATAATTGGAGCCAGTAAGGATGGGGGCGGTAACCTTACTGAAACATGACCAAGTAGCATGTTTTACATTAGATACGAACAAAACCTGTTTTAGGTCCGATTTTGGTTTGCGGGTTGGGCGCAAAACCATGCATCTAGCCATGTTTTAGGATTTTGTATCGGGAGGTACCTATACAAATTCCAAGTATAATATTCATCGCAAAAGGGTTAATAATAATGCAAGGGATCGATAATTTTTAATGTTATATATAGCTGAGGATGTTGTGTGAGATTTAGTGTTGTGTAATTGCTGTTGTGTAATTGCTTGAGTGCTGTGTACTTACTAGATACTTGTATTCGTTTGTCGTTGTGTGCGCTTGCAGTTTTGAAGTTGTTGTGTATTTGTTGGTCAATTTTGTGTGTGGTTCAAGCTCTGTCGTTGTTACATATTTGTTGGTCACTTGTGGTTTTGATTAAAACGGTTTTGACATTGTTCTATATTTGTTAGTGGCTGCGTGTTAGGCTCTTGCCATGCGTATGATAGACCTTTGCTAGTTTGTAGACCCGTAGTGTCGAGCATCGCAATCTCGTCAGCGACACAATTGACCGCAGAGTTTGTAATCTTATCGCGGGTGCTGTGTCGTCAATTGTATTATTGCTCCAACCAGATCGTAACAGCCATTTTGAAATCTTTCAAGTTCTAAGCACCTCATCTCCTCCCCCCTTCCGTCCCCCACGACGCCCACGCACCATGACCTTAAGCGACAAATCGATGTCCAACTCCCTCCTGTCCGATGGATCCGAGCTTCGCAACACCGAGACGGTCCTACTGCTCAACCAATCCTCGGGATCTGAATACGAAGAGAGTGATGGTACCCATCTTGGAGTCGCGCCGCCAGCTGAAGATGCCCACTCTACTGCATCACAAATTTTATTTCTTATACTTACTAAGAAATCCAAATTATTATTCTGAAACCTGATTGGCGCGATTTTGTAAAACATTCTTTTACACGACCCCAACACAATTTCAGAACTTAATCGATATGCTATATCATGATAACTTTCCGATAACCCTGACCTGATTGGCTGCTATTCCTTATTTGATGTATTCAATGGCTTCACGACTGGAAATGATAGCGCTGAATATTTGGTAAAGATCCTTCCACGGAACATTTATCATGAATACCCTGTTTACATCTAAGCAAACGGAAAACGGAGAAAAGTCATGACTAGGGCATGAACCAATGGCCTGTTACCTGCGGATAAGTGCGATTAGGCCATGACCTAAATACCACGCGCTCATTGGTAATAATAGTGAGGTGTCTTTCCAGTGGTTCTGCGACTTCGTATTCCTGATCACAAGGATAACACCCGAGATAATGGAGAAAAATAATACTTCTCATTCCCAGGCAGCGGAGGATGGAGGTTGCCCGCAATCTACCGGCGTACGTGAAGACGTTCAAGGAGCGCGACGGCCGGGCAGGTAGAAGCTCAAACACACGCTGCTGACCGCCATCTGGCTATGTAAGTGCTTTGTGAAGGACAACGAGGTTTATGCTCAGAACACCGTGTTGCGGTAGCGTCACCACGGAGATCGTGAGCTTCAGCGACAGCGTCGACCAGCTCCGCAGCATCAACGCCGAGGTCGTGGCCATCTCTACGGGCTTGCACCTGGGCCAAGACACCACGTAGCGAGAGCGGCCAGGGCAAGATGAATATCCCGCTGATCTCGGACATCAACAAGCGCATCTCAGAGGACTACGGCGTGCTAGTCACGGAGAAGATGACAAGCTGTTCGGCGCCGCGCTGCGTGGACTGGTCACGGACGAGGTGGACGAGAAGCTCGGGGCCACGCTGCGGGGATTTCGCATCTACGGGAGAGTTGGTAACCAGGTCATGAGCATCAACCACGAGCCCAGGTGCTGCATCAATGCAGTGTGTGGCGTCGCGTGGAATGCGTCCTCATTTTCTTGTAGCTTCAGCAACACCACGGTCTAGTTTTTGAAACTCCTTGGTGTCCAGGTCCATGTAGTCGGAAGACGTGCAGAAGGAAATAAATGGTGACTTCGTCGTACTGCTCACGGACACTGTCAGGTGCAGAAGGAAGCTGGGACGTGATAATAAGAGGGGTACGTGGTACGATGTGTACACGATGAAATAAATATATTATAATCGGAGCTGACACTCAGATTGTTTTTTGCTACGTAGGTTTTTGAGAATGCAGCGATACTTCGTTTTCCCCGGTCCGAGTCAGCTTTGTTGAGTGCACTTTCAATGGATAGGCCACGACTAACTAAGGAGCGTACGTATTTAATCATCAGTAAAATTTGGCTTCGTTTGACGATGATCTCCGCCCAGGTACTCGATGGATGGGTGGTCTGATAGCCCGACATGCCACTCCGTCCACAGCTCACGAACAGTGCTGAGACCTCTGCTCATTGAGTGCAGCGGTATGGTAGAGCTTGCAGGATTGCTGGTGCGCTACCAGGAACTAATACCTCGCTGCGTACATGCTCAGGAGCTCCGCTGCTCACAATAGGATAGGCCACTGGCATCAGTTGGAACGTCATTTGCCCGCGTAATTAAGAGGTGAGATTACTATTCATCTCGGAGAGTAGCCGCGCAATTTGAACATGTCGTGTCTCGATCCCTTGTATGTCGTCTGTGTGTTGTCGCGAAATCTGCTCAGATAGCAACGGCATGGCGACTTGAAGTTGCATCGCTAACGGAGGATTAGCGCTAGCTGCTCCTGTTAGTGCTTGCGTTCGAAAACGATGAAAAGCTTTCCCCAGGATGTGGTGGTAGCGAATTCGAGCAGGAACCTAATCGAATAGGACAGCACATACTTGAAGAAACACCACTCGTAGGTAGCCTAGCAATTCGAGAAACCCACGGGCCGCTAAATTTGCTTGCCACTCTCCGTCGGAAATATTTTGCAAGCAACCCTCAACACCAGGAAACACCAGACGTTGTAACTCTAGTGGTGGCTCGACTGATGCACGCTCTAGAAAATATAACCAGGATCGAGGTGAGTGGTCTAAGCGTGCGCGCATCGCTTTGCGTTCACCTTGCCGTGAATACCCTTTTTGCCCTCATACGCATCTGCAGGAGGTCAGTAAACATCGTAATACAACCGCGCAGTTGTCCAGATCCCAGGTACCATTGGCGAAATCACTAATGCTGCTAACACGAACTGGCGCCATGGAATCGCCAGCTCGAAACTCATCTGCTTAATTTCCATCTATGTCCGCACAGGCACGAGAAAAGATTAAGGATTTGATAACATACCCATTGGTTAGGCACTTCAAATACGTATCCGGTTGAGTGGACACGCGCCGATCGCTACCTCTCACTCGCGGAAGCGGTCAATGAGTAGCGCTCCGATCTGCCAGGCAGCACCTCCATCTCCAAACGGATCACCAACTCGACGACCTCGTTGCCCTTGCCTATCTGCTGTGATGATACGGCTACAAAATCAGTAACCGGTTTTCTCGTTTAAAACATCCTTTTAATTCAATGATATTGTCATTACACCAAGGTGTTTAACACCGTACACCAGGCCAGCAACATATGTCCATTTGCAGTCTTTTTAGTAAACTAAGGCGCGCTCTGCGCGCATGCTTCTCTCAGCGAATGAACTGCAAGTTGCCATTGTATCACGCAAATAGTACAACGCGTACTATCAGGATCTATGTGCTTCGCTGGAGAGCCTATGAGATTTTGTACGCCACTTTTTAGTGTTGTAGTAGAATGTGCTACATTATTTTGCAAGATTTGAAAATTGTAGTTGCCAATGTTACCATAACTATTCTTTGAGCTGCACCAAATATATTAATGTACGTAGCACTTTGTTATTTAGAGCTCGACCGAGTGTAACGTTTTCATCATCAACTCATTTTCATAGTAATTTCTACTGTTTGAACTCGCGAGCGTAGACACGGCTAGTAAAACGGTTTATGTTGCGCTTCTAAAAGTTGGCTTTGTGTAAATCCTACTTTGTCACTGCTTGCTTGGATATATAGTAGTTATTGTAGTTATTGTAGTAGCTGTAGTAGTAGTAGTATTGTTGTGAGCTATTACCAGTATTCACCCCATCTAGTCGAATTTGGATCCCCCGCCAATAACTAGCGCAACAACTTAGTCAAGTTATACCAGTATAGTGGTGGCTAGTAAAACGAGACTGTCCATTAAGCACTCATTACAAAAAGTGGTGTGGTACAGTGGTACTTTCCATAGTTAATACCCTAGAAACTTCATAAATTACAGGAATGTTGCCTGTATCGTCGCCCCCTCCGCTTATGTATGGTCTTAATGTTGCGTGAAAGTACTTTAGAACGTATCATATACTGTGTTGACAGTCTGAACTCATGTGCGCGCGAAGTTTGCTTGTTATAACATTTCACAAAGTCTACCGCACTAATAGTACGACTGCGCCTGTTACCAGTCTATTTGAATTTTTAGTATATTATACTGTAGTAGTAGTAGTAGTAGTAGAAGAAGAAGAAGAAGAAGAAGAAGGAGGAGGAGGAGGAGGAGGAGGAGGAGCAAATATACTACCAGTGCACGAATAGAAATACTGGTAACATCGTGAAGTAGACGCAAGCAATAAAATGGCACCCATATTGTAAATAATACAATATCAAACATTACGTACGTTTCTGTCTTTGTTGTACTTTATTGCATGTGGGAGTAGTGCTTTGGGATAATATATTCACGGGCAATTTAGCAAGACTATATTACAATGCATCTTGTGGAAGCTTTTACGCTCCTGGGTGATATCGACTGCAATGCTGCACTCTGCATACTGAACCTGCAAATATACCTGCTTACAACGGCAGGCATCGGAGAGAACGAGCATGCTTATTGGGTGCTGTTTCTTAAAGCTGCTTTAAATCCATACTTTATGCAAGCCATTTTTGAGTGGATACTTACTAACCAGTTTTATACTGATGGTCTTCCGCGGAAAGCTGCTGGCTCTCAACTTTTCGTTGAGATACTTTTGACATAAAAAAACCGATCTCCGCTACAGTAAACACCAAACGACTTGGGGTCAAATAGGTCGTGTTGCATTAGGAGTGTGTATGCTACTGCGCCACAGCTCAGTCCGCAAGGCTGGGATGCACCCCTAATAGAGGGTGCAGTAGCCGCGCTCCGTCACTGCAGCACCGTGGATGACCTGGGCCCACTGACGATCTTGGATGCGATGTCGGTCACGGAGTCGCAGTAGAGTCTGGTATAAAATTTGGAGGCGTCAGACGCCCATCGGCCGTGGAACTGGATCCTGAGCGCGTCGACGCCGGTGCGATACATATTTGTCGCGCCGCCTGCTCTGACCGAATGGTCCAGCACCACTCCGGATTGTCGCCGATGGCCTTTGCGCCTTCCTTAAGAGTGAGCGCGAGTCTGGCGGCCGGCACGCAGTCTGGTTTGCCGTTCGCCTGGACGTAAACCTCGGCAGGAATTTGCGCGGGGGGGGCCGCTCTTGCTCGTCGTAGCACCAGTGCTCTGAGCACGGGGCATACGCACGGGTAACCTGACCGTGCGAGCATCCGCATCGCTGGCTATCCGCTCTGGATGGTATTGGATTCCCGCAGACAGATGCACACCGTTGCGGCGTCCTTTGGTTCCGTAGTCACGATATCGCTTGAGTCCAACGCCACAATGTCAAATAGCTTGGTCTGCCGTGTCGTGTAGGTTCCGGTACTGCAAACAAGTCTCAAGCAAGGCGACGGAAACTGGTGTCTTCTGGTGGCGGGCCACGCCCCAGAGGAGGATGGGGGTCTGTGGATGGCCGAGGGGAAAATTACCGCCTGCAGGGTGGACGAAGTGCTGGATCCCGTAAAGATTGGACATGATTGTGGCGTTGAGGACGGCTTGACCGAAACCAAAGCCGTGGAGTGCACCGTCGACGATGCAGTCGGACAACTCTTGAATCGCCCGTGGGGTCGACTTTCCAGTTCGTGCCGCTGAGGGCCACCCAGAGCTTCCATTGGTTTCCTTCTCTTGCATACCGCTGAAACGAGGTATCTGCAATCGAGCGTTCGCGGAGATGTTGTGCCACACGATCTCGAGCTCGCTGACGCTGTTAGGATCTGGGGTATGCGTCCAGCCGCTGGTGACCTCGGAGAACAGGAACCTGCATCGACGATGGTGTTGTCGACACCCGGCACGTGGGATGTCGAGAGGCGTAGGCCCTACGTGTGCTCCCACATGCTCAGTAGGTGGATCAGGATCTTGGACGGCCATGCCACGGCCGGCGTCTGTCTACAGGGAAGTGGATGTGAAGCGGTTGCGCTTGTTGACGGATTCATCTCCACGTTTGGCGCCGCGAACGCACATGATAGCTGCTCGCGGTAGTTGATGTCAAAATCGTTGGTCACGCCGTTGTGGAACTCCGCGATCAGCTGACGTTCCGCCGGTGAGAATTGGTATGTGAGCGCTAGTCGGAGCGTCATCTGATACATCTGTGGCCACAACGAAGTCGGGATCGGGTAGCGACCTGAAGTAGTCGAAAGGGACTCCGTTGAGTTACGGGTTTGCGAGGATGTGCCACCAACCGGTTAGGTCAGCTCGCATCTCTGCGCTGACGGGCGGGTCGGTGCAGGTTTGCTTCACCTACTTGAAGGCGCTGTCGGATAGGCCTGGGTCGGCCGGACGCAAGTGGAGACGTGGCGCTACGATCCGAGCAGATAGCGGATCTCGGACTAGGATAGGTCCCGGGAATTGAAGGCATGAGCGATGAGGGTTTGCGCCTTCGCTGTCTTCTCTGGAGGCATGGCGACGGTGTCGGCGCGGATGTCAAACACTAAGCCGAGCACCTTTTGTTTTGTTCCCCACGGTGTGAACTCGCCGCCGCGGGTCCCATGACAGCCGTCATCGCGTAGCGTAGGGAGCGGTCGGCATCGTTGTAGCGCTGGCCCACGTTGACGAACATTGACATGGTTGTCGCCCAGTGGTAGCTGAAGTGGTCGTCGGGATGAGCGGGGTCACAGCTGCTCCCATGTATGCGCGACGGCCCCGTCAAGGATGCTGTAAGTCCCCGTCGAGCCGGTCCACCCGAAAGCCGCTGAGATGTCGATAATAATGATGTCGTCCACGGAGATATGGCCCGCAAACATGTACACGCATTTGCTATGGGTGCACGCGTTACGGTAGGCGGACGCGACGTCGCCGGCCATGCGTTCTACGACGTGGTCCACACGCCTGCACCGCGTGATTTCACGCGCGACGATGTCGGAGCAGTCGGTGTGGACGTTGACAGAGCTGTCGTCGGGGTATGCCAAGTCGTGTATCACCCTGCCGTCGATCTGGGGGTCACCGGTTCCCTCGTCAATGAAGCCGAATGGGCTCGCGAATGGCTCAGGCCAGACCTCGATGATATCGGAGTCGAGGGCCAGGCGCCGGAAGGCGTCCTGCTTTCGACAAATGTTCTTGCGTAAAACATTAAGTCGCTTCGCTGCTGATAGGGCTCCGAGAAAACGCTGCTGTTGGGTAAGGGTCGTGAAAGCCCAACTCGGATGCCTTCGGACGCGATACGGGGGCGATAATCGAGGAGCCCCTGAAATGACTGCACAGCGTAGAGGACAGCAGCGCTTTGTTGGGGCGATAGTCGTCCCCTGTCTGGCCGCAGACAAGATCGGCGAACTACGGGAGAGTGGGGCGAACGCGTCTAATGTGCTCCGACATTGCCGACTGGTGTGGATTGCTGTGACATCGATTCCCTGATGCTGGAACAAGTGGGCTAGTTATGCCCGTCTTGTCGGTTCCGCCGCTGTGTCGGTCGACGCGAACATGAGCGCCCCTCGGCGATGGAACGTGGGAGATACAGTCTTACGTGTGCCGCGGCTCGGCATCGGCAGATCACGCTAAGGCGCTTCAGCATGCGGTTGCTACACGCGGCTATCTCGCGCAACGACAGCAGAAGTGTGTAAACTTTACTATAGAGAATGGGATTAATGGCATGGAACACGAAGACTCTGTTTCCTGCTCTATTGCGAAGGGCAACTTGTATTTAGGTTTAGTGTTGTTATCTTGTTTGCTGTTAATACACTGACTGCTGGTGAGCAGTAGTTTGGCTGGAGGTTCCCACTCACTGGAGGACTTGACGCCTGCAGCGCAAGTGGGAACCTTAGCCAGATTACTGCTGTACCTGTCGTGGCGTTCTGCCTCGGCACTCACGTGTTCCTTAGTCCTACCTCTATCTACTTTGCCGCTGCCTAACTCTGCGTAGTAGCAGCATCGTGGAGCCTAATATCTCTCCGAACGAGGCATAAAGTGGTTGGATAGGGCGTGGGGCAAGTTGAGATGTATTCGAATAGATGTTGCCTGTGAACTACGGGAGTGCAGGCGAACCTACTGCACCCGATCCCCTTCAAGCGCGGCCCGAGCGCGCCGGGCCGCGGCCCCTAGGGCCATACCGCTCGGTGATGTACGCGGCGAGTGCCGCTGGCAACTCAGTTGGCCAGGTTGGCGAAGGCGCAGACGTCACGTGTCCCGCTGTCGGACATTGCCCCAGCCAAGAACTTGAGACAAGGCTCAGTACCGTCATCGTTGCGCGGAATCATTGCCCGGATGTGCTCCGGAAACCCGTTGTGTCGCGTGCGGCCGCGTTGGGATGGGCCGTGGAGAAAAGCCTGGAGAAAACTCGTGCGGGCTGCCGCATGCGCGGTACGCGCTGGCTGAGATTGACGATGGGCGCGGGGGTCGCCACCAGTTTGTGCTGAGTCGTGGCCCAGGCGACGGACCCGTAGTCGATTAGGGCGACCGTTGTGGCGGAATTCCGCCACCACGTCGGTGAGTCGCTCGGGAGGTGTACGAAGGCCGCACCGAGGCGCTTCTTTACCTAAGGAATGGACCATCGGCTCATGCCACTGCCCGTTCGCAAAAGACATTAGGCACTCACCAAATCGTTGTAGGATCGGCAGGGCGGGGGCGTTGGTGGGGCCGCGTTGCTACCGAAATCGAGGTTGTAATTCACGTCCGACGAATCGGCATTCAATGTGGTGTCGCGGTCGGCTCATCGGAAGTGCATAATCGAAATGCCGAATTGGCCAAACTGCGCCCCGAACAAAGCCATCAGGATTGGCAGTGAATCAGCGAATGTCATGACGGCAGACACACGCCAGCCCATGACGAACGATACCGGTGTCTCGTGTGCAGTCTCTGGCGTGAGCAGGTACGGGTATAGGCGGTGCGCGGTGAGCATGTAGATCGATGCCGGCACGAAGTCGCCGCGCCCCCTTTCTCCGGCTGGAAGTGGAAGGTTCGGAACTCGCGAATTGGCTCCGGGCCGCGGGCATTTGCCACTGTATACGAAACTGCCGTAGGTGTTGCCACGCCCTGATCGGTGCCCCGTTGCGGTGTCGAAGTTGAGGCGCTGGGCCCTTGGTGCAAAGACTGAGCGAGCTCGGTGAGCAGATGGACTGTCGCCGGGTCGAGCTGTGGCGCGTGCTCGGTGCCATCTGTGCGCACTTCGCTGCACAGATTGTCTAACACGTGTTGAGGTGCTGCATGATCGGCGTGGGCGATATCGGCCGAGACCATTACCGCCGGTGCCGGCGTCGCTGGGTGGTCAACATGGAACTGACTTAAGATCTCTGTCAGATTGAATGGTCACCGCTGGCTGACAGCAGGCAACGTGTGGCAGGCTGTGCAGCACGCACGAGCTCGGCACCGGACCCGGATGCGCGCGGGGGCGGCATCGGGACGATACTCGCCATGGTAGTGACGCCGTCGTCCGGGCCACTCTCGGACTCGACTGACAGGACTGGTGGTGCCGCGCGCGCACAGCTGAGGATGGATGCGGCGAGTGTGGGGCGCGGCTTCGGCGGTTGAGCAGCTGATGATGCCTTAGAGTGGTGCCCCGGTGCGGACTTAGGCTTCACCTTCTGCGTCTTGCCGATTGGGACCACGGAAGCCTTGGCACTGGCAGCGGGAGCAGCAGACGACGGCGGAACTGGGAACGCCGGGGCTACCGCTAGAGCGGCGTCAGGGCCAGCGGGCGGGCGGGGAAATGCTGGCTCGGGTGCCGACGGTGGCGCCGCAGCACTGTCGGAGGCCACCTCGAGTGCGGGCCGCGACGGCGCGGGAGCGAGGCTGGCAATGCGCGAGACTGCTCGCGTCATTCGGCGGGGGTACCTCTGGTGCGGTGCCGGGCGGCGCTATCGCCGCGGATGATGATGACTGACCCGCTTGGGGAGATGCCGCGGTGCTGGTGGCGCGCAGAGCCTTCCCCTCTGCCGGGTGGTGTCACGCCCTCAGCAGCTTATCTCGTCTGGCTTCCAAAAGCGGAGACATCACTTTCAGCCTGCTTAACCCACCGGCGACCGTTAACCCGATTTTGCAGGGATAAGAAAAACCTCGGGGAAAAGTGCCGTTTCAAGCCATACAGGCGTGGCGACCTTTCGAGATCCCGCCGACGTGGTTCCGACCAATCGAATTGCTTTGCGGATTTCGTGCGTGGTAGGTCGATTCGCGCGCGCGAACTCGTTCGCGCCTCGATTGGGTGTCACGCGTGGTTTTACGTTTGAAAGTGCAACATGAGCGCCACATTTTAGCGCTTCAACCTAATGTAATGTTTTGAAAAATAGCGAGAGGTGGACCGCGCATTATCATCACCATTAATGCGGCCATACCGTCGCTCGTGTATTAGGCGCTCACAGGCGCATAGCTTTTGGTGCATACCTGCAAGTCTCGACTAAGGCCCCATACGGTATGGGCTTGTCTTGGGTAGGCGTCGTGCTGTGGACAATGCTGCCCATACTTTCACGAAGTACTTTACGCGTGAGCAGATGGAGAAGAAGATCATAACTTTTCCTAGACGCATGACGTTTATGAGGCGCTGAGAGCTTGTAGATGTGATCACCGGGAATTTGCTAGGTACATACGCAGCGCGGTTGGTCTTAAGCTTCTTGTATTGACCAGGCAAATACTACATTTGGTTGTGTGTGGAGGTGGTGGGTATCCCATCGTACCGCCGCTGATGTTGGCGGCTAACGTGGAGCTCCTGAAGTGAATCTGCCCACGGTGCTTCTTCCGGTCTTTGGCGTTGGACACACCCGGGCAAAACTGCTGGGCCAGCAGCTCTGCTAGAGACCACACGAAAATAATAACATGACGTTGGTGATTGACATATCTGGCTGCTTATATCTATAAAGAAGACTCGATCTGAAGACAATGGAAACAAAATTGATTTCGGTTTGGTGTGAGCTTATGGAGCAGCGTTGATTGTGGCCAGGTGGTTATGTGTATTGGCTTTTGTATGGTCAACCTTGTCAACGTTGCTTCGCCGACTTGTCAACATTGACACGCCTGTCTTGGTTTGAATACAGTGATTGTCATGAGGAGACATTGATATGTTTGACTAGGTTTTTGTATGGACTTTATGGCGTTATTGACTCCGATATGACAACATTGAGATGTTTGTCTTGGTTTCTCATGCAAGCAAGTGGGTATATTATTCTGTCACTCCGCAAATCTAAATTATTAGCTCAAAATGGCATGAAACGCATTCGATCGCCAGCATGTTGCGCTGATAGCGAATCGATATGGCGTCTTCGTCGGGCGGACGGGGCACGGGGTCATGGAGTTCGAGTCGGCCTAGTTGGGGGCCACAGATATTGCGTCCGTGCCAGGCTGGTCGAGGGCCACAAGAGAACCGGTCATACTGGAACGGGAGCATGGAGTACGTTGGGGCTTGCTCAAAACCGTGTGTATGGCCGTCCGTGTTGGGCGGGAGTGGGGATGCGGGCATATTGACCATTTTGAACTTGTTGGGGGCCGCCAGCATGGCGACGGCGCCGGCCATATCGGGGGTCACATTCATGGCGTCCATGGTGGCGTCCCGGATGACATTGACTGTGATGGCGGAGACGGCGGAGACGGCGGAGACGGCCATGATGGAGTCCTGGGGCACGACGTCCGGGTCGAGGATGTCGGCGGTCTCGGGCGTGGTGTCGGAGTCGGGCATGATGGGATCCTCGGGCATGGCGGCAGCCTCGGGTATGGCGATGGCCTCGGGCACGTCGTCCGTTTCGGGCATGGCCGCGGCCTCGGGTATGGCGTCGGAGTTGGGCATGGCGGCGGCCTCGGGCAACAGGCATGGCGGGGGCATCGTTCATGTGGGCGGTCTTGGGATGGCGGTGGCCTCGTGAATGGCGTCCACGTTGTTCATGGCGTGACCACGATATTGGAGACACTTGAGGGCTTGTCAGCGTTTTGAGAAATGAGCTACCGATACGGAGCGGCGGCGAGGTTTGGTTCCGTTCATACGCTCACGAAGCCGCGTCTCGATTCCGAACCCGGGGGAAAAATTGTAAGTAAATCTATTGGTTATTTGAGGAGTAATTGACGATCATTGGTGGAATCGTTGGAATACATGCGATGATTGGTAGACTTGCTTCATGGCAGCAGGATCCGCATGGCGCGAAAGTGACGAAGATGTGCACGTTGAAGTGATCGCGTGACGTGCATAACGTAGCTTAGATGTGGAAGTCGTAAGTGGCAGTCGTAAGTGGCAGCCGTAAGCGGCAGTAGTGCCACAAATTAGATCGTCCAGTATTTTGCTTACCAACAAAAGAACCCATTTTGGCCGCAGTGACGGACACCGGCGGCTCCTGATCACAGCCGCCGGCCGTCCTAGCTTGAGGACCACGCTCGAAAGCATGTACACGATGCAATATTAGTATTCTAGGCTGCGGCGCCGGCCCCGCACGTGTCGTGGCGCTGCATGTGCCTCAACTCGTACCGTTTTGCTACTAGTGAAGATAATCCCCAGTAGAGATAAGTCCAGGTTGAGATAGTATCGCGACCTTTATTACCAGATATGAAGCCAACGTTGACTCCCAGGTAAACATAAGATGGGTCCACTTATCGCGGTGCCTTCAGCGCCGCCGACACGAACTGGGCCGGCGCTGCAGCCTAGAATAGTTATTTTACATCGTGTACACGCTTTCAAGCGTGGTCCTCAAACTAGGACGGCCAGCGTCTGTGATCAGGTGCCTCCGGTGTCCGCCACCTCGGCCAAAATGGATACTTTGGCCAAGTAGCAAAACGGTACGAGTTGAGGCACATGTAGCGCCACGACACGTGCGGGGCCGGCGCCGCAGCCTAGAATACTAATATTGCATCGTGTACATGCTTTCGAGCGTGGTCCTCAAGCTAGGACGGCCGGCGGCTGTGATCAGGAGCCGCCGGTGTCCGTCACTGCGGCCAAAATGGGTTCTTTTGTTGGTAAGCAAAATACTGGACGATCTAATTTGTGGCACTACTGCCGCTTACGGCTGCCACTTACGACTGCCACTTACGACTTCCACATCTAAGCTACGTTATGCACGTCACGCGATCACTTCAACGTGCACATCTTCGTCACTTTCGCGCCATGCGGATCCTGCTGCCATGAAGCAAGTCTACCAATCATCGCATGTATTCCAACGATTCCACCAATGATCGTCAATTACTCCTCAAATAACCAATAGATTTACTTACAATTTTTCCCCCGGGTTCGGAATCGAGACGCGGCTTCGTGAGCGTATGAACGGAACCAAACCTCGCCGCCGCTCCGTATCGGTAGCTCATTTCTCAAAACGCTGACAAGCCCTCAAGTGTCTCCAATATCGTGGTCACGCCATGAACAACGTGGACGCCATTCACGAGGCCACCGCCATCCCAAGACCGCCCACATGAACGATGCCCCCGCCATGCCTGTTGCCCGAGGCCGCCGCCATGCCCAACTCCGACGCCATACCCGAGGCCGCGGCCATGCCCGAAACGGACGACGTGCCCGAGGCCATCGCCATACCCGAGGCTGCCGCCATGCCCGAGGATCCCATCATGCCCGACTCGACTACCCCGTGTATGGCCCTGGTTAACCCACCAAGGATGCTACGCCCGCGGTCCCCAACATGCCCGGCACCGTCTACATCCCGGCGGCTCTTAATATGCCTGGGACGGACGGCACGCTCGCCGATCTCGACATGTCCGACTTGATCATCGCGTGCTTGGCCCTGATAACTCTGGAGGGGTGGCACGCCCGTGGCCGCCGACATACCGGCGGTTCCCATATTTACGGCACGCGCGCTGACCCCAACATGCCCGACACGGCCATCCCGTTCGCGTCCCCTGATAACTCCATCAGATTCATGGAGTATCGGAACAATACACCCACTTGTTTGCACTGATTTATACTGAAACCAAGCCAAACATCTCACTGCTGTCATATCGGAGTCAATCACGACATAAATCCAAACACAAACCTAGTCAAATAGGTCAATGTCGACATGTCTGATGCTATGTCAATTCCTATAGTCAGATCAACACAAACATGCCAATATTGACAAATCGGCAAAGCAACGTTAACGTGGTTGACCATACAATAGCCAACAGACATGGCCACGTGACCACCTGGCCACGGCCAACGTCGTTTCATCAAGTTCATACCAAAATCAGTAGAAGCACGTGTCTCATCGACTTCGGCAGAGTAGACGACGGAAAGAAACGACTAAAGACACTCAGCTATGCTTGATTGTTCTCATGTATCTCTCGTATAGGCCAAAGAGGTCGCATAGAAAACCTAATCCAGGCTTTGTTAGCTTGTCGCCTCTGACTCGGCAGCTTTTGCGGTCTGCTCAAACATGAAACTGGTGCTAGCAAAGTAGCATACCCTTACATCGGAACTGCATATTAGGAAGGCGCCAACCTGTGCTTAAGACAAACAGCGGTTAGAGATCATGGTGCAAAAGTCTCGGAGAATCAAGAGTAACAGCAACCCGGTCACACGCGTGGGGAGCATGCATGGTGGCGGAATAATAATGGCAGCTCCATGTGACACACTATATTTTGACGCTGCACCACTTGCGCAGCGCTTTCTAATCGTTCTAGGCGCTTATATTAGAAGGGCTCTATGCGCCCGCTCCGTCGATGTGATACACCAATGCTCTAAATGGACAGATCGCTGGTGTTATCTAGGTCACTCCGCCGCACTATAACGACAGCTTACCGATGTAACCTTGACGCCGCGGTATCGGCAGGCTCGTGAGGGACTACTGCCGCGTTGTTGAACAGGGCCATCCAGAGCAAGATCAACAGGGCTCTTGTAGCTGCAAGGGTGAGTTTATTAGTGCCACAATTTTTCGCTCATGTTTCACAACAATTTGATTTGGATTCTCTACAGATGGGAATATCTTGATCTTTAGGACAATTTACGCCAAGGTTTTTCATGCTTAGTGTTGAACCCGCTCAGAATTAAGGCCTTAGCCGACTTTTGATTGAATAAATCTAACCAATGAGATTGAAAGTCGATGGAGCCCGAAGGGTCGGCGCCGGCCGCTGGGGACCTCGCTTGCCCTATCCCGCTGGTATACAATTTTCTATATTAATCTTATCCCTGCAAAATCGGGATAAGAACCGTCGCCGGTGGGTTAAACTCCCAGTTTATACGTCTTGTTTTACAGCACCCTTCTCAGATATGATGAACCAAAATTTATTGTATGTTTGGTGTGTAATATATACCCTTCCAAATCCAATGAAAGTAGCTCGCGACAGACCAGGGCAGCGACAGAATGGAAGATGTACCAAGCAGAGCAGTCCGATTAGCGGATGTAGGGGGCCTACCTTGGCTCACTACTACGGCGTACACGTATGCGCACGTGTATGAGGAAGCGTAGGTTTCTTCTACTTGAGTTAAGTATACTCGAGATCCACGAGTATACTTTAAACAAGATAAAGACTACAAGTAGCGGGTTTTGGTAAAAGATGAGAACTGCTATTTTTGTTTTATGTTTCTGACTTCCTCTAAATGTAATATTCTAAACTAAGAATCTGCCAACGGCTGGTTGGCAGGATTCTGCTAACATGCAAGTCACTCATTGGCTAAAAGATGCTGCTTTCAGCCAATAGGAATCCTAAATGTGTATGGACCACCCGTCGTTGAGGTCGTAAATGTTAGAGGTATGAACACTTCCTCGACCTTGGTGTACCTTACACCGAGGTCGAGGAAGTGTTTAAACCTCTAACAGACATCGTATCTGCTAGAGTAACAAGTGACTGTAGCCACTTGTGCGTGTAACCCCGTTACACCATCCCCCCGTCAAGGTTAGACGTGCCGGTCTCGGCACGTCAACCACCATTGACCGTTTGGTCAATGCGTGACGTTTGAAGAGAGCGTGCTCGTTATGGAACGAGCACGTCGAAGTTGAAGACCCCTGGCGCAGCAGCGGAGGACATCTCTGCTGCTGCGTATAATGCGCGGCAACGTGCGAAGCGCGTCGCTGCCACGGGGGCAGGACCCACAGCCTGTCCTTGAAGTGCCTTCGGGCGCTGTTGTTAACAACAGCGCTCGTATTACTTTCCATTGTGTAGCGCATGGTGGGCTTCGTACGCTCTCACCACGTCCGGGACGTCTTCGAGCAAGTCGTTCCGCGGCTCCCATGTATCTTGGTTGGGAGGGAATCCTCTCCAACGGATACGAAAACAAACCGGTTGCCTGTTCGTTCTCGGGATACTGTGATCAACAATCCGCTCAACTATCCATCGAGTTGAGCCGTGTGCGTCGCGAATTGGCGGTGGTGGTGGTGGAAACACGCCCCGTGTGTGGTCAACTTGGTGTTGACCCTGATCTCGCGTCTCCCCACGACCGAGTTCCGGTCGTGGAGTAGTTCCAGAGCGCTGGGTTCGGCGCTCTGAAGTATCCTCAGGTTGCGGCGGCCTCCCAGAACGCCTCGATCGTTCCGGTCGAGCTGGACCATTAGCTCGACCCGCTGCTCCAGCGCGACTTCGTGCTGGAGAGGATGACGGCTTCCGCCGAGTCTTCTGTTTTGGTTCAGCCGAGCTAGGTAGCTCGTGCTGCAGGTATGGCTTCAGCCATCCGACGTAGAATGTCGGATGGAGGCACATACTAGAATGTGTAGACGTTGCTGTGCCGTGCCAGCACCGTGAACGGCCCGATGAAGCGCGGAGCGAGCTTGCTCTCCCCGAAGTCGGAAACGGCATGTTTAGGCAGGTTTTGAGTTGCTAACAAAACCAATGAACCCTTCTTGAATTCATTAGTGTTGCCCCTACCATCATTGTCTGCGTTCAGCTTCTGTCGGTCGACAGAAGCTGCGATAGCGTCTTGGACAAACCGAATGACGGCTTGTCTGCGCTGCACGAAGTTGATTGCGTCCGAGCTGAACGAGTTCAGCTCGTTTCTAGCAGTAGGCCCGGCCTCTGCGTTCGTCTTCGAGGTGTCTGTGCCCTACACAGACCCGTTCTTCTCCTTCTTCTTGCTCTTGTCGGCGTCTGTGCCCTGCACAGACGCGCGCTTCTTCTTCTTCTTGCGCGTAGTCGCGGCTGACACTGTACAAGTGTCAGCGGCATTCTGCGGCTGCTGCGTTGCAGTCGTAGATCCTCCCCCACTTAAGGAAGGAGCCACCATCCCGGGTAGACTCGGGAGGCGTGGGTGCCTGATGGCATTCACGTAGAACGGTGTATGCCCGGTCGAGGCATGTACCGAGTTGTTGATGGCGAACTCTGCCATCGGCAGACACTCGCTCCAGTGTTGGAACGAGTGAGCGTAGCTCTTAAGCACGTCAACGAGCACGCGGTTAACGCACTCGGTCTGCCCGTCCGTCTGCGGATGGTCCGCAGTCGACATCGAAAGTTGACTCCCAAGAAGTGTAAACACTTCTTGCCAAAAGTGTGCAGTGAAGCGCGGGTCTCGATCCGAGACAATGTCGATCGGCATGCCATGGTGTTTGAACGCCATGTCAACGAACAGACGCGCCGTCTGTTTCGCAGTCACTTCAGCGGGTACCGCAGCAAGATGTACCATCTTGCTGAAGCGGTCAACAAAGACCACAACGCCCGTGTTCCCCTGGCTGTCCGGGGGAAGACCGAACACGAAGTCCAAAGACATGGACTGCCAACACTCCCGTGGAGTTGGTTGTGACTGCAAGGGAGCCTGCGCGAAAGGCGCAGGCTTCACACGTTGACAAACCTCGCAAGCACGGACGTACTTGCGCACCCAGTTATACTGGTGGGCCCAGTAGAAGTCTCGCGTGAGAAGAAGGTATGTCTTCTCACGGCCCGGATGCCCCGCAGTCGGTGCATCGTGATACTCATACATGATCCTGAGTCGCAGGTCATGGTCATTGGGTACGACAACGCGGTCCGCGTTGTCGTCGACTGCACTGTAGAGTAATAACCCGTCGTGCACCCGGTAACGGTGTGCACGAGCACGAAGACGCTTCGGCAGCTTCTGATGAGCTTGGTCAGAAGGCGCTGAGCCGTAGGCCAGCAAGAGCTTCGCGTCCGCGTCGTGCGCGTACGCGACCTTCACGTCGTCCAACAGTGACGACGTCGGGGTGCTCGATCGCATGGCGTCAATGGCATTGACGTCGGCATCAGTCGTGACGTAGTCAGGTCGACGCGAGAGTGCGTCGGCCACCACATTGAGTATTCCGGGTTTGTACTCAACCCGGAAGTTATACTCGGCGAAGAATGAGAGCCATCTCGCCATCCGTTGCGAGATGTGCGGCGACTTCACAGCCGTCCGCAGCGGCGCGTGGTCCATATAGACCACGAACGGCTTGCTTCCGAGTAGATACACTCGGAACTTCGCGAGTGCGTACTTCATGGCAAGGAGTTCCTTGTCATGCACCGGGTAGTTGCGCTCAACTGGCTTCAGCTGACGCGATTGGTAGTAGACGACACGATCACGACCCTCGTGATCGTGCTGCATCAACGCACATCCGATTGTGAAGTCGGATGCGTCACACACAACGTGGAATGGGCGATCTTGGTCGGCCACCGCCAAGATCGGCGCCTCAGTCAAGCCCCGCTTGACTGCATCGAAGGCCTGCTGACACTCAGCAGTCCAAACCCACTCGGCGTCCTTCTTCAGGAGCTGTGACAGCGGGCGTATCATGCCCGCGTAGTCCTTCACGTACTTGCACAAGTACGCGACCAAGCCAAGGAACTGCCGCAGTTCCTTGACGTTCGACGGCGTTGACCACTAATTGATCACTCTGACCTTCTCAGGGTCAGGGCGGACACCGTTCTTCCCAACGAGACGCCCGAGCACGAGTATCTCGCTCGCCCCGAAGATACACTTCTTCAGGTTCGCATAGAGCTTGTGTTTGCGCACGAGCGCAAGCAGCTTCCGGAGATGCACCTTGTGCATCTCAACATCGCTCATCCCGTCCGCAGCCCGGCTGTGGACGAACACATCGTCGAAGTAGCTCGATGCGAAGTCGCGCACCGAGCGCAACAAGTGCGTCACGCACCTGTTGAAGGTCGCAGGGGCGTTCTTCAGACCCTGCGGCATCACTAGCCACTCCCAGAGCATGCCGCTCGGCGTGCTCACAGCCGTGAGAGGGATATCGCTCTCATGCATGAGGATCTGATAGAACCCATCGCGCAGATCAAGAGCACTGTAGATAGTGCTCCTGGCCATCGAATCGATGATGACATCTTTTCGAGGTATCGGTGTCTGCGCCGGTATCGTCGCATCGTTCAGCTTGTTGTATGCATGAACGATGCGCCAGCCGCCCTGTGGCTTCTTGACACAGAACGTCGGAGCACTGTGCGGGGACTTCGATTCCCGCACTTGTCCAGCTTTGCGACGACTCTCAAAGAAGTCGTCGATCGCCTTGACCTGCTCTCGCGGCAGTGGCCACTGCCGCGTGACACAGTACTTCGTCCCCGGCACGAGATCAATTTCGTGCTGGATGCCCTTGTCCTGCGGAAGCTCCGCAGGGATCTCTTCCGGAAGCACGTCCGCGTGCTCCCGTAAGATCTCGTAGTAGGGACTCGTCTTCAACGAGTCCCAGCTCTACGCGCTCCTTCTTCGTCTTCGCACTGAGAGTGTCCTCGCTCTCAGTGGTGATCCAATCAGTTTCGCCTCAATCCGTACTTCAGCCTCTCTGGCTGAAACATGGAAAATGTTTACGTCATCCGCGTCCCTTCAGTCGTGGGGACTGACATATGTGACACATGTGCGTCACCCACGCCCCTTGAGGTTGGAGACGTATTCTGATTCGCTAAAAAGCGGGTGTCGACCTCCGAGGTCAACACATTTCCTTCATTAGCTGCCGGCGGCATCGCCGACGCTAGCTGCTCTTGCGCGCGTGCTCGCTCCGGGACAGCGGCATTAGGCGCTGTCTCGAGTGGGGAGTCGCGCGCACCTGTCGGTGCGTGCGTAGCGGCAACAGGTCCATCGCTCACTGTTTCGCTGTCGCGACCGAAACGAACGAGAGTGCGCTTCTCCAAATCGATGACCGGATCATGCCGTGCAAGCCACGGCATGCCAATACAGGACGATAAAGGTCTCGACAAACTCTTGATCTTCATACGCGTACCATGCGCTTCTCGGTCTTCACGACGGCACCCGTTGCCAGTCGTACTTCCAACATACTTCGAGGTATCTATAAATCCTCGAAGTCAAGCCTTGATAGACTTCGCAGTCGAACAAAGTTCTTCGACGCGCTAGAATCTATCAAAGCACGGAGAGAGCCGCTTGCTCTCATCGAGTTCACATTCAGGATGACAAGGTCAGGCTTGTCATCTTGGTTCTTGCAGTGAGAATGAACCTCACTGGGGGCTGCGGTCCTCAGTGTCGCGTGTCCAAGGTCGGCACGCGGAACGGCATTACCAGTAGGGCGCCCCGCGCCTACTGGCGTCCAGTGTTTTTTGTTTGGTTGCGACGGTGCCCGGCACCGCCGCGATAGCCACCCTGCTGGCGCACGGGGGCCGTGCACTCCCGAGCAAAGTGACCGACTCTACCGCAACGGTAGCATCGCACATTGTTTCTCTGCGACTGCTGGGGTCCAGCAGTTGCAGCACTCGAGAGATCCATGGGTTCTGGGCCTCCCGTCCTCACTACCGGGCGTGGCTGTGGCCTCGGCACGTGTGCATGCAGCTTAGCCTGCCGCAGGCTAAACTCCTCCTGCATTTCAAGAGTAATTGCAGCTTCGAGAGTACTCGGGTACTCACGGAAGAGATAGGTCTTCACAGGCCCATCTCTCAGCCCCTTCAAAAGCATGGGCATCATGCTTGCCCTGCTGCAGGTCGAGGAACTCCGCCCTCGACCGGAACTCGTTTTGCGGTGGCTCAAACGCTTGTCTGAGCTCTTCCTTGAAACCCTCGTACGTGCTAAAGCACGTAGGATCAGAGAGTCGGCGTCCATACGCCCAACTTCTAGCACGTCCGCCAAGACATAACATGGCGAACTCAACCTTCGACAACGGGTTGATGATACGTCGAGCCGCAATGGCAGTGTCGAGTTCGACAAGCCAACGGAGGAGAGGTTCACCCTCTCTTCCGACATAGTTACTCACATTGAGCTTTAGCGATTGCGCGCGTGGTGTCGTCCCGGACGACACCGTGGTAGTAGCAGCAACATCGCGTTGCTCCTTCAGGATGAAACCCAGAGCAACGCCGTGTTGCTCTGTCGGCGTTAGCGTACGCAGCATCGTAGCAACAGCCGTCTCACCAATGACTGTTGACAGTCGTTGGAGAGCCTCCCACTCTGGATCCGACAGGTGGGGACAGTCAGCGCGTGCAACGTGAGTTGCACGCGTAGTGGAGCTTTCCATGGGCACCTCTGTATCCATGGGAAGTTTCTCAGCTCCGCGTTCGTGCGGTGACGTACAAACTCAGGTAGTCGGTCGTTGGGCGGACTACAAAGTGCTACCAGGTGTAATGGGCCTACTTTGGCCCACTACTTTAGCTTACACGTGTGCGCGTGTATGTGAGGAAGCGTAGCTTAGTTTAAATTAGAGTTAATTATACTCGGGCCTCCGAGTATAGATTAATCTAAATAAACGATCCAAATAATGTTTTTGGGTTAAAATGAGAACTGCTATTTTTGTTTTATGTTTCTGACTTCGTCTAAATGTAATATTCTAAGATAGGAATCTGCCAACGGCTGGTTGGCAGAATTCCAATGCTATACATGTCGCTCATTGGCTAAGAGATGCTGCTCTCAGCCAATAGGAATCCTAAGTCTCTATGGACCACCCGTCGTGGTGGTCGTAAATGTATGTAGCCTTTGGTGTGTCTACACCAAGGTCGAGAAAGTCTTTCGAACCTCTAACAGACGTCGTGTCTGTTAGAGTTACAAGTGACTGTAGCCACTTGTGCGTGTAACCCTGTTACACATGTCCTCGTCGGAATTCAAACACGTATATGCATCGACCCCCGCGGACATCATGTTCGCATCACCGTCGACAACACACGACAGAGGCGCAAGCGGGATGTCCACCGCTGCGCTACCGCCAGCCGAAGCCCTCTCGACATCTGAAGCGCCGTCGCCGCCCGAAGCGCCGTCCTCGTCTGCGCTCTCTTCTTGCAGAAGCGCTCGGCGTCGCTTGCGCGGGTTGCCAACGGGAGGTGGGGTCCGTTCGGCAGCAGCGATGCCTGCATCAGCAACAGCAGCCAGCATGTCTGACAGCATCTCCTCCACGACAGGCTCCGGCGTCGCCTCCTCGCTGCCTGCCGTCTCCTTGGCCTCGTCCGCGACACGCGCGGGTTCATCGTTCTGCGGCGTCACCTTCGCTTCGGCGGCAGCCATCGACACGCCCACCGCTGCCGCCATAGCACCGGGTGTTTCCTTGGACAGCGCGTCTCCATCGCCGCCGTCGTGTGCTTGGCAGCCCTCTTCCTCGTTGCCTTCTTCGCCCGCTTCGTCTTGCCGCCTCCTTGCGCGCCCTTCTCCTGCGCGCGGCGGACACGGCGCGCGTGCCGTTCACTCAGCAGCCCTTCCAGGTAGAGCTGCCGCTCCCGCGCTGTAAGCTCGTAGCGTGGTGTCTTGCCTGACGCGCCGACCATCTTGCTCTCGCCGCAGTGTTTTCTGAAATGAGTGGTGAGTGGATGGCGGCCACTGGGGTTGAGGTGGATGACAAGTCCAATCTATATCACCTTCAACCGAATCTCTCTGAGCGACACCTAGACCTGTGCAAATGGCCATTTTCTACTCAACCTATTATCTTGATTTCATTATGGGTATGCAGTGACAGTACGTACATACAAATTTCAAGATTTAAATTTTCTTATGTTGTACCCTCCAACATAACAGAGACGTTGCGAAAAAACCGACAGGAGCTATACACCCCTTATGATCTACGGTGCAACCGTTGGGAAGTAAGGGGTTAAGGGGGAAGGGTGACGATGCTCCGTCTACTCGGGGAGTCGACGAGCCAATCATATCGACTCAGGGAGTCGACGCACTCTCGGTAATGGGGGACTCCGCCAATGGCTGGCGTCGAGGTATTGAAGTCGCATCGACTCCGGGAGTCGATAGCTTGGGTGAATTTGGTTCGTCGGCTCGGGGAGCCGACGCACCCTCCGTAATGGGGGTCTCCGCCAATGGTTGGCGTCGAGGTGAAGATGGCGTGTCGGCTCCGGGAACCGGCGCTGCGAAAAGAAGTTTCGCGTCGACTCCGGGAGTCGACGCACCCTTTGTAACGAAGGGCTCCGCCAACAACAGGCGTCGAGGTGAAGAAGGCATGTCGGCTCCGGGAGCCGACGCTGCAGGCGGCGCGGACAGTTGCAAACGTCCCGCACCGGAAAAACTTGCATGCTGTCATGCAGCCGGGCTGCACGACGAAGCGCCGGGCGACCAAGCCGGGCTTGAAGTCGCTCGCCCGCGGGATGAACCCGCCGGCGGTACTGAAGAAGAACGCCTGTCCACGGCTGGGCCTGGACGAGGTCAAGAACCAAGCGGAGCCGGGCTCCGCAAAACAAGAAGACGGCGCATGCGAAGGTCGCTGCGCAAGTCTCGGCCTGGGGCCGAGAAGCTACAAGAAATGTCTGCCGGGCAGACGGAGGCTGAGAAGCCGGACATCGAGGCGTTGAACATCTTGACGCGTACCTGTGCCGGGTTCCGGTACAGGGAGATGACTCTCGCTAACCCTCCGACGCAAGCGTCGGAGTTGACTTCGCTTCCGGTCATGAGCTGGAAACGCTTCGCGCGTGACTTGCACGATGGACGCATCGAGCAAATATGCATTCTCTCGGACATCGAGAGAACGAAGAGCGAGAATGAAGAACTGAGGCAGTTCTTTATTCAGACCACCACTGAGAGTGAGGACACTCTCAGTGCGAAGACGAAGAAGGAGCGCGCAGAGCTGGGACTCGTTGAAGACGAGTCCCTACTACGAGATCTTACGGGAGCACGCGGACGTGCTTCCGGAAGAGATCCCTGCGGAGCTTCCGCAGGACAAGGGCATCCAGCACGAAATTGATCTCGTGCCGGGGACGAAGTACTGTGTCACGCGGCAGTGGCCACTGCCGCGAGAGCAGGTCATGGCGATCGACGACTTCTTTGAGAGTCGTCGCAAAGCTGGACAAGTGCGGGAATCGAAGTCCCCGCACAGTGCTCCGACGTTCTGTGTCAAGAAGCCACAGGGCGGCTGGCGCATCGTTCATGCATACAACAAGCTGAACGATGCGACGATACCGGCGCAGACACCGATACCTCGAAAAGATGTCATCATCGATTCGATGGCCAGGAGCACTATCTACAGTGCTCTTGATCTGCGCGATGGGTTCTATCAGATCCTCATGCATGAGAGCGATATCCCTCTCACGGCTGTGAGCACGCCGAGCGGCATGCTCTGGGAGTGGCTAGTGATGCCGCAGGGTCTGAAGAACGCCCCTGCGACCTTCAACAGGTGCGTGACGCACTTGTTGCGCTCGGTGCGCGACTTCGCATCGAGCTACTTCGACGATGTGTTCGTCCACAGCCGGGCTGCGGACGGGATGAGCGATGTTGAGATGCACAAGGTGCATCTCCGGAAGCTGCTTGCGCTCGTGCGCAAACACAAGCTCTATGCGAACCTGAAGAAGTGTATCTTCGGGGCGAGCGAGATACTCGTGCTCGGGCGTCTCGTTGGGAAGAACGGTGTCCGCCCTGACCCTGAGAAGGTCAGAGTGATCAATTAGTGGTCAACGCCGTCGAACGTCAAGGAACTGCGGCAGTTCCTTGGCTTGGTCGCGTACTTGTGCAAGTACGTGAAGGACTACGCGGGCATGATACGCCCGCTGTCACAGCTCCTGAAGAAGGACGCCGAGTGGGTTTGGACTGCTGAGTGTCAGCAGGCCTTCGATGCAGTCAAGCGGGGCTTGACTGAGGCGCCGATCTTGGCGGTGGCCGACCAAGATCGCCCATTCCACGTTGTGTGTGACGCATCCGACTTCACAATCGGATGTGCGTTGATGCAGCACGATCACGAGGGTCGTGATCGTGTCGTCTACTACCAATCGCGTCAGCTGAAGCCAGTTGAGCGCAACTACCCGGTGCATGACAAGGAACTCCTTGCCATGAAGTACGCACTCGCGAAGTTCCGAGTGTATCTACTCGGAAGCAAGCCGTTCGTGGTCTATATGGACCACGCGCCGCTGCGGACGGCTGTGAAGTCGCCGCACATCTCGCAACGGATGGCGAGATGGCTCTCATTCTTCGCCGAGTATAACTTCCGGGTTGAGTACAAACCCGGAATACTCAATGTGGTGGCCGACGCACTCTCGCGTCGACCTGACTACGTCACGACTGATGCCGACGTCAATGCCATTGACGCCATGCGATCGAGCACCCCGACGTCGTCACTGTTGGACGACGTGAAGGTCGCGTACGCGCACGACGCGGACGCGAAGCTCTTGCTGGCCTACGGCTCAGCGCCTTCTGACCAAGCTCATCAGAAGCTGCCGAAGCGTCTTCGTGCTCGTGCACACCGTTACCGGGTGCACGACGGGTTATTACTCTACAGTGCAGTCGACGACAACGCGGACCGCGTTGTCGTACCCAATGACCATGACCTGCGACTCAGGATCATGTATGAGTATCACGATGCACCGACTGCGGGGCATCCGGGCCGTGAGAAGACATACCTTCTTCTCACGCGAGACTTCTACTGGGCCCACCAGTATAACTGGGTGCGCAAGTACGTCCGTGCTTGCGAGGTTTGTCAACGTGTGAAGCCTGCGCCTTTCGCGCAGGCTCCCTTGCAGTCACAACCAACTCCACGGGAGTGTTGGCAGTCCATGTCTTTGGACTTCGTGTTCGGTCTTCCCCCGGACAGCCAGGGGAACACGGGCGTTGTGGTCTTTGTTGACCGCTTCAGCAAGATGGTACATCTTGCTGCGGTACCCGCTGAAGTGACTGCGAAACAGACGGCGCGTCTGTTCGTTGACATGGCGTTCAAACACCATGGCATGCCGATCGACATTGTCTCGGATCGAGACCCGCGCTTCACTGCACACTTTTGGCAAGAAGTGTTTACACTTCTTGGGAGTCAACTTTCGATGTCGACTGCGGACCATCCGCAGACGGACGGGCAGACCGAGTGCGTTAACCGCGTGCTCGTTGACGTGCTTAAGAGCTACGCTCACTCGTTCCAACACTGGAGCGAGTGTCTGCCGATGGCAGAGTTCGCCATCAACAACTCGGTACATGCCTCGACCGGGCATACACCGTTCTACGTGAATGCCATCAGGCACCCACGCCTCCCGAGTCTACCCGGGATGGTGGCTCCTTCCTTAAGTGGGGGAGGATCTACGACTGCAACGCAGCAGCCGCAGAATGCCGCTGACACTTGTACAGTGTCAGCCGCGACTACGCGCAAGAAGAAGAAGAAGCGCGCGTCTGTGCAGGGCACAGACGCCGACAAGAGCAAGAAGAAGGAGAAGAACGGGTCTGTGTAGGGCACAGACACCTCGAAGACGAACGCAGAGGCCGGGCCTACTGCTAGAAACGAGCTGAACTCGTTCAGCTCGGACGCAATCAACTTCGTGCAGCGCAGACAAGCCGTCATTCGGTTTGTCCAAGACGCTATCGCAGCTTCTGTCGACCGACAGAAGCTGAACGCAGACAATGATGGTAGGGGCAACACTAATGAATTCAAGAAGGGTTCATTGGTTTTGTTAGCAACTCAAAACCTGCCTAAACATGCCGTTTCCGACTTCGGGGAGAGCAAGCTCGCTCCGCGCTTCATCGGGCCGTTCACGGTGTTGGTACGGCACGGCAACGCCTACACGCTAGATATTCCATCTAGCATGCGCATCCATCCGACCTTTTACGTCGGGCGGCTGAAGCCATACCGGCAGCACGAGCCACCTAGCTTGGCTGGCCCGAAGCGGATGCCCCAGCGGGAGCGAACCTCTGCTCCAGCGCGTGAACGCGCTGGGCCAAGCGTGCGACGCGACCTCCCACGTCGACAGAGATGTCCGACGCGGTCTGCGAGGCCTGAGCGACTTGAGCCCTCAGGATCGCCACCTCCTGCTTCAGAGCGGCGAAGTTCCGGCTCTGATTCTGTTCCACAGCAGCGACCCGCTCCTCGAGCGTCGGGCCAAGGTCAACCCCAGGTTGACCATACCCGGGGCGTGTTCCCACCACCGCCGCCTCCGATCCGCGACGCCCGCGGCTCAACACGCTGGATTGTTGAGCGTATTGTGAACCATAGTATCCCGAAAACGAACCGGCAGCCGGTTCGTTATCGTATTCGTTGGAGAGGGTTTCCGCCCCACCAAGATACATGGGAGCCACGGGACGTCCTGCTGCAGGACGTTCCGGAAATGGTGAGGGCGTACGAAGCTCACCACGCACTGCCGACGCGAAGGTAGTGCGAGCGCTGTGGTCACCTACAGCGCCCGAGGTCCCACGATCGTCGCGTTCCTCACGTGCCAAGAACTTGGCACGGAGATCCTTGAGACTCGCAGGTACACGAATCGTCGTGTGCCCGTTTAGGTCGCGGTCGCTCAAGCGCGCCGCACCCGGAAGACACAACGTGCACTGTTGGCCTTCGGGCACAGCGCATGGAATACCAGCGTCCACAGAGGATCTGTGGAGCTGCTCCAGCCGCCCGCGCGTCGAGAATGTCTCGAAGCGTTCACGGGCATGCTTAACCCGCTCGCGGTAAGCAGCCGGCTTCTTGTTGAAGTTCTCAACAAAAGCGTTCCAACTTTGACAAAGTCAGGCGCTCTGCTGCGAGAAGAAGTCTTCTTGCTGGAGAATTATTGGAGCTCGTGGAAGAGCCCGATGTAATAATCGCGCCTTTGATTCGTTAACGGATCAAAGTGCTGCTCCTCCGCAACAGTATCGTCATGGATACCGCTACATACGTACAGCGGGATTTCGTTTGGAGGCACAGTGTTGCCCATACGGTCTGCGATCTCTGACGCAGACGGCATCCACGGATCGCGCGCTGCTCAGGCAGCGCGCGGAGAGCTTGAAGGCGCCACCTCACGCGGGGAGCTTCAAGCCCCAGCAGCAGAGAGCAGAGTGTCGCTCTCGCCGCGCGAACGCTTCGAGCTCGAAGCGTCCGAGTCGTCTCCTTCACGAGGGCGTCTCGACCCGGCATGCGGGTCGAGACTATCGCTGTCGATAGACTCCTTGCGCTTCCTAGAAGAGGCCTCGCCCTCTTCCATCTCCACGTCGTCGTCTTCGAAGTCAACGGCGTCGTTGACTACAGATGAACCTTCGAGGACAATCTCTGGTTGAGTTGTCCCCGCCGCAGCCTTGGTAGCAAGAGCGTCACGCTTTGCTTTGAGACGCTCGCGGTACTCGGGGATAGAGAGAGTCTCTATCCCGGCGGAGGACTTCCCCTCTGCTGCAGCGTCGGTCTTCTTCTGAGGCGAGCTCATTGCGGAATGAGCTCGAGTTTTCTTTCTCCCAACGTGAAGAATTGACGAATGGTCAATTCCCTGATTTACGTGCCGTGACTCGGCGCGTCTAACCTTAAGGGGGGGGGGTGTAACAGGGTTACACGCACAAGTGGCTACAGTCACTTGTAACCCTAACAGACACGACGTCTGTTAGAGGTTCGAAAGACTTTCTCGACCTTGGTGTAGACACACCAAAGGCTACATACATTTACGACCACCACGACGGGTTATGTTGTTCATATCCAACATAAATGCATAGACATGTTCGGTGTATCCAACCTAAGGGTGAACATAACTAACTTCTGTATTGTTCGTTTTAGACCCAGCCAAGTTAGGCCCAGACCCCACTTACAAGGACTTGTACGATAGGCCGTACGGACCAAGTGACGTGGGGGGACGATCCGTTAGCGCTACTGTTCTACTTTATCCGCCGAAGTTGTGGACGCAGATTGCCAAGGAAAGCGACACGTACCACACGCAGTCGATTCCACAGAGAGCGAGAGCAATTCATTCGCAGCAGCGACGCGCCGGCGTGCAAGTGGGAGATTTGGGCGAGATTCGGCGTCGGCTTGCGCGGGTGCCGGAGATCCAGCCATAGGAGGTTGTCACCGTGATGGGGCTGCTTATCGCGCGCATGTTGATGCCCATTCGGAAAGGTATTGCGGCGCACTGGTCGACGAAGCCAGTTGGGGCGATCCCTTCCAACCGGTTCTACCTATTCATGCCCAAGAATCGGATCTTTCACGTGATGGGTTACCTCCACTTCTCGAACAACAAGTCGCCAAGGGCAAGCATCGATCGCGCGTGGAAGATTCGGCCGGTGGTGGACGTGCTGCAGCGAACCTTTGCTCGCGGGTATCGCGTGCTCCCAGTGATCAGCTTCGATGAAGCCACACTACCCTCTCGCTCTCGCTACAATCCGACGCGTCAATTCAACAAGGACAAGCGCCACAAGTGGGGCACGAAGGTGTTCGTCGCGGCGTGTGCTGAAACAGCGTATTGTCTGAGGTATGTGACTGAAGTTGAGGAAGGTTAGCCTTCCTCAGCTTTTGTTTTGCTGAAGTGCTTATGTTGGCTCCAAGTCACCATAAGTACCTTTTGATTCATCGCTTTGGTTCACCATAAGCTGACATAAGCTTGCTGTACTACAGAATCGAATTCTACTGCGGAGCGAAGACCCATCTACAGACGCCAGTGCCCAAGGACAACAACACCGGTGAAGCTGCGGTTCTGAGAAACATGAATGCGCTTTGCCCGCCCTCGACGACGTCACTGTGGCGTCTAGTAGTCACGGATCGCTTCTACACGTCGGTCAAGCTAGCACTAGAGCTGCTGCACCGACGCCTGTACTTGACCGGCACCATCCAGACGGACCGATCGGGCTATGCAAAGGGCGTTGCGACTAAGAAGGAGGTGAAGCAAGTGAAGAAGCAGAAGATTGTTTTGCCTCCGCAAGGAACGATCAAGCTTGCCCAAAACAAGCGTTTCCCGCATGAACATCATGCTTACCCTGCTGTAGGTCGAGGAACTCTGCCCTCGACCGGAACTCGTTTTGCGGGGGCTCAAACGCTTGTCTGAGCTCTTCCTTGAAACCCTCGTACGTGCTGAAGCACGTAGGATCAGAGAGTCGGCGCCCATACGCCCAACTTCTCGCTCGTCCGCCAAGACATAACATGGCGAACGCAACCTTGGACAACGGGTCGACGATACGTCGAGCTGCAATGGCAGTGTCTAGTTCGACAAGCCACCGGAGGAGAGGTTCACCCTCTCTTCCGACATAGTTGCTAGTCTTTGGAGTGCCTCCCACTCTGGGTCCGACAGGTGGAGGCAGTCAGCGCGTGCAACATGAGTTGCAGGCGAAGTGGATCTTTCCATGGGCACTTCTGGGCACGTGAAAAGGTTATCGGCTCCTCGTTCGTACAGCTCCGTACGAACGTTCAGGTAGTCGGTCGTTGGACGGACTACAAAGTGCAACCAGGTGTAATGGGCCTACCTTGGCTCACTACTACGGCTTACACGTATGCGCACGTGTAGGAAGAAGCGTAGGTTTCTTCTACTTGAGTTAAGTATACTCGAGATCCACGAGTATACTTTAAACAAGATAAAGACTACAAGTAGCGGGTTTTGGTAAAAGATGAGAACTGCTATTTTTGTTTTGTGTTTCTGACTTCCTCTAAATGTACACTTCCTCGACCTCGGTGTAAGGCATCTTTTAGCCAATGTGTGATCTGCTAACATGCAAGTCACTCATTGGCTAAAAGATGCTGCTTTCAGCCAATAGGAATCCTAAATGTGTATGGACCACCCGTCGTGGTGGTCGTAAATGTATGTAGCCATTGGTGTACCTTACACCGAGGTCGAGGAAGTGTTCAAACCTCTAACAGACATCGCATCTGTTAGAGTAACAAGTGACTGTAGCCACTTGTGCGTGTAACTCCGTTACAGCGGACAACCAGAACGTTTTATTCGCTAAAGCTACCAAGTTCACTCGTTGCAATATGAACACTGTCGCCTACGGTGTACTTCCCAACAGCTACCAGTTTCCTACGTTCCAAGACTGCCGAGACATGTTGGCTGCTATCGAATCCTCTGTCGTTGCAGAAATGACTGCGGCGCTGAAAAAAAGTGAAATCAATGGCAATACCCGCCCGATTCAGAGAAGGAAGGAGCTGGCAAGGGCCCACGTGGCGCCATATTGCAGAGTTAGACCGGAGACAAGAGGCAATGGTCATTGCTATCTCTGAGATCTTTGTCGAGGCCTTTCGCTCGCAGCTGAGAAGTACGCAAGATGAAGGTCATCGCGTCGTTCAAGCGGACGGTCATCCCGCGTCTTCTATTAACGTTGTGTCGGAGACTGATGCAGCACGCAACATTTATCTAAGAGCCTAGGAACGGACAGCATTTGAAGAATGCTAGCAGCATCGGGGGTACACTCTTAGAACGACGAACGCCACGTGTTCAAACCCACACGGCATTGATCAAGAGTCAGGAGCAGAGGTATTGGGACAAGCTCACTCGTGGCCAAGAGGAACAGGAAGCGTGGAAGCAAAATCGAGCTGGAATTGAAAAGAATGAACCGACTCATTTCCATGCTAAACGAGCAGAACGTTTTTATTTCCGTGCTTAACGAGCGAACGGCTACGCTCCAACCTTTGAGATCACGAAGAGATTCGCAACAACCCATGCCACGACGACAACGATGGGTAAAACGTGATTGCTGTCCCGCACGCCGATTTTCAGACGCCATGCGCGACTTGTAGCAGGCGTTTTCACAGTAGCTTTTTATTTCATTTCGATTTAGTTTTCTCAGTATCGAGATCGGATTGAGATTGTGGGGGGACAAAAGCTAATCGTTTTAAATCATTTTGGAACTCTTCCGACATTCATTCTGTTTTATTCCTTCAAGACCTCGCTCGACAGAGGACTCGAGGAACTGAGGATCTTACGTGGGTTGCAGTTCGGAAAGGTAGTAGTAATATTAGCACTACTACCGTACTTCACAAAATAAGTGTTAACAAAAAGACTGCAGTATTGTGCAAAATCTTAACACAAAAATTGCAGTTTTTGTTAAAGTTTTTGGCTAAGATGAGTGCAGTTTCAAGATTTCAAAAAACAGTTTTTTGTTAAGTGCGGTATTATCACTACTACAGTAGTTACCTCGCTACTATAGCGATATCACTACTAAGAGGGTCAGACCCCAGCGACTATAACAATAATAGTGATATTAGCGCTACTATCGCTACTCTGCAGGACACTACAGTACCTACAGTAATTAGCCTGGCCCAGACTAAATCTGAATAGCAGATTTTCATTGCTCACAATTATGAGTCTGACCCCAACAGTGACAGACTAATGTTGAACTCAGACTAATTATGAATATCTACAAATGTCCGTTTTCCAGTAAGAAAATTTATATTTTTGTGAAATGATACATTTCTACGCATTTTCGAGTATTTATACTACGTAGTACTACCTCCGGTGTGAAAAACAATGGCCACTTCAACTATGATGTGTACACATAATTTTGTTTTACGTTCCGATTGGACAAAATTATATTTTTTAATTTGTTGACTCTGAGCCATTAATTTTTTGCAGCCCTGGTGGCTCCAAAGCTCCTTGCGCAACTCGCGCCAAAACACAGTCCCACAAACCAATTTCTGCCAAGGACCCCCAAGATGCCGCGCACCCCTAACGCCAAAGATCTGTCGCTTGCTACGAAGCTGGAGATCGTGCTGTTCCTCTCTGGCATGGCCACCTGTGGAAAGCTTCCACGGGGGGGCATCTCGGAGGCTGCAGCACGATTTGGTTGCCATCGCAACACAGTGCACAAGCTGTGGAGTGGCCGCGCCACTATTGCCGTGCAACGGCCGAGCAACCGCGGCCGGCCCCGGGCCTACACAGATGGGGCTATCAAGGCCAAGATTGCGTCGGCTCCGGTGGAGAGTCGGACCACGCTGCGTGGTCTCGCCGCCGCCACAGGTATCCCGCGGACCCAGCTCTTCCGACGCTTGCAGGAGCGAAGCGTGGTCAGGCGAGTCACGGTTGTGCCGAAGCCGCTGCTCACGCCGGAGCACATGGCGCAGCGCCGTCAGTTTGTTCGGACTTTTGTGACGAAGATTCCTGGTAAGAGCGTTGACTGCCTAGTTATCTGTTACGAGTAATATGTGTAATGCCTGACGATATGTAATGTAATGTCTGTCATTTAGGTGATCGCGGATACCAATTCGATGACATGCAGAATGTGATGCATGTTGACGAAAAGTAGTTCTACGTGCACCGGAACCGCAACACTTACTACCTTACGAGCGACGAGCCTGCGTCGCGCGCCGTCACCAAGAACAAGAACCACCGAACAAAGGTAATGTTTTTGGTAGCGGTCGCGCGGCCACGGTATGACGAGCACCAGCGCATGACCTTTGACGGAAAGGTGGGACTGTGGCCCGTGGTGGAAACCGAGTTGGCTGTCCGCAGCAGCAAGAACCGCCCGAAGGGTACTCCGGTCACGACCCCAGTCGAGATGACGAAGGACGTCTACGAGCGCATGCTGACGCAGCACGTAATCCCCGCGATCAAGCGAGTTTGGCCAGGTAATTGTTTTGCAACTTGATTTATTATGTTTTATGCTGACTATTTTTATTAGAACTATTTTTATATAGGTAAGGAAGAGGTGATCGTACAGCAGGACAACGCCCCGCCTCACCGTGCCTCGGAGCGGAATGCAGTGAAAGCAGCGGCTGCAGCGGGGGCTGGTCGATTAAGTTCGCCAACCAGCCGCCGCGAAGCCCTGACTTCAACGTGCTCGACTTGAGCTGGTTCTGCTCGCTGCAGTCGCTGCAGTACAGGAAGCAGACGCAGGACGTCGATGGGCTCATCGCGGCCGTGAATGCCGCGTTTGAGGAGATGTCAAGTGCCACCACCAACAAGTGCTTCCCTACGCTGCAGAGCGTACTTGAGGCATCTATTGCTGGACAACATCCCACACCTGAGAAAAGATGCCCTGACCAGGAATGGTAGCCTGCCTCGCTGTTTGCCGTGTTCGGCTGAGGCGGTTGCGGCTGTCGATGCTTTAGCCTAAAACGTCGGTTTGGTAGCGGTAATATTAAGCCTAAATATTACCTTCATTCTGATTGGTCTGTCACTAATAGTTCAATTTGGTGAATGTATATTATTTTTCGGACCGGAGGTAGTATGTATTAATAGTATAGCTATATATTATCGTGGCTTTGAAGAAAAAAAGACTAAATCATCGCAGATGTTGCTTCTCTATTGGTTAGAGAAGGCTAAACTATGGGTTGGATGCCTTGTTCATTCAGGTATCTATTACAACTTGCAGATATCAGGTTCTGTGTGTACGAAATCTGGTAAATTGGCTCGTTTTTCAACCAAAGTACTTATTAGCCCTTTAGCTACCGGACCACCGACGGGTCCATAGGGACCCGTAAGAGAGGCAAATCCACGATTTCTATTGGACGAAATGTTGCTGGCCATAAGACGAGCCATACTCGTATCGGACAGGGGTCCATTGGGACCCCTACCGTGTGCTAGCCAGACCAACGGATTCGGTTCGTAACAAGCTGATACCAACGGTATAAATGCCATTCAGGTTTTTGGCGACCGGCGAGCACATCGGAACAATGGAAGCAGGAGTTGGCGGAGATTGGGACGCGCTCGAGCTTCAACAGGACTACAGCATCGAGGGCATTGCACTTGAAGCGCTCGTTGAAGACTGGGACCGCCTAGTGCATACAGATCCCACCCTCGACGATGCTGACGACGAGCAACACAGCGCTGATGACGAACATCCCGACGCCAGTGACGTATTTTATTAAGTATTTGTAAAATAATTCGAATTGATTGTCACATTTCTTCAATTCTTATTAAATAACGATCATAATAATCACCATTTGTTCCTACAGGTACATCAAATTCTAATTGATCATAAACTTCATAAGGTTGTGTTTTTCGTAAATCCCATGTACGTGAACGTCCAGCTTTACCTAATTTAATTTTTTATGGTTAATATTAGATACAATACCTAATGTTGCATAACAAGTTGATAACATTAATTTTAATTCACCTGAATTTAAACGAATTCTAGCATATTTATTATTATTATTTTTAATTAATTGGGCAGAAGTACCAGCGCTTCTTATTAATTTTCCACGAGATTGGGGATATAAACTAATATTATGGATTAAACTACCTATTGGTATATTTTGTAATGGTAAAGCATTACCTACTTTTAATTCAGCATTAGGTGAACTTTTTATATATTGATTAATTTTTAAACCTTCTGGTGCTGAAATTAAATAAGATTTAAAATCATTTTTAATATAGGCAATATTTGCAGAACGATTTGGATTATATAAAATTTTAATTACAGAACCTTCAATATTTTTAGATCGATTAAAATCAATTCGATGTCTTACAGTTATTTTACCTTGATTATTTTTTTTAGCAGTCTACAAGGCGGTGCAGTTTGCGGCGCAGTGGCCATGCATCGAGGAGGCGCTGTGGACGTGTATCTCGGGGATGCTGGTGGTGTGTATCTCGGGGATGCTGGAGGTGTGTATCTCGGGGATGCTGGTGGTGTGCGTCTCAACAGTACCACTGACCATGCAATGTGGCGCGGCCGACGCGCAAGCGCAGCTCGGTCCATCACAGCCCCGCGATGTTGCAGGAGAGCACGGCGCAGCCGGCTCCGCCTACCGCAAGCAGAATGGGTGGATCAAGCCGTATGCAGTCGCTGCTGCACGTAATTTACCCACCATCGTGTTGTCCGGCCAAAGTTGGTTGAGGCGTCGAGTGATGCATGCTGGGGCGTCCCCCTTCATGTTTCCGTTTTTAGCATAGAGATACAATCGACGCAGCGATATGCGGATAGCACGGTTGCGGTGCCTCTTTCTCGCCAGCTTGCCCTGCAGACGCTTTCCTGCCTCCTCGAGCTCGCCACCATAGCGCAGCCAGTCGCACTCCGGTGCGCCGCACCAGCCGCACATGCTCTCGACGCTCTCGAAGCTCTCGACGTCCTCCATGTTAAGAACACGAGGGGGAATCAAATTTGAGGGGGATGTTGATTTCAAAGGAAACCGGCCATTCTCGTGATCCCTCTGATTAGTTTAAAAATTCAAATGCAACGATTTGATAGGCTCTGGAAGAGGTCCAAGTGGACCCCTCAGGAATGGTCTGGTAGCTAAGGGGTTAGGTAGAGATGGACTAGAATCGGGGTAAGGTCTTCTGCCAGTTTCGTGCCGTCCTTCGAACTTGCGGGCTTGCTGTGGCATAACTTTTCATTGAATTGTCCATTCTGAAATCTGATTGCACCCGCTAAATCTGCGCGATTGGGCTGAATTTATGTACTTCACGCTGGTCCGTGTAAATTTTGCAGAACTTCTTGTTATTGTTTTGAAAAGCTTGTTGATTTGGAGTGAGCTGCCAGTTTCCTGCCTCTTTTTGATAGCATTTTTGTATGCTATGCAAATCCTAGGAGGCTCATCACCGGAAATTGCATGTGACGCTGGAAAAATCTACCAATAGACTACGAGAGTTTAACAAGGAGAAAATGCTAATTGGCTAAAACAAGTAGGCACGGAACTGGTTGTAGGCACGAAACTGGCACCTTACCTTATACTAATTATGAACAGTTTTAGCCAGACTAAAAATGAAGACGTCAATTTTTGCTCGGACACGAATTAGTCTGGCCCTGACTAATTTTGAAGCCAGACTAAATTTGAGCCCAGAATAATTTGGTAGTGTGCCAAATCCTGATCCTAGTGCAGTGCCGCTTCAACTAACAAAATATACGCCGAATGGCTCGTCGCAATGTGCTACATGGAGCTTCTGCGTGGGAGCGGGAGGAAAAGGCTAACCAGCAACGAGACTACGCTGCACAGCTCCAGGAGCAGGTACGTGTGCTACGTGAATCGTATCTACAACATTAGACAACAGAGAGCGTAACCAAACCAATCCCCCCCCTTTGCAGGTTTTACAGAAACAAGCTAAGCAGGAGCAGGAGAAAGCGCGCAAGCAGCAAGAGCAGCGCGAGGAGCTGGACATGCTGGTGAGGGAATTGTCCGGTCAATTGTGTCCTTTGGCCTATTGCACCGGCTGACTGGCATCTTGGCACCAAGGAGCGTGAACGAGAAGCAGCGAGCAGGAAGCACCATCCACAGCAAGAGCAGGCAGCACCTGATTTTCCTCCGCTCGCCCAATCACCCCAATGTACAGACGTAATGCGGCATGTGCCGGTGGTGGACCCTCAGCACCAGGGAACACAGCTGGCGTCACCGACGAAAGCGACCACAGCGGGGATTAGTGCAGGAGCAGCTGCACCGGATCTTGTGCACGATAACTCGGCCTTCACGCCCTCGAGTTGCGGAGGATCGGAGCCATACACCCCCAGTTTTAGCTCTCCACCCTCCATTTTCGAGTCTGTTTTCCGGGAGCCCGGATTCGGTGCGCGGTCTGTCGCTTTTTACGAGGACTTGGCAGCGCTTCACCGACTTACAGCCGAGGTTGACAAACGCTTCTACCTTTTCAGTTGCAATTCATGCAATGTACATAACGTGGTTCTTGTGTTTGAACGTACTTGCGTAGCTAGACTTAGCGGCGAAGCAAAGACACACCAAAGCTCAGGTTTGTGTTCTGCAATGTCTTCGTTGTTGAGATTGAAGCTAAAGTGGAGCTGTGAATGCAGAGTACATACATGAAGCCAAACTTCATCCATCAAGAGGAAACCTCGCCCTCTGTGCTTTCGCTAGGTTCACCCGCAAGGACGGACACAGACAAGGTTGGTTCTGGGGCTGTACGCGGCATAGTAAATGTTTTCACCGCAGTTCATATAACATGTATGTTATGCTATGCTATCAGGCATCAAACGAAGACAATCCGCTCGAAAAACATGCAACAGAGCCCCAACAACGAATTGGGTATGCGTTGTGCTGTATTTGGTTCCTTCAATCACCGTGACCCACAAACTTATCGAAAGATCGACAATGTTCAGACCGAGTGATGACGGATTGCTAGGTGAGAGCGTGTTGCTACCACTCGGGACAGCAATGCCCATGTCAAGATTCAAGCAGTCGAAGGCTATCTCGAAACCACAAACCAATTATCCAGCACAACAGTTCGCTGCAGACGAAGATGAAGCTCTAGATAATCATAGTGAGATGATGCGCTTTGCAAACTGATGAGAACCTGCATAGCATTCTTAGGTCGGTGTTTTGAATAAAATAGCCAGGATGAACAGGTTTATAATGAGCTTATGTTTCTCGGTGCATCTCGCTACTGGCAATGACCATGAGCTCCGACGACTGTGAGGTCATGTTTCCCAAAACGCAGACAGCATCTCGCTTCATGACGAAAGCGGGAGCGACACTGCCACCACACGCGAATCTGCGGATCAAAAGAGTTAGCGAACTTTTCATTCGGCAGCAAAATACCAAGCAACTTTCTCGCACCTTAAGCCTTCCCACCGCCACTCGCCAACGATAGCTTTGCATTCTTCTCTTGGACAATGGATTGCCCCCTCTGTGTGTGTGGTCGCTTGATCAAGTGTCCAGGGCTGAGGATCCACAAACCACTGCTTGCAGTCGTTCAATGCCACCATCGCTGTCGAGTCTTCGTCAACTAACCGTGTCATTTGTTCCTCTGTAGACCCGCTATGAGCTTGAGACACGGTACTGACCTCCACAAGTTGCTGGATGTTCCGATGCCAGTCGACGGCGTTGCGCTTCAGGAATATCAAATGGGCGGGGGTTTGGCCTACCCCCGATGGTCTTGTGTCCTCGGAAATGAAAGGAGGTACACTGGGCTTTTGCAGCTCGGGGATTCCCTTGTGGAGGGTTTCACAACTCGGATCCTTCGCAGTGCGTTTTTGGGCTTTGAAAGACGTAAGAGAACGCCACAAACCAGCTCCCGACTTCTTTTTGGGCTCGCCGTTCACTTTGTTCGGAGAAAACGTCGCCGAACTCGTTCGCTTGTTTTCTTCCGTGGCGGGGCGTCGAGCAGGTTGCAAAATTTGCAGCGACTGAGGGGAGGTTCCCGATTGCCCTTCTGCCTCAGGATCGAGACTCGGTTTACTGAGCACTGGTGACGCACTCTTTCTCTTGCTACAATCGTCGGAGGGTCCTGTGTGTGAACCAGTTCCCACAGTTACGCTGGGGCTGTGAGGCCTTAGACGCAGCTTGGCGAGCAATGGTTTCTTCGTGACGGTGTTTCTTGTCGTGACGACAACTTGCTCTTCACCAGTCGACGAATTCGTTGGTGAACCGCTCGTGCCATTGCCGTCTACCTGTCCCCGTAAAGCCCCCAAAAAGCACGTGCTACCCCCATCAGAATAAGATTTGCCCGTGAGTTTCGACAGGTCGTGGTGATGAACAATGGCACCCGCGCAGAACAGGCTTTCTCCGCACGATTGACAGCCATACATGGTCCCCATGGAGCGCAACGCTGGAATAAAGGACGCGGCAGGCTTCTCTGGTGTCGCTTTGGAACATCTTGACCCCCGGGGAAGCGAAAGACAGAATCCGCTCGGTACTCTTTCGCCCAGCATTCCTCGATCGTCACAGCCAGAGGCTAACATCTCAATTGACGACTGCTTTTTCAAGAGCGGGGGTGGATCCGACGCTTGCTGCGACTGGCGGCGCTTCCTGGCCACCTCGCTATTAAGCTCGCCGTCTTGGTGCTGTTGGGCCAGCCGTGCTAAGCGCGCCTTGAGAAGATGCTGGTTTGCGATGAAAACGTCACCACTCGCGGTCTCGAGGCACTTGAGCTGAGCGTCAAAGCCAACGTTTAGACTCACAACCGGCCGCAGTGCCTTCACGTGAGCTGAAATAGTGGAGTACAACATCTGCTGCTTCATCATCAGGAACGCCATCGCGACTGCAGGGGATCTTGAACGTCCGCCGGCGCAATGCACAAGCACGCCGCCTTGCTTCAGTCCAGCGTCGATAAATACCGCAGCAATGGGGAGGCAGCTCAGTAAACTGGCGTATTCCTTGTCACGGATACTTAGACTTAGGTACGTGAAGTCCTCGGGGAACGTCGCGTAGCTGCCCGCGAGATTGAGCACGTGCGATATCTTGTTGGCCTTGAGAGCTTCGACGTTGAAGGCGGCGTGAATGGAACCCACGAACAAACCGGCGGCGACTTCCACTGGAATATTATCTTGCACGATCGATGTCTGCAACCGAAGGCCAGGAGACTTCCTCATCGACATGTTCGCTATTAGTAGTGGGGTACGATGAGGGCAAACCGCGTGTGTCTGCCGTGGCAGGTCTCGTTGTAGCCGGCGAATGGAGCCGGCATTTTCCAATCGATCAAATATAGCTCTTCCGCACTTACCGCTTCCAGGAATATGGCTCCTCAGGACCGTGTGGAACCTACAGCAGGAAATCCACACAAATGTCTGCAGGATTGGGCAGGGTAGTCAAAGTGTGGGTGGTGGTGGTGTACGTTCCGGAGTTGGCTTCGTTGATTTTAGCAGATAAGATGGCTCATCGTGATGTTCAAGTAGGTGAGGTGGTCCACGATGCTCGTACAGCTAAACGGCGAGCACGAGTTGGAGCACTTCGGGTCTTCGCCGTCCGTCTGACTGCAGTTGCGATAGCTAGCGGAGAACTCGTCGTAGAAGATCTATAAGCGCAGCCACAGCAACAACCACACAGTTATTATAGCTCCAGAGTTTGTGCAGCTCAACAGTCAAGCCACCACACGCACCTCTTCCGTTGGATGCTCAAACCCCGTCCACGTTGGGGGCAGGTGCGGCACGGCGTCTTGGAAGTGCGTCACGCGGTAGACCTCCATGCTGGCGTTGCGTAGTCTGCCGCTGAAGTTCGTGTTGCCCACTCGGGGCTTCCCAAAAGTGTAGAGCGCCTTGACCGGCATCTTCTCTATGTACTCGAGCTCGAAGGCGCAGATCGCCGCGACTGCTCCGCCCAGTGAGTGGCCTGCGACCATGAGCGCCGCCTTGGGGTGCTGCTTACGGAGCGCGTGCAGTGTGGAGAGCACCTGCGTGGCGACGGAGCGGTAAGCCCAGTAGAAACCCTCGTGCACCATGACGCCGGGGAACTGCGCGTAGGCGCGTCTCTTGAGGAACGTGAGGTTGTCCAGCCAGTTGTTGACGTCCATGCTGCCTCGGAAGGCGACCACCAGCGCGTCGTAGAGCCGCGAGTAGCCCACGAGGCCCTGGAAGTTGTCCTTGGAGTCCTCGACCACTGTGACGCCCTCTAGCGGCGGTACAAACGCGCACGGCTGGCAGTTCCAGTGGATAATATGCTGCTCCTGGCAGTACGAGACGGACGTCACGTGCGCCAGGTACACGGCCGTGCTCTCGTTGTAGTTGGAGGCGGCGGGCGCTGAAGCTGAAGCTGAAGCTCGCTGCGTATGCGGCAGTTGGTCTGCCGGGAAGGAGTGCTCCCACACGCTGGAGGCGGCGGCTACAGCGAGCGATTGCAGCAGCAGCAGCGCGCGCAGGAAGCGCCGCCAGGACCCCATCGAGCGGTGTGTCATTCTTCTCCAGTTGAAGCGTCAGATTCTAGAATGTACCTTCTAATTTTACGGTTCAACTAGTAAAGTTGGTGGGTATTGCTCTGTTGACGAACGGCAAGAAGAAGGAGGAGGGGCAGGATTAAGGAAGAAGAAAGCGTCGATTAAACCATGAATCTTGAGCTGCTGGGAGCCGATGTCGGTTTAGGATGAAGGCCTACGAGGCGCCCGCACGCGTCCGGAGGTACGTATAAGGCCGAGATCTCTGTCCGAGGAGCTCACGTGAACGTGCTGGTGCACTCCACGAAACAGCGCGGCCAGATCCAGAGTACTGGGTCTCTGTGCAGGTAGTAGGACTCTGCAGTTCATACATGTACCAAGCGGGCGGTGGGGGCGGTCTCCAGCCAAAGATCAAAAGACTGCGGCTCCGTGCGAACGGATCGCCCCAAAGCGGGCATGTCGCGCATTTTTGACGGTGATCCAAACATGCTGGCCTCAAGCGCTGCTGTGGCCTAGACAGAGAAGCCCTTCATTGCATCTTAATGAACCTGCCTTGCGGCTTGCTCCCTGCAGCTATGCCCCAGGCGCGGCTTGCCTCACCAGCCGCACGACTCGGGGCGAATACGATTTCGGCGGCGTCAGTAACGGCCGCTATTTAACATTTCGCCAGCATGTGGAAAAATCTCCGCCGAGGAGGGAGGGCAGCTCAAAGCACCGAGACTGCAGCGCTAGATGTAGATGTCCCTGCGTGGCTGCATGGACACACGCACGCTAGGAAGTCCTACCTGCACAAAGCTGCGCCAAGAGGCAATGTACAAGTGAGTTTGTTGGCTCAAATGTCGGCGGTGAGCGAGGACCGATGTCAGGGCCCCGGTGCGGGTGAAACCGGCTGGTGCGCGTGTCTAAACACCTTCTCCGACTTGGTTTGACTATGGGCGATACTGGAAGCCAGTCTCGCGCGTTCCGGCCCGCTTCGCAGGCGCCACATCTTGAACGGGGCCATCGACAGCGCAGCTCGCTCGCCGCCTCCGCACTCCCGCCGACCGGCGCGCAGGCAGTTAGGCCGCATACCCACAGGCACAGGACCTCAGCACGTACAGGACCCACATCAGGACGCAGGAGCCATGGCGGACGTCGCGAGCGCGTTCCTACCGCCGCTGGAGATCCAGCCCAACAACGCCGTCTTCGCGGCGCGCAGCCTGCCGCGGCCGCTCACGTGGCAGCGCCGCGAGCACATGATGCACCGCCGCACGATCCTCACGCGCATCGGCCAGCTCCTGGCGCGCAACGCGCAGCTCGTGCTCGCGCAGCATCAGGCCGCGGGCGCGGCGGCCGACCTCAGCAAGACGTGGGTGCTGGCGCGCAAGCTCGAGGTGCTCATGTTCATCCACTCGGCGTCGCTGCTCGAGTACGTCAACATGGACAGTCTGGCGCGCCGCGTGCAGGCGATGACGGCCGGCATCGTCAACAAGAAGATCCGCCGAGCCACGGCCACCACGCCACCGGCCAGCGAGACGGGCGCAGCAGCTCCAGCAAGAGCGATGCCGACACCCGCCATGTGTGCGCCGGCTGGGAACATCAGCGCACGCGCGCGCTGCCCGCCGACGGTGTCGCCTGTGGTGCACCCGACGCAGGCCGCTCAGATGGCGGGGCGGGCGTTCAGCTCGTCGTCTATTGGCGCAGCGTCGCCGTCCGCTGTAGTCGACAACGGACGGACGCTGCCGCGCATTTCGAACTTGATCCACAAGCGCAGCTTGGACGAGACGGACCCGTGCGGACGCCGCGCGGATGCTAACGACGCGCGCAAGCGGATGCGCATCTCGCTGATGCCCGAGGAGGAGCCAGAGACCGAGTTGGAGGAGAAGCGCAAGCCGATCGAACTGGGCGTGCTGCTGTTCCGCGGATACGAGGAGCTGAGCAAGATCATCTGGAGCTACGTGGACGGCGTGCAGATCATGCGCTCGCGCGCAGTATGCCGCGTTGCCTGCGCGCTGGCCCCGCTCTTTGTGACGTCGCTGCAGTTGAGCTGCAACGCCGTTCAAAGGGCGCTTGCCACGCGGACGGATGGTAAGGCCTCGATTCTTCGCGAGTGCATTCACCTGCGGCACTTAGAGATCGTGTCGCTGTCAGCGGGGATGACGTTTGGAAAGCTGTCGATGCGGGCGATGAACTGCCCGCAGCGGTTCGTCGTGACGCACGATGACCACGAGCAGATTGTGCTGTCAATGGCGGAGCAGATGCGTCAGAACACGTTCCCGGGACTCACCCGCTTGAGTATCACGTGTCTGTTCACGAACGAGGAGGCGGACGGAGAGGCCGACGTCCTGGTCAACACTTTGATGCTGGGCTGTTGCCCGCGGATAGAGGAGCTGTGTCTTCCTGGCAACAGCTTCGGTGACTACGGAGCCACGAAGGTGGCACAGATGCTGCGCTCACAGGTTTGCCCGAAGCTTACGAGGCTGGATTTGCGTCGCAACTTCATCGGCGAGGACGGGATTCGCAGCTTGTGTCACGCTCTGGCTGACGGCTGCGCACCCAACCTCACGGAGCTGTGCTTGGGCGGCAATACGATCACTGACTCGAGTTTCCACCACGTGCTGTACGCGATGGAGAGCGGGCAGTTGCGCAAGCTTCGCTTCCTGGGGATTGAAATGAACTACCTGACGTCGACGAGCATGGAGATGCTGGGCCGCACCGTCGGCAAGCTGGTGTGCCCCGTTCTCTCCCAGATCTCGTACAGTGACAACAGCGTGGACAACGAGTCAGCCAAGCGCTTGATCGCCACCGCTGTCTACCAGGAGCGCGTGTGGCAGGCAAAGCGGCAGCAACGAATCCGTGAGGGCCACGTCAGCGAAGACGAAAGCTCGTGCGACGAGCAGCTCTCGGACGAAGAGGTAGTTTAGTTTGAAGACGCGAGAGTGAGCGTTTGTAGATGTGAGCGGTGGCAGGCGGCACATGCTGCCTGCTTCCACTATTTAACGGGGGGCTAATGAGCCAGCCCATAACTTATACATCGAGCTGCGGCGCAGTGAAAATGTATCGAGTATCCACGTGTATCTAGTGTAGCTAGCTCTAGCATGCTGTCTGCAGATTCGTGAGCTCCGCGTCCGCGAAGCGCACAGGTTCGTTCCAGTTGGGCTTCTGCGGGTCGAGCGAGAACACGATCAGCTGCAGCTCGCGGTTCGAGGTGACGTCTGCAGGTCGCGGCGTGGGGAGGAAATCGTCGTCTCTGACGCGCTCGAAGCGGAAGCCGAAGGCCACGGCCTCCTTGAACAGCAGGTCCTCGGTGGACTGCGCGCGGCACACGAAGCCGCAGCAGAACTTGGTCTCCAGCGGGTTCCGCGACCGAAGCAGCAGATACTTGATGGTCTGAAGAATGGGCTTGACCAGAATGGGCCAACAGACGACGTCGGCGCCGATGAGCACGTCCACGGGGTGCGGGAACGCTCGCTCGAAGGCTTCCACGCTCTCGTGGTCGCCCCAGAGCAGCGGCAGCGCCTGCACTTTGCTGGAGTCGGCGTTGGCTTCGGCGTTCTCCTCCAGCAGCTCCAGCACGATGTCGTTGCCGTCCGTTAGAGCGGTGTGGGCTCTACAAATTATTGCCCCCAAGATACACAGCCCCGCACGTCAACTAGTACTCATGAGCAGGGCATCCCAACGCAGCAGTCAACGCACGCGAACTGAGAGGCGACGAGTCCGCTGAGCCCAGCGCCGGCGCCGAGCTCCACCACCGTCTTGCCAGCGATCTCCTCGCGGTGGGTCACGAGGTACCAGGCCAGGAAGGCCGAGACCGGCCACACCACTTGGCCGGTCAGGTCGTGGTCTGTGGAGGCGGCATGGGAGCACAAGAGCTGCTGCTTGACGACGCCGAAGTCGAACTCCTGCGTCTCGTAGCTGCGCGGCACCAAAAGTCAGCCATAAGAACGAGGAATACAGTGCAACAAAGACAGCAAGAAACGCACTCGCGGTTCACGAACAGGTCCGTGCTGAAGAAGTCCTCGTAGTCATCGGGTTGCTGCGGCGTCTGCGGGGAGCTACTCATGGCCATGGGTTGGTCGTCAAGTGAGGCTGGGCTGTGTACCCATCTGTCCGTACTGTGCGACGACGATTTAGTGCCACTTCATACACTTCAACATGGTAAAACTACTGTACATCGCCCAAAGCTGGCACCAATGCTATGATCCAGTCGACCCCTTTGCATTTATTCTACAAGTGTTCTACCTAGAGCTCCCATCGGTTCGGGCAACGGAGGCAAATGACGATAATCCGCGTGCGATCCACCACGGCCTTGCGGCGCCACTGGCGATAGCGCGTGCGCGAGCTGCCACAGTTGCGGCACTCGAACAGGTCCGACTCGAAGCCCTCGGCCTCGCGGCCGTCCCGCATCACCTCGTGCGTGCGCTTCCTGATCCACTCCTTGCGCTGGCGCACCAGCTGCGGGTTGGCCATGTCGCGGCCGTTCATGCGCACGAGGCTGTGCGAGGGCAGCTCGCCCGACACCAGGCGGTTGCGCAGATCGACATTGCGCGAGTCCTTGAGATTAAATAACAGCGTCCGCGCCTTGTGCGCGTACGCTTTCGTCAGCGAGTAGCTGTTGCGGTTGACCACGTACACACAAGTTAGCCTTTTAATCCAAGCTCATATCCCCAATATCCCTCACACCTTTGTCCATAGGCAGCGTAGAGCTCCGCCTCCACGTCCAGCGCCACCGCCACGGCGTTCGAGTCCAAGGGACGCAGAATATCGGTCATTCTGGAAGAGAAGCGACGTCGCGCAACGGAGACGCTCGCGAGACTCCATGACTTGCACACCCGCCCCACTTGGCCGAAGCTGATGATCAGAGCGAGCACCTCCTGCGGCAGCGAGGCTGCTACCGAAGGTCGAGCCGACGCCTTCGCTTTCTCCTCCAGCTTCATCTCCAAGCCATGAGCTGCATCGCCCGCACTTGCCGTACCTGCAATATATTGCGCAGCCGCCCTTAAGTTCGTCTCCATCTCGAAGAGATCAACAGCATGCCCAGATCGACCGATACTAAAGCAAAGTACCTGCGAGGTCCAGTTCCTCCTCGAGCTCCAGCGCCCACGCGTCGTCATCTTCTTCCTCCTCTCTCGGCACGGACGACGCCATAACTGTCACGTGTCAATTCTTCGGTCAGTCGGTCACGCAGCGACGTCCAGGTCCCTCTTCCGTCGGCGGCCGCTCAGCAATTGGGCTCATAGTGAGCTGCAGTGGGAAACGCTGGCGTGTTGCACGAACAAAGACAACAGTGTGGCCCACACCGCGTCTGACTCTTGATATGTCGCACGAATGTCGCTTCAACGGATCCCAATACAAAATCCGAGCCACGCGGCCGCAAAAGGTCAGTGACCACCGACCGGAGCCAAGATGATGCGGCAACGCGCTGTCAAGAGCGACGTGGACGACGGCGGCCTGGGCGACGGTGAGAGCGCCGTGACCCGCTCGGCGCGCCGCGTGCTGAAGAAGGTGGACGTGTACCCGAAGATGCACCGCGAGTTCAAGGTGCAGACGGAGTTCGGCGCCACGGTGTCAATCGTGGCGGGCATCGTCATGGCCATCCTCTTCCTGTCGGAGCTGAGCGCGTACTGGAGCCTCAACACGCACGAGCACATGGTCGTGGACTCGTCGCTGGGCGAAAAGCTGCAGGTGAACCTGGACGTGAGCTTCCTGGCCGTCAACTGCCGCGACGCGCACATCAACGCCATGGACGTGGCCGGCGAGCTGCAGGTCAATATGCACCAGACCGTCGTCAAGACGCGGCTGGACGCCGACGGCAACACCATCGGCCGCCCCATCTCCATGATCACGGACGAGGGCGCGGAGGAGCAGGCCAAGACTGCGCTGCCCGAGGGATACTGCGGCAGCTGCCACGGGGCTCAGCACCCGGCGGGCAAAGAGTGCTGCAACACGTGCGAGGACGTGAAGGAGGCCTTCATCTACAGCGACTTCTCGCTTGAGGACGCCGAGCAGAAGGAGCAGTGCGTGCGCGAGATAATGGAGGCTGAGAAGCTCGCGCAGGACGGTGAGGGATGCCGGTTCACGGGCAAGATGTTCGTGAACCGCGTGGCTGGCAACTTCCACGTCGCTCTCGGACGCACGTTTCACCGCCAGGGACGACTCGTGCACCAGTTCCGTCCCGGACAGGAACACACGTACAACTCGAGTCACATCATCCACAGCTTGTCCTTCGGCGAGCCGATGCCAGGAGTTGCAGGGCCCCTTGACGGCGTCTCCAAGATCGCGGAGCAATGTAAGTGGACTTGGCGTTGTTTGTGCGATGACAGGTGGCGTTTTGACGATCTGAATCTCGTGTGCGTGTTTTGATATGTAGCTGGCGGCGTGTTCCAGTACTACATCAAGATTGTGCCTACGATTTACAGCGACATCGACGAGAACACGATTCACTCGTACCAGGTGCGTCACAACGCCCTCAACTCACTCTAAATGCCCTTTGACTAACCTCAATGTTGTTGTGCCAGTTCTCCGTCACCCAGCAGGGCAACTACCTGAACCCGCGCGGTCAGATGACGTCGCTCCCTGGTACGAAATGCCTCTGGGTTCGCGAATCATGATCTTGTTTCTAACCTACTTATTTGCGGACTACGCAGGCACCTTCTTCGTGTTTGACCTGTCTCCATTCATGGTGAAGGTGGAGAACGATCGCATGCCGTTCACCCACTTCCTGACCAAGGTTTGTGCCATCGTCGGCGGAGTCATCTCGGTGCGTTCTGGGCTCCTACAGCAACTTGCCGCTCGCTCTCGCACTCACACTTGTTTCGTTTGCGTCATGCCTTCCTTCAGATCGCGGGCTTCGTGGACTCGTTCATGTACAACTCGCTGCACGTGCGTCGTCGTGTGTCCACCAACAGCGGCGCGACCAAGTTCGGCTAAGGCAATCAATCCCCTGCAGCAGAATACAAGTACTACGTAGCGAAGGACGCCAATGGCCATAGACTGTCGATTCACATTTTTCAAAATCCATGTTGTTCTGTCCTCCGTTGTCCACAACATATGCTTCCTTAAGTACACAATTACCCCTACATACAATAATCCCATATTACAAATGGGGGAGGAAGTGCGCAATGCCGCCGAGCGGCTCCGGAAGCTGCTGCGCGCCGCCCAGTACCCGCAGCTGAGCGCGCTGCGCCTCGAGGATGGGGACGTGGCCGACCTGCTGCGCGTGCTGCACTTCGTGCTGCTGGACTCGTCGCGGGCCGTGGCGCAGTTCCTCGTGGACAGGGGCTACGACCTGTACGGCAAGACGGACGCGCGCTTCGTGGAGAGCGCCTTCCGCCTGCTGCGCGACGAGTTCCGCTGCTTCCCGTCGCTGAGCGTGCCGCAGTTCCTGTCCAAGCAGTTCGTGGCGCGCAGACTCGCGATCGTGGCGGACGCGGCGGCGGCAGTGGCGCAGAAGCGCCAGGAGCTGCAGAGACTCAAGCGCAGGGAGGAGGCCGTGTGGTCCCCGCCCCAGGCGGCCGCCAGGGGCCGGCGAGAGCTCCAGCCGACGGTGGAGAACCACGTGCTGCCCAGCGCGGTGGCCAACCACGCAGCCAGCATATTGCAGCACCTCAAGCAGCAGCAGAGTGAAGGAGAGCAGACGGCTCGACGACGCGTCCGACGGGCGTCAAGCGAGACGCCAGTGCAAGTTAATGGGGCTGCAGAGCGAGTGGTGCCTCCGCCGACGCCAACCTTTGCGGTGCAGCAAGATGGCGGCAGTGCTCCACCTGTACGTTGAAGTGGACAATAAGAGGAGTGGATGCAAGGGCTGAGCTGACGGGGATCTCTGTTGTGCTGTGGTGCATGTAGGTTGGTGTGAGGTTTGCAAGTGAGAGTGCGCGGAGCATGAGCGAGGGAAGTTTCGCTGGAGGTGACAGAGTGCAAGCAGATAGCAGAGTGGAGTTACCTCAGCAACAGCAGCCATGCAGTTGCTCGCACGATACAGAGAAGTTGGCAAAGGCCATCAGTGACCTCAGTCGCCAGATGAGCGAGATGTCGAGCGCGCTAATGGGCAAGATGTCTAGTGTGGAAACCCGCCTCGGTCGTCTAGAAAACCAGATGCATGACATTCAAGCAACAGTAGAGGATCAACGCGCAGACGCTGGATCGAATTCTACGCGGACAGTCACAGCGGCAGTTAAGGGTGGATCCGCGGATGTGGCTGATAGGCGAGCAGGCATGGATGTCGAGCAACCCTGCGCGTGGCCACCACAGCCTTCCGTCTTCGAAAGGTACTAAGTCACTCTCGGAGCTCCGTGGGCGACTGGAAGAATGACTCATCGTCAAGTCAACAACCTGGCAAGGGTTAACAAACGTTATGGGTTTACATTCGACATTTCATACCAAGCTTCTCTCAAGACATCGAAGGGCAGCACGCTGTCAAAGGAAGTGGTCGCATTGCTTGGGGCGACTTCCCGGTTACTTAGCAAGCGTGGGGGACACTGCACTTGCTAAGCAATCTGGCGACTTCAGCGAAAGTGGGTCGATCACCAGCTCGCTGGCTCCAGCAGCGCTGAATGATTCGCTTCAACGCGGGCGTAACCTTCTTGTCGCGAATCTGCGGGCGGTTCCCCTCCTTCGCGAACAGAACTGCAGCGAACGGACCCTTGCCCACGAACTGGCGGAGGTTCTGCTGGTACGGCTCCTCTTCGTGCAGCACCTCGTTCATCAGCACGCCGAACGAGTACACGTCCGTCTTCTCGTTGGCGATCACGCTCGAGCTGAGCAGCTCCGGGGCCATGTACGCCGCGGTACCTCCGGTGATGCCCTCGTAGTCGACGTCGTCGTCGCCGTCGCTGCTGGCACCGCCGAGCATATGCGACGACGTGGTGCTGGCCGCCTTGGCACGGAACGTGGCGAGCCCGAAGTCAGCAATCTTGGCGTGGAAGTCGTCGGTGACCAGCACATTCTGCGGCTTCAGGTCGCCATGCGTGACGTTGCACTCGTGCAGCTGCGCCATGCCGTAGGCGATGGCCAGCAGGATGTTGAGCTTGACGCGGCCGTCCGTCATCTTGGCCTCGGTGCGCGGGTCCTCGCAGTAGTGCAGCAGGTAGCTGAGACTGCCCTTGGGCACGTACTCCATGACGAGGCTCACGGGGTTGAGCGTGTAGCCGTAGAGCTGCACGATGTTGGGGTGGTCGCCGAGCATACCGAGGATGAGCGTTTCGCGGACGAACATCTTGCGCTCCTTCTTGGTGAGTTTGGCGGCGTGCAGCTTCTTGACGGCCACGTCCTTCGCGCTCCACTTGCCCTTGTACACGGTGCCGAAGCCGCCGTGGCCGAGCGGCTCGGCGTCCTGGTCGATGTCCAGGTCGTTGTCGAAGTCGAGCTGCGTGACGCTGCTCTTGGGCATGAAGCTGTCGTCGCCGGCGTCGTCGTCCACGTTGGCGAAGGCTTCTCGCAGGTTTGCGGTGGCACGGACTGGCTCGGGCTCGGAGACCATTTCGACGGGCATGTCGCGCTGCTGCTGCATGAGGCGGTCGAAGAGCTGATCCTCGAGGCGCTTGGTGTTGTAGTAGTCGTCTCGCTTGTCCTCTTGGGTCAAGGCCGGTGATCCCCCGATGAAGTGGCGCGCGACGGCCTTGGTCATGTCCGGGGATCCGTCCTTGAGGCATGGGACCCATGCCGGGAGGTCGTCGGCTGGGTGCCAGCGTTGAGCTTGGCTCTGGACCCAGTCCTTGGCTTTGGTCGTGCGCAGGTCGGGGGCTCCAGCTTTCGTGACGGGGACGTTGGTAGGGATTCCCTGCATTCGAGTCTGTGGCTTCGCACCCTTGCAGTTCTTGGCTCCGCGTTTGGGCTTGTTGCCAGAGTCCAATGCAAGCTTCTCCATTTTCGCGACGACTTCCCGAGACGACTTGTACCGCATATCCAGCGCTCCCGACTTCGTGTAGTGTAGTCCACTACTGGAAGGCGCTGGGGGAGGGACTGCAGCCGCCTTGTTGAGCTGCTGGGCGACTGCTTGAGAGCTCTTGTACCTCATGTCCAGCGCGCCTGACTTTGTGTAGTGCAGGTTGTCTGATGGTCTCGCAGCCGGAGCTGCAGCCGCCTGCGCGACGGCAGCGCGTGAGCTGGAGTAGCGCATGTCCAAGCCGCCGCTCTTGGTGTAGTGCAGCTCCGAGGCGGACGAGCGACTGCTCGTTCTCGCGGGCTTTGAGTAAGAAGACGAGGTGGAAGCGCTGGCGCCTGCGTAGTAGCCAGACGCCACCGCGTCGCGGGAGCTGCTGTAGCGCATGTCCAGGGCACCCGATTTGGTGTAGTGCAGACCCGACGACGATGAGCTGCTGTAACTCGGTCTCGAGTAGCTTGGTGTCGAGTAGGAGCTTGACGAGGATGAATACCCCGCGGCCACTGCAGCTCGTGAACTGCTGTAGCGCATGTCCAGAGCTCCACTCTTCGTGTAGTGTAGATCGCTCATGTTGGCAGATCCTGGTGGGCTTGAGTGTCTGTAGAAGAAGGTCTTGCTGTTAGCTTAGCTGTTTGCTTCGTTGGAAATCGGGAAGTGATCACTCTCATCGAGTGTTGGGATTCATTGTCGATATTCGAGATCTCCTCAGTTCTAAACCCCCGGGTCTTATCCTGAATGTCCACCATATTAATGCGGAGGACGAGAGGACAGCAAGCTGTCCACAGTTTGGAGGACTATTCGTAAGGACGAAGGAAGGGTCTGCTGCTGACTTCATTCATTGAGTGGCTGCTTTACGGAAATGGTCACTACCAACTAATCACCTTCACATCTCATTGTGCCACCCACGCGGTTCTTGGGCATACGCCGAGTACGCAATTGACAGGTGGACATTCGAGTACAGCGCCTCGTAGGATGTCCCACTTGGATGTTCCGTAGCAGCAGCAACTAGTTCGCGTTCTCGATCAGCGTAAAGCGAACGTTGAGCCTTAGTCCATCCGATTGGCCGCTCCGCAAGCACGTTATGGATGGCGCGTCGTTCAAGTAGCGTAAGCCCCGCAAAGGCTTCGGACGACAAGAGTTCAAGTGGAAGCTGGCGTAGCATCTCGTTGTCTCCACGCAGCACCATGAGGATCGGGAAGATCTTGAAGCGCCGAGCAAGCTCCGGCGAAGTCATCTTGGCCAATGCAGCCTCATCCAACGCAGCAGCTTCAATGGGCATGACGCGGCGAATCTGCCAAGCCGCCGCAGCGTTGACCAGCCGATTGGTTTCGGTCCAAAGCGCTGCGTCCAGGACGTCCTTCTCTGGACATGGAGTGCCAGCCCTGTTGTTGTTGAATACCAGTGCGGGGGTGCAAGGCTGCAGGTGAACGGGCGAAATGCCGATAGGAGGCACTGGAGTCAGCGCGATCCCGCTAGCGACCTTCTTGTTCACGCAGGAGACCCACTCCACGTACGATTCTTCATCGTCTTCATGCTTTCCCTTGAGGCAGTCGCTGAATACGCGAGCGAACCAGTGGCCCACGTGCTTTTCTGCCAGGTAGTACGAGCTGAGCATCGCGAGTAGAGAGAGAGAGAGCGAGAGCGCTACGAAGGAGTGTCTTAGCTTGGATGTTTGCTTCTGCTGGCAGAATGAGGAATGGGCGACGTCTTCCATCGCGTAGTCATGGCAAGACCAATCTCTCCATCAAGCTCCAGCAAGTGATGCAAAGTGGCATCTGATTCGCATGTTGAAGCGGACTGACATATGGCTACACAAATCCCTGTCATTTCCGCTTGCTCAAGCATCGCGCAAGAGCCTCACTTTCCCATCCGCGCCCAAGCCAAGCCCGTCAAGCCTGAGCCAAGCAGCAACTTCAGCAAGTTTACGTAGCCAGCCGCCAGCATGAGCCTCCACTACACGAAGAGTGGGGCGCTCGACATGCGCTACAGCAGCTCGCGCGCCGCCGTCTCTTCGGGGTATTCCGGCGGCGGGGGAGGAGGCTACTCGAGCTACGGAGGGGGAGACAGCCGCAGCGGCCGATCTTCCTCTTCCTCCTCCTCCTCTTCAGGCCTCCACTACACCAAGAGCGGCGCCCTGGACATGCGCTACAGCAGCTCCCGCGACGCGGTGGCGTCTGGCTACTACGCAGGCGCCAGCGCTTCCACCTCGTCTTCTTACTCAAAGCCCGCGAGAACGAGCAGTCGCTCGTCCGCCTCGGAGCTGCACTACACCAAGAGCGGCGGCTTGGACATGCGCTACTCCAGCTCACGCGCTGCCGTCGCGCAGGCGGCTGCAGCTCCGGCTGCGAGACCATCAGACAACCTGCACTACACAAAGTCAGGCGCGCTGGACATGAGGTACAAGAGCTCTCAAGCAGTCGCCCAGCAGCTCAACAAGGCGGCTGCAGTCCCTCCCCCAGCGCCTTCCAGTAGTGGACTACACTACACGAAGTCGGGAGCGCTGGATATGCGGTACAAGTCGTCTCGGGAAGTCGTCGCGAAAATGGAGAAGCTTGCATTGGACTCTGGCAACAAGCCCAAACGCGGAGCCAAGAACTGCAAGGGTGCGAAGCCACAGACTCGAATGCAGGGAATCCCTACCAACGTCCCCGTCACGAAAGCTGGAGCCCCCGACCTGCGCACGACCAAAGCCAAGGACTGGGTCCAGAGCCAAGCTCAACGCTGGCACCCAGCCGACGACCTCCCGGCATGGGTCCCATGCCTCAAGGACGGATCCCCGGACATGACCAAGGCCGTCGCGCGCCACTTCATCGGGGGATCACCGGCCTTGACCCAAGAGGACAAGCGAGACGACTACTACAACACCAAGCGCCTCGAGGATCAGCTCTTCGACCGCCTCATGCAGCAGCAGCGCGACATGCCCGTCGAAATGGTCTCCGAGCCCGAGCCAGTCCGTGCCACCGCAAACCTGCGAGAAGCCTTCGCCAACGTGGACGACGACGCCGGCGACGACAGCTTCATGCCCAAGAGCAGCGTCACGCAGCTCGACTTCGACAACGACCTGGACATCGACCAGGACGCCGAGCCGCTCGGCCACGGCGGCTTCGGCACCGTGTACAAGGGCAAGTGGAGCGCGAAGGACGTGGCCGTCAAGAAGCTGCACGCCGCCAAACTCACCAAGAAGGAGCGCAAGATGTTCGTCCGCGAAACGCTCATCCTCGGTATGCTCGGCGACCACCCCAACATCGTGCAGCTCTACGGCTACACGCTCAACCCCGTGAGCCTCGTCATGGAGTACGTGCCCAAGGGCAGTCTCAGCTACCTGCTGCACTACTGCGAGGACCCGCGCACCGAGGCCAAGATGACGGACGGCCGCGTCAAGCTCAACATCCTGCTGGCCATCGCCTACGGCATGGCGCAGCTGCACGAGTGCAACGTCACGCATGGCGACCTGAAGCCGCAGAATGTGCTGGTCACCGACGACTTCCACGCCAAGATTGCTGACTTCGGGCTCGCCACGTTCCGTGCCAAGGCGGCCAGCACCACGTCGTCGCATATGCTCGGCGGTGCCAGCAGCGACGGCGACGACGACGTCGACTACGAGGGCATCACCGGAGGTACCGCGGCGTACATGGCCCCGGAGCTGCTCAGCTCGAGCGTGATCGCCAACGAGAAGACGGACGTGTACTCGTTCGGCGTGCTGATGAACGAGGTGCTGCACGAAGAGGAGCCGTACCAGCAGAACCTCCGCCAGTTCGTGGGCAAGGGTCCGTTCGCTGCAGTTCTGTTCGCGAAGGAGGGGAACCGCCCGCAGGTTCGCGACAAGAAGGTTACGCCCGCGTTGAAGCGAATCATCGAGCGCTGCTGGAGCCAGCGGCCCGAGGATCGTCCAACTTTCGACAAAATCTCCAAGCTGCTCCCCATCTGCAGCGTGCCACACGCGTGCTAATTTCTTTGAGTTGGAGCGCAATGGGCGACCACAAGTCGTCGTGGATGTTGCTGCCGTGTGAGCAGCCACGAAAACTTCTATGAGTGCATGGAACTCGTTGAAGCGCCGTACAGAGATCTCACCGATCTTGTCCGTCGGCTTGACAATGAACAGAAGCCGGTATCGTCACAGGCCCGTGCGCGGGCCACTGCATTAGAAGAGAAAGAAACCCCAGAAAAACAAGATCACAAGAAAACCAAATACTTAAATAAAAAGGTCAGCTCGTGAGAGCTGGCAAAAAAATGTTGTGCATCGCCTTCATGTATTTCTACATGTTCTACTCCCATGTTCACCTCTGTGCAGTTTTCTTCTCTTCTTTCATTTCACCTTCAGGGGACGGCTCCGATGCAAGCTGCCTGTCCTGCGTTTCACTTTTCGGCGTCCTTGTCGCTTGATTCGTCTTCATGCAGTCAGCCTTATCCCTTCCCGAGGCAATATTCACACTTATTTCGCTCTTAACCTTGTCTGGCTCGCGTTTGATGTGATCGACTGCCACGCCAGCCACTATAGAGCTTGAACCCGATTGAACTGCCCCCGGTACGAACGGCTTTGCATCCGCGCTTAGCTTGGGCTGAGTCACTTCAACTTTAACGGAGCGCTTGATGTCCACCACAGTCCAGGTGTCTGCTGTCGCTGAGTCAACCAGAACGTACTCCTCATCTTTGTCTTCTACTGGAGCCTTGGTCTCCACCGCCACGGCCGTCTTTGGCTTTGTCTTGCCAGTATGTGAAGTGTGGAGGTCCATATCCACGTATAACTGCTGTAATTCAGCGCTAAGTGCATCCAGAGCAGGCGTTTCCCCCTCGTCAGCTAATTTCCACTGACACCTTCGAAGGGCAGAGCCCATTTCGCTTCGAATCCTCCGAGTCACGTCTCGCGCGAGACGAGTGTCGTCGCGTTTCTCGGCCAGCATGTAGTCCGTGAACATCTTCAGTCCTCGGTGGCCCGTCAGCGAGTCGTCGAGGAACCTTGAGATAGCGGCCCCTTTCATCTTGTTCGTGGTCGCGCGCGTTAAACACAAATTCGGCAGTTCGTTGACGATCTCCTCCCGCAGCATGAACGCCACATCCTGTGCCTCCTCCTCTCCAGCTCGGAACTCAACGCGCTGGAAGGCGTACGCGAAGCACTGCTTCTCTAGAATATGGTCCAGCTCCACTGCCCCCACGGTATTCAAGTCCAGCTTGTCTCCATGGTACAGGTCCCGCCCCTTGAACTTCTTGACGATATCCGCCTCCACGCTGCTCCTGAGTCCCGGGTCGTTGAACAGACTCGGAGGCACAAAAGACGCCGCGAACTTGGGGTCGTGCGCCGCGCAGCAGTAGTCGTACCCTGTCTTCGCGTTATTCCTACAGCGCTGGTCCGAGCCCGGCAGCACCCCCATACACAGCGGCAGCTCCGTCTTGACGACGCGATGAGCTGTGCAGAACCCGTCGGCATCGATCCCCACCGTCTGGGGACAGCGCCGTCCTGTATTGGGCAGCACGGCCGCGCACTGTCCCGTGACGGGGGCGTCCACCCGCTGGTGGAACTGGCAGTAGCCGCGGGCGTCCAGCCCCCATTTGACCTTGCAGCGGCGGCCAGAGGCGCGCGCGATGCCCTTGCACTGGCTGGCGTTGGGCGCGTGGTACTTGCAGAAGCCGTCGGCGTCCAGATTCCACGTGACGGAGCACGGCGAGCCGCGCTTGGTCACGCCATGACACGCGCCGGGGGTGGCGGAGACGGGAGGCACCGGCGCTTGAGACCGATGGTGCGCGCAGTAGCCGGCCTCGTCGAGGTCCCATTTGACTCGGCAGCGCTGGCCCGAGGTGCGGGCGATGCCGAGACACTGCGCAGCGTCACGCGCGTGATACTTGCAGTAGCCGTCGGCGTCGAGGCCGAACGAGATGGCGCACGGCTTGCCCTGCGTGGTCACGCCGCGGCAGGGCATGACGAATTTTGTACCGAAGGGGTACAATTGGGAGAATGGGCACAGAACGGTTACAAGTTGAAGTGAGGAGTCGTGCAGTGCTCATTCTCAAATTCCCAAGTCGAGATTAGGACGACAGCAGCAGCGCGATGGTCCAAGTCTGCAAGGGATGTAAGCCCAACGGGGTTCGTTGCAAGATTGACCGGGGGCTTGACGATCAGGGCTATTGCCGCCATCACGATTGGCAAGGCCGCCCCATGCGCCAAGGCTTCGAGGTCGACACGCGGAAGTCATGCACGAACCACGCCAAACTCGACTACGACTATTGCTGCGCGGCCCATGACCCGTCAATCCGCCTGATCCGCCCTCATGTGCTCGACCCGATCGCGCCAGGACTCCGTGCTCGAGTTGAAGACGACGTCGTCGCCCGCAATGGCGGCAAAGACATCTACAACCGCAAGGCGCTGAACTTGCGATCGCCACTGTTGGAAAAGGTAGGGCGCCGCGGGGATTGAACTCACAACATAGCTGTAGAACATAGCTTGTTAGACCGTTACACCATACAGGCGCCCCGGTCGTCGTCTCTTCGGGCTGGGACTTGACACTGTCTGATTGCATATTCCAACAGCCACGTGCGCTCCAGCTCGACGAGCTTCGCCGGGAAGATGACTTCTTGTTGGCCACGGATTTCCTTCGAGACAATGTTGTCAACGAGCTTGACAACCTGGCACTTACGCGTTCGAGCACGAACTGCATCAAGGGCAGAGCGGTCTGGAAGTTCCTCGGCGACTCGCTTACGGGTCATCGTGACAACACAACATTCACTAGCTACCTGTTGGATGCCAAGCGCGACGACGAGACGCTCGGACGAGATGCCACTCGTCGGATCACGCGCTATATGGGTCAGGCCATAAAGAAGTGCCAGCGCACACTGGCTGACGAAGACGACACGCCTGTTCTGGAGCAGCTCAGCGAGCGCGTGCAGAGACTCCGTGTGGACATGAAGCTGGGAAGGGCTCGTTAAAACGATCTTACCGATCACAGTATTGCGGCTTGGTATTAGCAAAAGCCGATGAAGCAACACATAACTGCATTTGAAGGCAATAAGAAAGCACAGCAGAAACAAGAGGGGAAAAACTACAACCAGAAACAATAGATAACAACAAAAACAATAAAAAGAGAGGGCGGGAAAAGAAGATCGTGTTGCCATGTTGGTAATATTATGGTATGAACCGAGTCTACACACTCGATGCAATGCCTCTCCGAAGCTTCTGCCACTTTGAGTTTTCAGCAACTACCTTCGAGAGCAAACCCACCACATTATCAATGTGCGAACTGTCCATGTCGAGGCCAGACGCAAGAAGTGCACCCCGTCCACAACCGAGTGGATGAGAACGCCTTGACCGACTCGTTCACGCGGCGGAGCAGCGCTTCGTTGAGTCCACGGCCTCCGAAGGCCACGTAGAAGCACACAAGGCCCATCCGCGCCTCGCGAAGAGCTTGAAGCGGCTGTCCTTCGTTTAGCAGGCCGAGGAGCTTTTGACGAGCGCGACTCAAGCACCAGTCTGCCCAACACCACCGCAGAACCTATGCCGAAGAGGTGATGATGGAATGTACTGTATTTCAACATCTTGGCACAAAACTAACTGATTCTACACAACTTCCATGTGCTCCTGAAGATGGCTACGAACTACAGTACCAGCACAATGGACGACGACGAGGAGGAATTCGCGTACTCTGAAGGCGAGCTGGACGACGAGGAAGAGGACGACGTGGACTGGGAGGACGTCCAGACATCGCAGCCCGCCTCTGACCCTCCAACCTCTCAGCCGGAGGCCCCCAATTCCCCTCCAGAGACCCACGAGACCGCCCCAACCAGCGACGCTGCGCCTGAGACGTCCGAGTCGGCGCCAACTCTGCAGCAAATTGACTGGGACCAAGTGAACCAGTCGTTGGCCGAACAGGACGCAGCCTCAGTAGCTCGCAAAAGGCGACGGGCGCCCATCCGTCTCACGAAGGACGAGAAGGAGCGAGAGAAGGCGCTGCACCAGACGCATCTATTGGTTCTGTTGGCCACCCGCATCAAATGGAGCACAGTGAGCCGCTCGCAATTGCTGCGGGGTCTGCTGCTGTCTCTGACCGCCGGCAGCGATGTGGATTTCTTCGCAGAGATGAAGCAGCAGCCGCTTTCCTACTCTTTGGAGCTGCTGGTTCGGTGGTTCAATCGCGAGTTTCGACTGGCAGATGAGGTGCAGGAGGAGACTGCTCAGGGGGAACTGATGACGGAGTCCAGCCTTATGAACTTCTTCTTCGCTCGAAAAGGACGCGACTATGAGCTCACAGTGCTGTTTGCTGCGTTGTGTGGAGCTCTCCAGTTGCGTTATCGCTTGACGTGTGCGTTGGACCCGTTGTTGGTGCAAAAGGGGAAGGCGTTCGAGTCGTCGTTCAAGCAGAAACCAACCAAGCGACGACGGGCACGGAAGATCGCAGACACGATACTAAAGAAGAAGAAGAAGATCGGGTCGGATGACGGCGATGAAGAGGAGAAAGAAGTCGAGGAGGAGTTGGACCCGGAGAGTGGAGCAGCTGTCGACAGAGTGTTTTGGCTGTGGTGTGAAGTTTTGGACGAAAAGACCAAGAGCTGGATCCACGTGGATGTTGTGCGTCGGCTTGTTGGACGGCCTCAGGAGGTTGAGCCGCTGCGAGGCAAGGCAGCGCGCTTCTCGTATGTTATCAGCATCCAAGATAACGAGTTGCTGGTGGACGTAACTTCCCGATATACAGTGCAATGGAGCAAGAGCTTAGAGTTGCGTCTTGCTGATTCGTGGCTGAAGCAAGTGATCGAGCGGTTCAATGACGACGCAATGATCCAACGTGGTGTATCCGCAGAAACAGCATCGGCGACTTTTTTGAAGCCTGAAGACGTGGAGAAGGCTCTCGAGGATGAGAAGAAGTCGCTGGAGACATTGAAGCTCGACGAGGGCATGCCCACGAGCGTGGAAGGGTTCCGAAAGCACCACTTGTACTGCCTGGAGCGCCATCTCGGACAGCTCGAGTGTCTTCATCCACGGAAGGTGGTGGGGTTGTTCAACGGCCAGCCTGTGTTTCTGCGGGAACATATACAGCCGCTGCAGTCCGCCTTCAAATGGCGTCGTCTCGGCCGTGTAGTGAAGGAGAGCGAGCGGGAGAAGCCTGCCAAGTGGAAGTCACGAGGCAGCGACCCCAGCTCCAAACCCGCCGGCGAGAGCGATGGCAGTGACGGCGAAGACGGCAAATCTGGTGCTGGTGGTGCGCTCTTCGGCTTATGGCAGACGACCGAGTTCGAGCCTCCGCCCATGGTCGACGGCCGCGTCCCCAAGAACCAGTACGGGAACATCGAGATCTGGAGCTCGGCCCACGTTCCTCGAGGCGCGGTCCATCTGCGTCTGCCCCGCATCGATACCATTGCTGAGTCGTTGGGCATCGACTTTGCGCCGGCAGTGGTGGGTTTCGAGGTGCGCAACGGACGCACCATGCCCAAAGTGGCAGGCATCATTGTGGCACAGAGCCACGAGGCCACGCTGCTGGACGCCCACGCCGAGAGACAGCAGCAGACCATCGAGAAGGCAATTGAGCACAACTGCAAGCTTGTGCTCAAGCGCTGGGCGAAGCTCACCAAGCGCCTGCTGCTGCGTCAGCGGCTTGAAGACGATTACGGTGCAGTGTAATGTTGACGCTTTTTGAAAGGCATGGGTTATGATTCATATCGTATGACTAATACGGCATGATTTTAAATTAAGGGATCATATCTGCTATTGCGCTAATATTCACATGTATCATAGTATTGTGAGTACATACTTCTACATGTGCCAAGAAGTCTCACGTATGCAGGACACATTGTCCACTTGTTCCTGCGTCCTCCACGTGAATTAGATAAGCACATGCATGATGAAGCTGTTTGGGCTTGTCGTTTTGCACCATGAACATTAGCAACTCGATAGTATTAATTCGTATTTTAACAATAGTAGTAGATTTTGCAGTAGTACTAGTAGTGCTTGCTCGAATTGATCAAATTATACAGTTAGTTGTCGATACTATCCGAGTACTTTATAGTTCAAAGTACTACACAACGAGTACTACCACCTCGTTTACCAATTTCGCATTCAACACTTTCCCTCCGCCGGCCACATCCCCACGCCCCCCAGAACTGGACACCACGCAATGCACCGCCTAGTCTCGGCCTTGCCAAGACGCACCGCTCGCTGCAGCGCTGCTCTCAGCACTCGCGCCGAATGGAAGCGCCAGGTGAAGGAAGGTCTGAGTCTGCACGACTTCCTCTCGAACAGTCGACCCAAGGGCAACTCCAGCGGCACACAGGTCCAGCCGAGCACTTCAAGCCCAGAAGAATCGCTGCAGCAGATCCGCCAGATTCTGGCAGAGATCCGACAATCGGTACGGCTCTGATACACTCAGTGGGGGGCTCAAGAGGTTAACAAGAGCGAGAGAATGACACTCTGACGGACTGTTTGACTCACTCGCTGTGCATTGAAGTCTAGAGAAGAACCAGCACCTGCACAGCTAGTGGACCGATTCGGGCGAGCTCACACTTATCTGCGTATTTCGCTAACCGAGCGCTGCAATTTGAGGTGTCGGTACTGCATGCCGGAGGAGGGGGTGCCCTTGCAGCCCACAGGAGACCTCCTGACCACGCCCGAGATCATCCGATTGGCGAAGCTCTTTGCCTCTTCTGGCGTGAAGAGGATTCGGCTCACGGGTGGCGAGCCGCTGCTTCGGCGAGATTTGGTGGAATTGGTGACTCAGCTGAGAGCGATTCCGGGCATCGAGTCGGTGGGGGTCACGACGAATGGCATCACGCTGCAGAGAAAGCTGCTGGCGTTGCAGCAAGCAGGCGCGGATAGACTGAACATCAGCTTGGACACCTTGCAGCCGGAGAAGTTTGCTCACATCACGAGGCGTCGAGGATTCACGCGGGTCATGAATTCCATTATGGAAGCGCAGACGCTGGGGTTCACCCCGCTCAAGATTAACTGCGTGGTGCAGCGGCATTTCAATCTGGACGAAGTTGTGGACTTTGTGGCTTTCACGGAGAAGCACGCAGTGGACGTGCGCTTTATCGAGTGGATGCCGTTCGACAGCAACAGGTGGAATGACGAGACGTTCGTCCCGTTCAAGGAGATGATGGACATTATCAAGGCCGAGTTCCCCACCGTGAAGAAGCTGCAGGATGGCGCGAATGACACGTCGAAAGCATTCCACGTCCCAGGATTTAAAGGGCAGTTTGGTTTTATCACGTCTATGAGTGAACACTTTTGCGGCTCGTGTAATCGACTTCGACTGACTGCCGATGGGAACTTGAAGGTTTGCCTCTTCGGGAACACCGAGGTCAGCTTGCGGGACGCCATGCGTCACAACATCGCGGACAAGGACATCCGCGCTATTGTCGACGTAGCAGTAAAGCGGAAGAAGTTTGCGCTAGGCGGTCATGGAGACATGTATGGCCTGTCAAAAGCGAAGAACCGCCCGATGATTCTCATCGGAGGGTAGCAGGTTAAATGGATATATCGTTGATGCGTCGATTATTGTTTCTTCAGTGCATTGAACGAACGCTACATTCTCGAGCAAACTACGTTAATCATTTCGCGTGCACCTCACTACTGATCAATAATCGCGTTCTCCGAACTAATGAGAGCCTTATCAAGCACCACGCTGACATCTTGAAGGTTACCAAGCACCCAGAGCAAAGGCGTCACCAAATCCATCGTCGAATCCAATCGTGTTACTTGTGCGGTCGACTCATCCCACAGAAAGCGAAGCGAGCAGCGGCATTCGAGTCGCTGGCCAAGAAGGCGAGTGCACAACGACAGATTTCCCGAACCAGGGTCGGCGCCATTGGTGCGTGTTGACCCCAACAGATGAGGAAACACGCGCCGCAGCGTTATCTCCTTGATTGTAATACTCAAAACGGCCGAGACGGCCAAGGCTCCAAGAGATTGCTCTTCCATCTGCATCAGCTTGAGGTGAAGGTTGCCGAAGTAAGTCGAATAGCGTCGCCACTGCTCGAGTAGAGCATCGACTGCGTTCATCTCTCCGAGCGCTACGTGGGGTGACACTGCGGCCCTCAAAAAGCTATCTTGATCTTGAAGGGTGGGCATGTGTGAAGAAATCGACGATGCACCGGCGATCTCCATCCCGTTCATTGGCAGGATAAACCCATAACAAAGGAGGCGGAAGTACTCAGCGGCAATGCTCCAGACGTTGAGCTGGGTATGGATGCCGTAGCAGATTGTGTGGTGCTGGGCACTCAGTTTCTGCACTTCCTCACAAAGGCTTCGGACATTTTCTTTGAGGTCATCAACGAAGTCGCGTTGTCGGCTCCGGTATCGAGCTTGGCTAGTCCGGCACTGTTCACGTCGTAGCTCTGTCTGGGGTCGAACTCGCTTCGGTTTGGGCTTCTTGACTCCAGGACTTGGTTTCCTCTTGTCCATTGTATCGCCGGCTGGAATGATGACGGGTGTGAAGATGGCAGGCTGCTCGGGGAGGGGTGTTACCACTGATGCTTCGGTGTCAAACAGGCCCAACACGTCGCGTTTCCTTGTGAACAGTGTGGCAAGACGTCGGGGCGAGCTCTCGTCTTCGTTCTTCGCTTCTTCCAGCAGGTTGAATGCTGAAAATGGGGGCAACCGCTGTGGGGGACCCCCGTACACTCGCATCTCGGGTCTTCCCAGCATTCCTATCCTGGGGGCTTTGTTCTAGTTGACCAAATTGCGAACTGCGGAGGATTCGGTAGAAATAACAAAGTACACGTGATCAGTTGCGGTTTGCTTATGTCCTGAAATCACAATGCTGCATCAACTTCACGCCGAAATTGTTGATGCGGTTTGTTGTGTTCAGGATTGCGTGAGCCAATTCTGTTGACGTGAAGCCCGACTGTGCCGCGACTATCATTGATACATGTAGTCGAGGCCCTCGACTCGAGGCTTTGCTTGTAAGTCTATCATGCTGAAGCAGGCGCTCTACTACGCCCACCCCCAAGCTAATATTTCCCTCAGGTTCCACCGCGGTATACCGTACTGTGAAACGATTTCTGTGAGCGAGCACAGACTGAGGGAACCCACATGTTACTGCCGTCATTAACACGATAACGTGTCGGACATCCGTGCATAATTCTCCTCTCTAGGCCAGTTGATGACTTGTTCAAAACACAAGCAGCATTCTCTATGCCATTTTTTTCAGGTTCCGCTACCACACGGTGGCAAAGATCAATTCGCAAGAGAGCTCGCAACCAAGCCAGGCATGCTATTGGAGTTAGGAGCGCCGGATTACAAGCTGTCCGCACATTTAGTGCGCGCGTGCTCCGTGCCGTTTGTTGTCTCCGCTTACGACGAGGGAGATAATAGTCGACGTCCAGCACATAGGGGCCTCTGCTGCTGGCGTGAGCTTGTCCGTTGTGATCAACCTGTTGCTGTTGCCTTGCCCTTGATTCACATTCTTGGTCAGCACAAACACCGCCATCTTGAACCTTGGCGGCGCCATCTTCGAACGCAAGCATCGTCATGAAACATTCTTGATCGAGTTAAAATGCAAGGCTCTTTCCCCGTTCCTGTTTCTGCTGGGCCGCCTCATCTTCGCCTTGATCTCGTTGAGACCTGCGGCATCCTTTGAGCATGTCGAATCCGCGCTATAGGAGTATCGTGTCCAGGGGATGCAATCTGCTTATGGACAGATCCCAGCTCACTGCAAGTAGACACCAACACGACAGCAACACGCTTAGTACAGAGCTTACAGCACCACCGTACATCCAAACGACCATTCATTACCTCGGACACAGTCTCTTCGCCCTTAGTAACCCTGTAGACGCAACAAACCACAACAACAACCGTCAGTATCTCTCCAGACACCAGAAATTTCTCTCTCATCCCAGTACGTACTCAGCAGAGGGACTTCGGCCAGCGATGCTCTCGTCACTGTTTTGAACACCACACAGCACTGTCAGTACCGACGCAACGCAGCAAACCACACGCTTTCAAGCAGGCAATCCTCACCGCTTGGGCGACGGAGAAGCACGACGCGGGGAGGGCGACGCGCGCGGCGAGCCTCGAGGAGAAACCGACCGGCGCTTGTCTCCAGGACTGGCGCTGCGTCTGCATCCATAAACACACAAACACACATCAGTCACACGTCACACAGGGGGGGTCAAGGAAGACAAGGCAAAGCTCCCACCTCGGCGAGCGCGAGCGAGACTTGGAGCGTCGGCGCGGCGAACGTCTCGGCCTGGAAGGACAGACACATAAAGATCAATACATTGCCAGACACATCCACAGCAGCCGACGACGTACGATCCCTCGGCCGGGAGGTTGAGGATGCGGCGCATCTCCTGCGGACTCTTGCGGTGCTGCTTGGCGAAGAGCACGGCGATCTCGCGGTCGCCGAGCTGCGTGCGGTCCATCTCGAACTTGATGTCGCGGCCCACGCGCGAGTCGGCGAACTCGATGAAGGCGAAGCCCCGCGGCCGGTTCGAGTTGTACTCCTTGGGGATGTACACGTCCAGGATGTCGCCCGCGCGGCGCGAGAAGGCGCGGCGCAGCTCGTCCTGCGTCGTCTCGGGCGACAGGTTGCGCACCAGCAGGCTGATGGGCTCTTGGCGGCGGCCGCCTCCTCCGCGCCGGTCGGCGGAGCGCGAGCGTCCGCGTCGGTCGCCTCCTCCGCGTCTGTCGCGGCTGCGGCTGCGCTCTCTCCGGCGGTCGCGCGAGCGGGAGCGCGACGGGCGGCGCCGGTCCCTGGAGCGGCTGTTGCTGCGGCTGCGCGGGCGCGAGCGGCGCGGACTGCGGCTGCGGCTGCGGCTGCGGCGCGGGGAGGCGGAGCGACGACCCATTAGTGCCACGAGGGACGAGGAGGTCAGAGGGGTGATGGCGGTTTTGTGGCTGGCGAGGGCGCGCAAACTGGGCTAGCGCATGGAGTATGCGGCAGGGGGGGTCGGAAGTGACCAATGATGGGGCGCGATGGGACCCCACTTCAATTTGGCAGTTACGATGGGGTCATTTTCTAGCTGGTTGGTATTAATACTTCAGCCTTAGGAGCGCGGGCGCTGGCGCTGGATGGGCTCGGAGGAGCCGAGCTCGAGGCAGCGCTCGTACGCGGCCCAGATGGAGTCGGCGATCACGGCGCGGAAACCGTTCTTCTCGGCGCGGTACAGGCCCGCGGCCGTGGTGCCGCCGGGACTCGTGATGTTATTCCGCAGCTCCACTGGGTGCACGTCCTCCGACTGCATATACAGCGCGGAGCCGAGCATCGTCTGCTGCACCAGTTTCTGCAGAGAGTAACCGACAATGTCGTTCGTTTACAACTCAATCGCTAGTCAACACGGCAAGAGGAGGAGGGTCCGTACCGTGGCCACTGGCCGGGAGAAGCCCATGTGCACGCCAGTGTCGATCATTGCCTCCGCCACGAGGAAGAAGTAGGCTGCGTCATCACTGAAGTGTTGGCATACGGGCGCAACTGCGACAATGAACACAAGGCAGTATGAGACTCACCCGGGCCGGATCCGGACAGCGCCGTCGCCATGTCCAGCGCGTTCTCGTCGTCGACAAACACCTGCACCAAACAATACACAAGCGATTAGAGTCACTGCAGAAACATTAGACATAACTTCTCCAGTCAGGTCAGCCGCCGCACCTCGACGCCAAAGGATCCGAGGATCTGCTTGGTCAGCTCGTGCTGCACGCTTGTGACCTCCGCCGACTGCGCCCAGACCGTCGTGCCCTCTCCGATCATGGCCGGCGTGTTGGGCATGGTGCGGATGATGTGGCTGTTCTGGCCCAGCATCTTCTGCAGCTGCTTGATGCTCTGGCCGGCCACGACCGAGATCACGAGCGCCTCCGGGTCCATGGCCGCCTTCACCGCTCGGAGCACCTAGCCACAGCGCAGCACAGCGACACCAATGAATAAAGCAGCCAACAACGCTGTATCATAGAGCATTGCAGCCACGTACGTCGTCGACCACCTGCGGCTTGACGGCCACGAGGATCACGTCCGCGTCCTTGACCGCCGAGCTGTTGCGCGTGTGCGTCTCGACGTTGAGCTTGGCGTACTTGCCGCGCATGGCCGGGTTCGGGTCCGAGACCACGACCTTGGAGCTGGGGATGAGCCCCTCCGTGAGCACGCCCGTGATGATGGCCTCGGCCATGTTGCCGCCGCCGATGACGGCCAGGCGGGTGAGCTCCAGCTCCGATTGCTCGGCGGACGCGGCGGCGCTGTGCTGCTGCTGCTTGCGCGAGCGGGCGAACGGGCCCTTGCCGCCGGTCGTGGAGAGCGCCGCGGCGCGCAGCAGAGGCGCGCGGACGGCCGGGCGGAGCTTGAACGCGAGCGACAGCATCGGGCAGGAGGAGGAGGGCGGACGGACGTGCGCGGCGAGCGGCGGAAGAGCTAATGACCGACCGAGGTGGTTGTGCAACCGTTGACTGTGAGAACGCATAACTTCAAGATGGTGTACAGCAATAGTAAGAATTTTCGTAGTGACCTGTGATAACGGATATACCGCTAAGATCGCGTAGATCACGTCGATTGTAACGGGCCCTTTTTGGCTCGAACGAGCAGCTCCGATAATGCGCGGACAGGTACGCGGTATGGTACTCGCTCTCGAGGCCCCAGGTGCTGACGTTTGCGGCGCAACTCTGCGTGCAGCTGGAGTTGACGCCGACGTATGCGGCGCAGCTGGACGGGAAGATCCTGCCCATGGCGCACGCCGTGGGGGACGTGGACGGCGACGGCGCCACGGAGCTGCTCTTCGGCTCTATCCTGGGCAAGGTCTCGGTCTTCAAGGTGCGCTGCAGGCTGCCCCATACACTGCACTAACTAGCACACTAACTACTGCTGACTGGGGGGCTGCTGCAGATTGAGGGGGACCGACTCGTGCAGTGGCGAAGCTGCGAGGTGAACGGATCCGTGACGTCCATTTGTCTGGACGACTCGTTCGTAGTAGGCGACGTGAGTGACACAGGGCTGTTAATGGTGGAGGAGCAAAAGCGGTGCGGATGTGTTTTATCGGTTGGTAATTGCGGATGTAGACTCGAGTTATTGTGGCGACGGCGGAGGGGAAATGCTCCGTGTTCCGCTCGGTGGAGGGCGCTGACGTGCTGCAGCTGTGCTCGGAGTTTGTACGACGATAAACGGGTGTGGTTGTTGTGTGGGTTGTGCAATAGTCGACTGATTCGCTGTGCATTTTTGGCCTACTGGGTAGAATGTGGCCCTCAATATCTGCGACGTCATTCACTTTGGGGACGAGCTCGTCGCTGCGACGCGCGATGGGCGAGTGTACGTCTACAAGCCTAATGTTGACCATGGAGACCCCGACGAGGTGTGTGCATGAGCCTATCCGTTTTTGTTGGAAGTGATATAAGCTTACCAAGCTTTTCTAGCTGGCAGAGTACTCGCAGGTTGCTCAGATGGAGATCAATGACGAGATCGAGACGCTGCTGGTGCTGCACTCCACCCAATCGAATCCGGACGCTGCGCCTCAGCTCTTGGCTCGGTGCTTCTCGGGAGAGGTGTTTTGTATCCGTGGACCGAGCGCGGAAGAACCTGCTGACAAGCGAGAGATCACACCTTGGAATGGCCCTCCTCATGACAGGGACGGCATCACTTTTGTGGTCGGCGATATCGAGCTGGGCGGCGAGCGAGGCATGATTGCCCTTGTGTCTATGACTGGCCTGGTGTCGCTGTTCTCGTCGTCCGGAGAGAGACAATGGGATTTTCAGGTGCGTCAGATAAGTGTCGTGTTGCTAGCGTGTGCTCGCTCGGCGTCTGATTACAGTTCATTATCTTTTGCTCAGTTGCCAGAGGCGGTGGTGAATGCCGACAGGCTCGAGATGACTGCACCGGGAGGAGACCGTCAGGACGCGGTACGTCACGAGGAGAAGCGTGAAATGCTTCTTACCGCTGGGACTGAAGTTTGACTGGATTGGTTCGTGCTTGCAGATTGTGGTCTGCACTTGGAGTGGGCAGATCTACGCTATCCAAAGTGAGCGAAGACTTGTGCGCTTCCGAATGCTGCTACCCGGCTGCTCGTTGGTTTGCGGTAAGCTGTTTATCGCGTTGATCCCATTGAACGCAGCTGTACTAAAGGTCGTACCTTCCTCTATGTAGTGGGCATCCGTGAGTCGCCGACCCAGGTTGACCCCACCATCGTCAGCATCAGCACTTCTGGAGCATTCTTTGTCTTCCGAGACGTGCAGGAAACACTCATCCGCGGTCTGCGGGACTCCACTCTGGTACGACACGATACGCATGTTTGACAGGGTGTCCACGCACGCAACTAACTAACTCTTGGTTTCACCTTTTGCTTATCAGGCGGATAAAGTGAGGGAGAGCGCAGTGTTTGCTCAGATGGACACACCGGAGAAGCGCGAGTCGATCATGAAGAAGCTCCGTGACGCGTTCCCCGGATCCGTGGCGTCCACCACAGCAACAACGCCGACCATGGAGGAGCTTATTGGTGCAATGCTGGCCGTCCCCGTGCAGCCATAACGTGGAATCAATGGGTATATATTGCATAGTTTATCACGCTCGCTAGTTCAGTTGGATTCGTGTGTGTCTACATAGCAGTTCTGCAACTGGTAGGCGTGCTCGACGAGACTGGCCACGTTCTCGGGGCCCCGACGAAGCAGCTCCTGCGCGAAGTCGCCAACGTAGTTGAGGTGGAAGCTGATGTCGGACGAGTTGGTCGAGTTGAGCTTCCAGGATGCATCGAAGGCCCGGAACGAGATGCAGAAGAGCTCGAAGAACGCCATCGGGTCTTCAAACAGCCTCCAGAACGGCCGCTCGGATCCCAGACAGCCTCCATCTCTCAGCTGCAGCAGGTCCAACAGCACGTACGTGATCTGGGACCCAACCATCGCGTAGGAGTAGGCTTCCGGTCCGCTCTGGTCGTTCAGAATGGGGAGAGCCACGGTGCGATGCACCTCATGGAAGAATACGAGGCACTGCAGCGGCAGCAAAAACTGCAACTCCCTCACGGGGTCTCCGTGGCGGAAGCCCAGTCGATTCCACTCCGCGCTCGTCATGGCGAACGGCTGCGTGTCGAAGCACGAGGTCCAGAGTCGCTGCAGCATCTCGACATGCTCGGGGTTGCCCGGATGCAGCGGGGCCTTCATGGCTCCAATGAGCTTCGCGAGCTGCGCCAAGGACGCGGCCGTCGGCGGCGCGTTGCCTGAGGCCCCTCCCACGCCCGCGGCGGCCGTGACCTTCTCCCACATTTGCGCCGAGTGCTTCTGCAGCGTCTGCGCCACGGCCGAGCCCTTCATCTTGGAGGCCAGCGCCTTCTTGACGCCGAAGAGCACGCTGCCCACGTCCTGCTGGTGCTGCTTTTGGTGCTGCTGAGGCTGCGGCATGGGGTAGCCCTGCTCCACCTGCGGCTTGTTCTGCCAGTGGAAGAAGGCGCCGAACTGTCGGTCCTCGGGCACGTCCACGAGCTCCTCCTGCACGGGCTGAGGCGGCGTCTGGTCGGCGACGGCGCCACCGGGGGCCGCCGTCGCCGTCTCCAGCTGCAGGACCTTGACGCGGATCTCCCCGCTGCTGGCCACGGGCAGCGGGCGGCTCTCGTCCGTGAGGTCCCTCCAGCAGTAGGTACTGGCGTCCAGGTCGACCTGGAGGCGGAAGTGGTACGCGCCCTCGAACGGGAACTTGCGGCGCAGCTCGCCCAGCGTCGGGCGCGCGGACAGCAGCAGCGACGACGCGAACTCCTCCAGCCGCGCGTCGTCCGCCTCCAGCAGCATCTGCTGGAAGAAGTAGCGGCACAGCACGCCGCACTCGCGCTCGCCCCGAGGAGCCATGCTCGATGCTACGCTGATGATCCGATAGTGAGCTGGCCCGGTAACCGACTGGCGATTGGCTAAATTTAGGCATGGATACCTACTGTTAGGGATATGATTGGTCAAAATATTTCCGCGTTGCAAGAGCAAGGCTTATTACTCCACCCAGACAAGGCAAGGCAAGGTGCTCGCTTGAGTCGCTCTGACCGCCGCTGGAGGCGCATGGAGGAGGACGAGTGGGACGACGCGCTGCTGTCGGAGATCGCGGCGCTGGAGACGCGCCACCTGCAGAGCCACAGCCACCAGAGCGGGCCCTCAGCCGCAGCTGCAGCGCCAGCACCAGCAACTGCCGCGCCATGGAGCTGCCGCTCGTGTACGCTGCGGAACGAGGCGTCCAGCGCCGCGTGCCAAGTATGCGGCACGCCGCGCGGCCAGACGTACCAGGCGCTGACGTCGCCACCCAGATCTAGCTCTGTGACTGGAGCTGCAGCGGGCAGGAAGACCGTGCAGGCGCGACTCTCGTTCGACGGGACCTCGGCGCCCGTGGTCGTGCCGCCCTCGCAGCAGAGACAGCAACAACAACAGCAGCAGCAGCAGCAAGAGCCACACGAACAGGACGTGACACGCATCGAGCCGTCCCCGTTCTCTAGCAGAGAGCAGCAGCCAGTGCGGAGCTCGCAGCAGACGACGTTGACGCCCGCAGCCGCAGGATCGGGACTCGTGCTCACCTCGAGACGCTCAGGCCAAAGCACTACAGCAGCTACTAGAGCGGCTTCACAGTCGCCCGTCCAGCTGCCGAGACACGCGGCAGGAGAGGACGCGCAGGCCAAGACGCGGTACCTGGACGTCGTGGCGAGGTCGAACTTTCCGCAGATCGACTACGAGGCGGCGCAGCACTTCGTGTACCCGACCAACTACTCGATCCGCGACTACCAGCTCACGATCGCGGAGAAGGCGCTGTACCACAACACGCTCGTGTCGCTGCCGACGGGGCTGGGCAAGACGCTGGTGGCCGCCGTGGTCATGTACAACTTCTACCGGTGGTTCCCGACCGGCAAGATCGTCTTCATGGCGCCGACGAAGCCGCTCGTGGCTCAGCAGATCAAGGCCTGCCACGAGATCATGGGCATTCCGTTGCCCGACACGGCGGAGCTGCAGGGCAACGTGCCGCCGACGATGCGCCGCGTGCTCTGGAACTCCCGGCGCGTGTTCTTCTGCACCCCACAGAGCTTGCAGAACGACCTACGACAAGGCGTCTGTGCTGCAGAAAAGTTCGTGTGCATTGTGGTGGACGAAGCTCATCGAGCGACGGGCAACTACGCGTACTGCTGCGTGGTGCAGATGATCGAGGCCAAGACGCCGTTCTTCCGGATCCTGGCGCTGTCTGCCACCCCCGGCGCCAAGTTCGACGTGATCCAAGACGTGGTGGCCAACCTACGCATCTCGCACATCGAGAGCCGCTCGGCGGACGATCCGGACGTGAAGAAATACACGCACGCGCGCCAGGAGGAGGTGATTGTCTGTCGTCTCGGAGCTCAGATCGTGGAGGTGAAGACCATGTTCTTGAAGTGCTTCACGCCGATCATCCAGCGACTTCTACGAGGCAACATCATCCCGTTCGCCGACCCCGAGAAGCTCTCCAGCTGGCATGTACTGCAAGCGCGCGAGAGATTTCGCAAGAGCCCCAGCTACGCCTCAAGTCGCAGCGCTGAAAGCGACTTAGCGCTGCTGGTGAGCCTTTTGCACGCCAAAAGCCTCTTGACAGGCCACGGACTCAGCAGCTTCCGCGACCAGATTCTGAATTGGGCAGAGGAGCGAAAGAAGGGCAAGATGTCCTGGTCAAAGAGGGAGATGCTGCAGTCGTCGGAGTTTCAGTCTCTTGAGTTGAGTCTGGGAGTCACTGAAGGAGCCACCAGCTCTGCCAACACTGCGAGCCATCCCAAACTTGTCAAGCTTCGTGAGGTCCTCCTGGAGCATTTTCAGCGCCATTCCGCAGCTGGATCCAGCACGCGCGCGATCGTTTTCACGCAGTACCGAGTAAGTGTGTCGGAGATTGTAGCGCTACTGCGCCCGCTGTCGCCGCTCCTGAATGTGCAACCATTCATTGGCCAAGGCTCGTCAGGCAAGTCCAAAGAGAACAAGGGTCAAACTCAAAAGGTGCAGCAGGAAATCGTGCGCAGGTTTCGGCTGGGCGAGTTCAACGTTCTGGTGGCAACCTGCATTGCTGAGGAGGGTCTGGATATTGGCGAGGTTGATCTCATCGTATCATTTGACGCACTTACCTCTCCGGTACGAATGATTCAACGAATGGGAAGAACCGGACGTAAGCGCGTGGGCAGGGTCATCATCTTGGTAACGGAAGGTGACGAGCAGAAGAAGTTGGCGCGGAGTGCGTCAGCTGCCAAGACTGTGAGTCGCGCGCTGACAACATACAAGAACAAGTTCAAGTATTCCAAGTGCCCTCGTATGATACCAACCGGCATTTGCCCGGCTTTGAAAGAGTTGGAGATGAATATCCCAACCTTTCATGCGTCCCAGGTCGGTGGTAAGACTGCGACACCACAAGTCGATCCTGATCTATGGCAGCTGAGCGATGCGGAGCGAGCAGTAGCGCTGATGAAGTACTTCCCGCCAAACTTTGCGTCAAGCTCAAGGAATAAGCTGTTTCCGGTCGTGGCTAACCGAAAGCATTTACTTCGACGCCAGCCGCGATGCCTTGGGCGGAAAGGCGTGAGCTCTCGAGTAGGTTACTCTGCTCGCTCATTAATTCTCCAGTCTGTGGTGCGGAAGATAAATGGCGTGGAAGAGGTTATGGACTCAGATTCGGATGACGATGACAAGAGTGATGATGCTGGAAACAAAGCGGGTTCGAGCAACGCAGCACAGCCTGACTCTACGAAGGAGGCAAGCAAGCGCTTACGCAGGTCTAGCGTGGCTACGAATGCTGATGCAGATACTGACAGTGGCATGGGCTCTCCTTGGCGTCAAGCAAGCACCCCTGATGGTGGTGACATTGAGAATAAGCCCGAGGAGTCCTTCAGCGCTATGGACGAGTCATTGGGTAGTATTGACATGCACTTCAGCCCCCAGTTTGTTGATTCTGCAACACAATTTGCTCCTGTTGTCGAGGAGATTGAACAGCCCAAGGAAAGCAGCAAGCGTCAGCTAGAAGGCGAAAGTCCCACAGGAAAGAAGCAAAAGGTCGACCCGAGTGAAGAAGTCGTAACGCAAGAGCATGGGGTGGTTGTTACAAGTGAGGTTGTTGCAGATGCAGAAGGAGTGCAGCCTGTGGGCAATGTGCCTAGCGTGCCTGATGATCACGATACTGCAACACACCCTGAGGCCGAGGCGAACTCTCAGCAAATGTCGGCGACGTTATCTCAAACTCTCACGTCTGATTCCCCACGCCCCCCTTCTCGCGTGCCCGACACTATATGCCAAGAAGCGCCAGTTGAAGTGAGTGATGCCACAGAGGCTACACAGCAGCTTTCGAGTGCCCCTCGTCCACGCAGCACGCGGCAGTTGCAATTTGATGAGGACGACATGGGTGGAGACGAATCAAATCAAAAGCAAGGCTCGGGGCATCTGGAAGTTCCCCCAGCTCCGGATAATGGACAGTCTTCAGATCAGGATGCAACGTCGCCGGTGGATGACGGAGACGCCCCGGCATTTTCGTTCGCTTTACTCCCTCCTCAAGCGACCAGCTCGGGTATCGGCAATGGAGCCGAGAGTGGATCGGACGATGATGACCAAGGCGAAGAGGAACCTTATGCATTCTCCTTTGCACTGCTTCCTCCTCTCTCCACAACGGAGGAGGCCTCTCCTAGCAAGTCTTGCAAGTCGCAAAACCCTGTAGTTGCGGCTCCGCAAGAGGGAGGGTCCCAACCGGCCGAAGATGGTACTGATGGCGATGAAGTGGACGAAGCCAATGAAACAAAACCTTCAATTAAGGAGGAGATTGCGGTAAAACCTGGCCAAGATGCTACCATCGTCGATCTCACGGAGAATGAAACGAAATCTTCGATTAAGGAGGAGATCACGGCAAAACCTGACCAAAATGCGACCATCGTCGATCTCACGGAGAAGGAGGAGTGTCCAACTGTTGTGGAGGAGAAGGTACAGCCAGAAGAAGCTGTGGTGCCAGCAAATACTGGTATTCAAGAAGCAGAGAACGTCGTCGCCTCTCAGCGACCAACCCAGAAGATCGCGGAGCCAGAACAAGAAGATGACGAAGGCTGCTGCGCTGTTTGCCTCGAGAGTGAGTCGTACGACGATGACCCGATCGTGTTTTGTGACGGGTGCAATGTGTCGGTCCATCAATTTTGCTACGGGATCCGAGTCGTGCCCAGTGACAAGTGGTTTTGCGACGTCTGCACGGAGGTCCGGGCTAATGGAAAGAAAACAAACAAAAGCCGGCCGCGCTGCCAGCTCTGCCCGCTCCATGGAGGCGCGTTTAAACGAACCCAGTGCGGGAAGTGGGTGCACGTGCAGTGCTTCTTGTGGATCCCCGAGTTTCGCGTGGAGCAGGGTGAAGACGACATGCTGATTTTTGGAGCGCTGAGCAGCTTGGACCCGGACCGCGCGACGCTCGACTGCTCCTTGTGTCACTCCAAAAAGGGGAAAGGAATTATCCAGTGCGCGCACAAGCGATGCCTAACTGCTTTTCATGTAAGTTGTGCTGCCTACGCGCATTATCGAATGGACCAGCTGGACCCTCCTGGCGAAGAAGACGTTGGAAGTGGCACGCTTTTCCTGGCGTACTGCCCGCTGCACCGTAACTCCACAGCACCGATAAATGTCCCGGAGAACCAAAAGACTCCGCCAGCAGCCAAAGCTCGGTCGCCGAAGCCCCCACTTCCGACTTCCGCGACGAAAATGACGTCTCCGAGCCACCTGTTGGCTTCGCCTTCGTCTGCCGAGGCGAAGAAGAAGTACAAGACATTCCGGCGACTGAAGCGGAAGTACGATGCGACTCAATCGCAAATGTTCTCACAACCAGGAACCAAGGCATCCCCAGCCTCGACTTCGCCGTGGCAGAAGCGCATCAGACGGTCAAAGCGACGTCGAGAAACGTCTCGAGCTCTGGCGGCTGCGTATATTGATGATACGGCGGATGTTCGAGGCGGAGCGAACGATGATGACGATGATGAAGACGACTATGGTGATGACTACAGAGACGCGGCCGACGACTCTTTCATTAATGACTCGTCGCAGCTACTGTACTCGCAGTCGGTGGTATCTCCTGAAGTCACTGGAGACGACAGCGGGAAGACGAAGAAGAAGCGGAAGAAGTACAGCCCGAACATGCGCGCCATCTACGCCCGGTCGCTTTTTGAGTCGCAGAACTCGCCTCTGTTGCTTCGTCGAGGTGGACGGCAATTGGGAGCTCTTCCGTCGAATGGAATCATTCGCGCTTGCTTGGAGGAGATGCACCATGGACCGGGAAGTGAAGCGGAAACAACGCCGTCCCCAAGGCCGCGCTCGCGTCCTCGCTCTCGTGCACCCGTGACCCCCGGCAACACCGCAGCAACCCCGCCGGGGTTGTCAGCTCCGCTTAGCGCTTCAGCTACAGTTACTGAGTCAGATGGAGACGACAGTGCGATAGAGGCGGAGCCTTCCCCCAGCTTTAACTTGCTGGCTGGCGCACCACTCCAAAGTATCCAAGAGAATGACGAAGACGCGAGTGAAAAGAGCGATGGCGGGGTTGTGGATTCAGAGGTGGCTCCACCTAGCTTTAGCTTGCTTGGTGCTAACGGATCTCTTCCGAGCGCTACCAGCACTGTTTCGACGAGACCGAGATCTGGTACGGGTGTGCCAGCTGTGGGTTCTGCCCAATCTGTGAGTCGCACTCAAGACACAGGTCAAGATGAGCTACAGAAGAAGATCGAAGCTAATCGCTTGAAGGCTTTGAAGAAGTTGGAAGAACGGCGTCAAGCGAAACTGCGGCAGGCGCAAGGGCATCCGCCTCAACAGCAAGCGCCATCCGCGAAAACTTTTCAGCCGACAAATACCTCCCACGGTGCCAGTGAGCATGAATTTACCTCTGCTGCAGCTCTGATGTCTACGGAGACACACCAGGACGAAGTAGCTGCCCCCTCAATTAGCTTGTTGGGATCATCGACAAAGGGTGGGCAGGCACCCCCTCCTCCTCCTCAGACAGTGCGTCACCCCGCGACACCTACCGTTGATCTGACAGCGCAGAAGTCGACCAAGCCTGGGCCGAACCAGCCAAAGTGGATAATCTTCACCAGCTCGGCTTTCTCGCGATCTGGCGGGTTTCCTACATTTTTGTCGGGAAAGCATGGCGAGTGCACCGTTGCCATCGAGGATTCACTGGAAGCGGACGCTCTGCTCAGTGTGCGCACGGCCGTGGTGTTCCTGACACTTCAGCAACTGCATGAGTTGGCTCTATCGGCTCCAGCTCAAAACATTGTCAAGAGCCGGCGAATCGGCACACTGCTGGCGATGCACAAGAAGATCATCGTGGCGATTGTCCACGACGGAGGCGACTCACCGGAGATGCAGCGATTGAGACAGCGTCCGAGTGTGACCGTAGTTGTCCAGCCCCGTATCGAGTCGTTGTGCGCGCAACTGCACCAACTCGCCCACCAGGAGCTCGCGGAAGGGTACGAGTTGCCATCCCCGAGCCAGTGTCGCCCTGATTTCAGCGGCGCGGTTGTCAGAGGCTTGGACGCGGACTTTGCGTCGCGGCTCCAGTTCTTCCGCACGATTCCCGCGCTGTCGCTGGGCAGTGCGCTGTCGCTGAGTTTTCGCTTCAAGAACTTCGCGGCGGGGCAGGTGCCTGTGCTCAAGTTTAACGAAATGCATTGGAGGCGGATGCTGCCGTGGATTTCGGAGCTTACAGCGGAGGAGATTCGGAAGCACGTCCAACAAAATGTCGAGCGGCGTTGAGCAGCATCTTCTAAGACTGGAGGCGACGGCGAGTATGAGCGTCATGGGACGACACAAGCCAACAAACTAAAGCGCCATGTAATGTTAGTTAGTAAGTGTACTCTAGAGAATAAGTTAACGTAAAGGTATTCCAACCTGCAGCGCCTCCCTCAGCGGGGGCCTATTTACATCAGTTTCCGGGGGATCAATTTCCTTCAAGTTTCAAGGAACGAGAACCGCCCACCTTACAAAAGTTTGCTCAAAGAGACGAGTGCCAGATTCCATGGACGCGGAAACTAGTTTCTCGTGCGCGCTGTCGCAGTTTGTGTTCAAGAAGCTGAACGAGCGTGTGCCAAGAGTCGAGGGGATTGGGATGCAGCTGCTGGAGGTTGACGAGGTGGACGCTGCAAGGGAGAAATCCGTTGCCGACCAAATAACCAACATAATGGGCTCCATCATCACTAAGTACAATCTTGCGGACAGCATAAACCCCACAGTGGAAGTTTGCAACCTTCTGACAGTCCACGCAAGAACGCTGTTGGCATCCGCCTCAACTGCCGCTTCAACTGCGTTGCTGAGCGAGACTGAGCTCAAGCGTCTCCAGGTGGCTTTCAAAGCTACGTACAAGGGCGCGGCACATGTGGATTTTCACGCGTATCTCGTGCGATGCTGGATTGCTTACAAGACCAACCCAAACAACTATTTGGCCCCATGCACGACGCTGGTGCAGAGCTCGGGCTTCGTCAAGAGTCGATTGCTGTACGAGGTGGCCAAGATGACGGCAGATGACTTGGCCAGCGCAGAAAGTTCTATTAGCATGCGGTGTGTACTCGGGATGAGCACAAGTCTTCCGGTTATCCGTTGTCCACGCCTGGACTAGCAGATTTCTTTTTCGTCGACGGATTGACTGAGGAGGACCTAACTACACGACTGCTAGACACGTGGAAGTACGCGCAAGAACACTGGGATGAGGTAGGCAATCTGTGGCCGGACTTGTTCATGGATCAAAGAGCTGATGCGAGCGCTACCGCTGCCATCCGTAAACCTTCTGGCGCTCTGAGCAAGTGCTGTGGCAACTCTCAGGATCGGCTGCTTGTTGTCGCTGTCGATGAAGCGAGATCACTTCTGCGCAAGTGCGATTTCAACGGAGACTCGTGCCACCGACGCGTGCGCAGAGCTCTGAAGAGGGCGAACGAAACTCTGTTCAAGCAGAACTCCCGTGGTGGCATCTTTATGGTACTTGTCGACACGAACTCGAGCGTACACAATGTATTTCCTTCGATGAAGTCAGACCCCTCCTCCCGAGTTATCGCGCCGGAGGCGGGGATGGCACTAATTCCCGCGTTTGTACTGACGCACACGATGGATGTGTTTCGACAAAGCTTAGAATCCGCTACACGCTCATACAGGACCAATGTTACCAGTGATGACTCAACGGAGCAATGGAACGCGCTTTTGTCGATGGGGCGCCCACTTTGGAAATCATCTATAAAGCCGGATACCCACGTCCAGTTCCAGCACAAAGCGATCTCCGACCTCGCAGCTACCAAGTTTTTGATGGGCCGACCCATGAATGTCGACGAGAGCTACAACAAGGACACACGGTACGGCGTCGCCGCACTGCTGCGCCGACTCGGACTCCGTCCTCACCCCAAAACCGATCTAGCAACGCGCGCGGTGGCCGATTTCATGAGCGTCCTCAGCTACATATCCTACACGAACGACAGTCATATCACGGGCTACCCGTCGGAACCTGTTTTAGCGTTTGGCGCGGCACGTCTGTGGTATCAGCTGAAGTCGAAATCGCTGGAGAAGCATCTTTTACCTGCTTTCGAGGAAATGGTCATGCAATGGGTCGTGGAAACGGGTGATATCGGCGAGGTCGCGGCGCATATCTTCCTTTTACCAGCAATGGATGCGACTACTATGCGTACGCACAATGGCGAAGGGAATTCGGAGCAGAATTCGTGTTCGCAGGCCAATTTTGCACAGTGAGATTGTTTCTGGATGCTCTGACCAATTCGACTCGTTGGCAAAGCTGAAAACTTTGTCGTTGGATGATGTCGCACACGATGAAAGGAGGCATTGTGACGCCTGGATGCATCAGTGGGAAAACTGGAAGATGAGCTTTGTGCAAGTCACTGACCTGCTCGAGAGCCGACGGAGAATACGCTTTGGCTGCTGCTAGGCCGCCGATCTGTTGGTGTGCTTCGACGTGACCAAAAGGGTTCCATTGTTTTAACCGATCTTCTTCGGTCAACGGGTCTCCTTCATTTCAGTTCAAGTGAACAACGAGTTTGAGGCCAGCGACTTAATTAAGGGGAGGGCCTGCGTGCCCCATAACGAGAGTTTGTGGGCGAAGATAGAGCCTCGCGATGTGATCCACGTCAGTATTGATCTGCGCGATAAACCCACGAACAAGATTCCTGCTCAGATGTACGTGGATATGACGCGCATCGGTACCAGCAACCGCGACCAAAACTTGAGCGCGGCAAGCGAAAAAGGCAAACGTACCGACGAAGGTAATGGACAATGCTGTTGGGTACACGCTTTGCCTTGGGGGCATATGTCAGACACGTACCAGCGTGGACGCCGAAATCTCAAGTCCGTGGGCATTCTTGTCGAAGAATACGCCGAAATGCCTCGAGCAGCTTGCGAATGCAGCGTGGTGGGATGTGAGGAAGCGCGTGGCAAGTGATTTGGAACGACGCAGCAACTCGGGTTCTAAAGATCACTTGTCGGTGTTGCCCGCGACCGAGCTATTGGAAACGTCTGAATTCGCCATGACTACACCTTTGCCCGGCCATAGTTGGCCTAATTTGCAAGCAAAGTTGTCATGAATGTTGGAGATACCAGAGTACATTACATTCCCTAAAGTATGACTTTCGTTTCATTCAAAGTTGTCTAATTCCCACCAACGACTGTTGACGTAATACACATTTTCCCTCGCAAACTCAAGACCTTTGGCGTACTCTGATAAAGTGCGAACTTCGCACTGCGAAGTGACGCCAGCACAGAGGCAAGATGGCGAAGGCGAAGGCGTGTGTGCGTGCGTGCAGCTTCTTGAGTGTCCGATCCGCGTCGGCATGCCCTTCATCAAGCGGCAGCTGTACGCGCGCGATCTCTCAAGGAGGGGAACATGGGGGCGCGTTGAGACCGCCCCTCACTGAGCAGGGGGTGAGACGTGCTTTGCGGCTACATGTGGTGCATGTACCTCTCGATGGGAATTAGACAACTTTGAATGAAACGAAAGTCATACTTTAGGGAATGTAATGTACTCTCTGGTACCTCCAATATTCATGACAACTTTGCTTGCAAATTAGGCCAACTATGGCCGGGCAAAGGTGTAGAGCATCCAGATAGTGGTGTCAATCACATTTCGAAGATCGATTCGAATAAGTAGCGCTTAACATGATGAATTGGAGACGGATGCAGCTGTTGATTTCAAAGATAACAGCGGAGAAGATTCGTAGTACTTCCAACAAAATGTCGAGCGGCGTTGAGCAGCATTTCTCAAGACTGGAGGTGACGGCGAGGCTTACAGATGCGACATCTACGTTGCTCTATGTGCGATTCTGGCCGAGCGCCTAGTTCTTGAGGGACTCGATCACGCGGATGGAGTCGTCCAGCGTCTTGTCGTCCTTGCAGAAGGCGAGACGCACAACGCCCGGGGCCAGGCGGTTCTCCGGGCGGCTGAAGAAGGGCGACGTCGGGATCACCGCGAGGTGGCCGGCCTTCGCCAGCTTGTACGCGAACTGGTAGTCCGGGAACTCCTACAGACCCAACGAGTTAGGTTCATGACCCTGACACAAACCAACAAACACGAAGTAGGAACGCACCGTCTTGGGCGTGTCCGGCGTGATCTCGATGCCGCGGAACTCGTCGTAGAACGGCAGCCCCTCGACGTTGCAGCAGACAAAGTAGCCTCCCTCCGGCACGATCGGGCGCCAGTTGTACGCCTGCAGCGCGTCGCACAGGCGGTTGCGCTTGGCCTGCAGCAAAGTAATCGGCATGTAATGTTAGTTAGTAAGTGTACTCTAGAGAATACGTTAACGTAAATGTATCCTCCGTACCTGCAGCGTCTCCCTCAGCTCGTCGTAGTAGCCGTTGTGCTTGGCCTCTCGGAACGCCGAGGCCAGCGCCACCTCCAGCGGCGTGGTGCCGCAGAAGGGCACAGTGCTGTGGGCCTTGATGATTCCCCCCACCAGGTGCGCCGGCCCCACGGCGTAGCCCGTGCGCCAGCCCGTGCAGGAGAAGGTCTTGCCGGCGCTGAAGAGCGAGATGGTCCGGTCGAAGAAACCGGGCAGCGCGGCGATGCGCTCGTGCTCGAGGCCGTCGTACGTCATGAACTCGTACACCTCGTCGGCCAGCACGACCACGTTCGGGTGGCGCTCGAGCACGCGCGCGAGCTGCGCGAGCTCCTCCCTGGACAGCACCTTGCCCGTGGGGTTGTGCGGCGTGTTGAGCACCAGCATCTTGGTCTGCGGCGTGATCATCCGCTCGAGCGCGTCCAGGTCCAGCTCGAAGTCGCGCGACGAGAAGGTCGCGTCCACGTGCGCGTCCTGGCTCAGGAAGGCCGCGCGCTTGGCCGGCGCGAAGCGGAAGGGCACGCCCCGCGCGCGCACGCCGTGCAGCTGCGAGACGGTCACGTAGGCGTCGAAGTAGGGCTCGAGCGTGAGCACCTCGTCCCCGGGCTCGAGCAGCGCCGCCATGATGGACGCGATGCCCTCCTGCGCGCCGTTGAAGGTCACGACCTCGCGCAGCGGGTCCAGCTCGCGGCCCAGCAGCGGCGCGTACATCTCGGCCAGCGTCCCCACGTAGCTCACGTGGCCGCCGGGGCGCGTGTACTGGTTGTTGCCGTCCGTGATGGCGTCGATGGCCGCCTGCTTGACAAACTGCGGCGTCTCGAAGGACGGGAAGCCCTGGCCCAGGTTCACGGCGCCGTGCTGCGCGGCTAAGGCGGAGAACTCGGCGAACACGTTCGGGGGCAGCGTGCGCACGCGCTGCGAGATGCCGCGCGCGTGGCGCAGCGCGGGGGCGAGCGACGGGAGCTTGGACGCGGCCTGCATCTTTGAACTGTGATGGTGGTGATGATGGATGCAAATCGGCAGAAAACTGGCGGGATACGGTAGAACTGACTTCAAGGTGAGCAGACTTGGAGTCAGTATGGGCAATAGTGGGGTGAAGAATTTGTTTGCGAAGCCGCAGTAACGTAAATGGTCGGTATAAGGAACAAGACCACTTCAACTTGAGTGCTGCAGCTCGCGAGGAACCATCAATCGATCGATGTGGTCGGCACCAATGCACGCCCAGTCTGGGTGGCCTATGAGAACAAGCCGAGCAACTATTTGGCTCCGTGCACGTCGCTGACGCAGAGCTCCGGCTTCGTTAAGAGTCGGATGCTGAACGAGCTGGTCAAAATGACAGCGAACGACTCGGCTGCTGCGCTCAACGTTGGTCCTTCAGCGGGTGCTGTACGTGTGCACTCGCGACGAGCAAAAATCGCCGGGATTCCCATTGGCGACGCCCCCACCTAGCAGACTTCTTCTTTGGCGACCGAGCGACAAATGAAGAACTAACTACACGCCTGCCTGATACATGGAAGTACGGGACGGGCTTTTCATCGAGTAATCGTGGCGGCTCGTCAAGGACCGCAAAAAAAGGGTGGCTCGTCGAGGATTTGTATAGCAGAGTAGGTTCATCAACGCATTATGACGGAAGTGCGCCAATGAGGATTTCGGTCGTCCATCAAGTTTCTTTACCACATTGCTAGGCGAACATCGCCGTACTGCTGTTGACGTTCAGCCTGCATGATCTTTGGCCAAATTTGCTTGTACGAGTGTTTCGCGGACGTGCGGGAGGTCTACGCCACCCGTCAAACGGATGAGCCCGAACCTGAAGCTGCCAAGTGCGTTGATGCAGTACCTCTTCAAGAGCTTGTAAGCCCAACCTGCTTTTCGTCCGACCCGCATACACTACAGCCGCGCCAGACAGATTGTATTTAATAATGACGCAACATTCAACAACTTGTATCTGTAAGCTTACTGCTACGAATCGATGTTGCAACCGTAAAAGGAGTTGACCATATTGTCGTCCTGATAGTTAGTTAGTTGAACTCGAGCGCGTCACCGAGACGCGATTCACATGAGTAGCTCTGAGACCGTGCGACTTTGCATTAGCAGCGAGGTCCAACAGCGCAGCACCGTTAAGGCAGTCTGGCTGGTCTTCCCATGCGGGCTGTACTGCAAGACCAAGCACCTGATGACGGAGCCAAGCCCCGAGGCGCTTGCCGCGGTCAGCCGCCCACCTTATTCTCGTTGTTCACATCAGCATTGCGTCCGTAGCCGTTGTCGCGGCCTTCGAGCTACCCAACTATCGAGCGGTATTAGCTTAGCCGCTTAGGATACGACCTGCCTATCATGGATATCGACAACATAACAACACACTTATCTCCAACGAGCCATCACATTTGGATACCGCGTCCGTAGTCAGTTATACTTGGCGAGAAAACTGGCACGCATTGGGCTTGTCGCCAATTATACCGCTGGGCATCGCAGCAGCATTAATTATCGTCTCCCAGCAAAGAATAAAAGCGCAACGTACGGTGTGTGTCGAACAATAGTCCGATATGCTTGATAACTACCGGCAAGATTCATGGAATGGTATTGTGATACATGTAGCTAAGTTTTGCTGTGAGCGGCAGTCTACCGAATTGCAGTGTACAACAGAGAACTATGACACCTGAACGTCAAGTACATGCGTGGAAGGCAACCAACGCTGCATCCTGCAGCTGAATTCGCCGTCACGCATCGCGAGAAGGGTACATTCGACGGTGGAGTCGTTTAGGCTAGCCTGGTACCCGCAGCAACAACGGAAATGGTATATAACGGGGCTGAGGGGCAATATTTCGTACTGAACCTAGCTGTATGTCCAGGGTGGTTTTGTTCTAGCACGCACAGTCTAAAAGTTGCTCCCACCGCGATCCCCGCCTTCATTCGATGCCGAGGAGATGATGAGTGGCATTCCTTGTCACGAGTCGCGACCGAAAGGCCCAGCGTAAAACATGAAAAGTTTCAATATGTATTGCTCGGTGGCTACTTGTTAGAGTAACCTCAATGTTATTTTTTATTGTAGTAGCTTGGAATGCCTCCTAGCCTGCATACAATCGATTACAAAGGCACCGTTATTGTCGGCACAGCAGATTTAAACGAGCACTTCGAAGGTTGATCAGTTAGGAAGTGGGACCCCCGCTGGGAGCGGTTTACACCGCTGATGGTTGCTACCAGCCCCACTGTACATGTACGCGTTGCTTGCGCTTTGGGCTGTACCTGTTAGGGCCTGCTTTCCATGAACTTGTAGGCGACGGCAATGGCAGGCCAGCAAATTCCTTCCTTGGCAACCCTGTGATACAAGTAGATCAACGCGCAGCTCCGCTTTAAGCGGAGTTGGCCTGATAAGCGGAGTCCGCTTATCAGGCCTAGGCCGATGCACATTCGCGCGACTGCGTCGACGTCGACGAGATGGAGCACATTCTGCGCTGGTGTGCGACTACAGTGAATATTCGCGGTTTACACTTGGTCTCTGATCGCTGCGCAGTCGTCAGTGAGATTTTACCTGATGTCCACGCAGAGACTGCACGACACCAAGAGCTTCATCTCGAAGTCTCACCTGGTATGCATGAAGCCCATCGGGCAATGAACAAGTCTAGCAATTTGTCCGGATGATCTTTTTGACTCGATTTATGGCCGATTATAGAAACGCCCTTGATGAACCACCGTTTTCAAATCGCCTTGACGAACCGTCTCGTTTTCCTTGATGAAATGCCCCACCCTGGAAGTACGCGCAACAGCACTGGGGCAAGGTGGACAGGCAATGGCTAGACTTGTTCACCGATACGGAAGCTGACAAGCGAGCATCCGTGGCTCAAAACACACAGCTACTGCTGATCGGAGCGAAATATGTGACGATCCCCACAATCGGTTGCTTGTTATCGCTGCCGACGAGGCGAGATCGCTGGGGTGCGTACTTGGGAAGCCAGACTATGAACGTTTGCACAAGGCCTCGGAATGAAACGCTGTTTAAGCGGAAAAACACCCATGGTAGCATTAGTCTGGTGCTGGTGGCCACCAACTCGACGATGCACAACGAGGAACGCTCATGCTCAGTTTCGCCACCGAACAAGGTAGTAGTTGAAGTGGTCAGGATATCGAGAAACGACCTCACCGTGCCCCATTGGCCCGCGAACACAAAATCCTTTTTCGCTTTTACGCTTCCTATTGTAGCCACGCAAAGTAGTCGCGTCCATCGCCAGCAACAAGAAGATATAAGTAGCGATCTCGCCGCCGTCACCGACTTCCACGTCTAGCTGCATTAGCAACTCCGAGAGAGCTGGTAAGAGGTGCTTCTCCAGAGACTTCGACTGGAGCTGATGCCACAAGTGTGTCGCGCCAAACGCTAGAGCAGTCTCTGACGGGTAGCTCGTGATATGACTGTCGTTCGTGTAGGAAGCGTAGCTGAGAACGTCCATGAAATCTGCCGCCTCGCGTCACTACATCCGGTTTGGGATGCGGACGCAGTCCGAATCGACACAATACGGCCGCGACGCCGTACATTGTGTCCTTGTTGTAGCTCTTTCTCGAGCTGTATGGGTCGACCTAGCAACAGTTTCGAGCCTGCAAGGTCCGATACCGTTTCCTGCTGGAATTAAAGGTCAGTGTCTGGATCAACTAGAGCTATGTGTAGGCTGGGATAGCTTGGTAGTTCGCATGACAACTTCACAAAATCGCGCGGCGAGTTGAAGGGTAGCAAGTCACAGCGTCAGAGTGACTTCTGTACTTTACAATTACTGGTATAAAAGCGGGAAAAATGTACCTGTATCCGTTTTGCTTGTTAATCCTAACATTATGGAGTAAATAATACGCCATAGGTTACTTCGCCAAATACTCTGGCCAACTGCACACTCACAGAAAATACTCCGAAATAATACTATAAAGTCAATTCTATGGAACATTGCGTAGCAAGCATGCAGTCACCGTACCAAATACCTTCTCGATTGAATGCGCGAGGACTGCTTCTTCTGCGGGCATTGCCCGCAGAAGAATAGCAGTCTCGCACCAGCCACCTTGACCACTGACAGTGTGCAGCTAATACGTACGAGGATCGGGGTGATGCCCACGCCAGCGCCGCCATGAAAACCACCCAGTTCATCAGCGAGCCCTCGACGTCGTCTTGCGAAACGAGCAACCTCACCGAAATTGCTACACGAACGGCAAAAACGCAGCACTGTCAGCATAAACCCATAAAATAATAGCTCGAAGGAACAGTTCCACGTACGCGATGCCCCAAGCGCGTCTTGCTTCTCACGATCCGCCACCCGTGACCATGATGAAGATTGGCTCCGATCATCCATTGTTTTTAATAAAACCCTGCTGGTGGAGTCTCCATTATGAACTCCACCTTCATGACCTCGCGCATTTCATTTGTCTGCTTGTCCGGGTGGTACTAGCGACAGTAGGTGGCACCTGCAAATGCAAGTAAATGCAACAACAAGGCGTTAACGCTGGTATACGCACCGTCGTGTTCTTCTTTTTTTGGGAATCTTGGCGATTGTTCCCCTGCGACTCCGTCGACGCATCTCGAAGGTATTTCACTACGACAAAATATTTGCTCCATATTTACCAAAAATATATCGATAGTTCTGATCTCTCACCGATGAAGGGCAGGTCGATGGTGTGCGAAAAGATGGAGAGCTTCGGCTTCTGCAGCACAGCACGGGCCTTGTGGAAATGGGAACGGTCTGCAGAATTTTTAATACACTAGTAAATATAAGTAATATGGCTTTTAAACCATTCTTAAAAAACAAATAATTCTTAGCAATCGGCACCTTATCCGTGAAATGAAGTTCTGGTGACGTCGCGAGCGAGCGCTGGCAAAGCCACAGCGGCGACTGCAGCACCTCCAACCTGCGCCAATGACCATGCTCGCCAGGCACAATAGCACGTTCAACTCCTTTTGCATGTCCAACGTCCACAAACCATCGGTTCGGATCTATTTAAGTATCTAAATACCTGATTCCACTGTATCCCATTTCTTTTGATGTTAACTTCTTTCCCTGAAATAACGCCAAATAACATTTTATTTCAGCCAATCATATGCGAGATCAGCCAAAAATAATATTGACCACTAAGCATCGAGGAATCCTGAATGGGAGTTCCGGCTCTCAGTCGTAGAAAGGTCCACCGAAGGGCAAGTGCCCTACGTGCCCTAAGCTCGTGGCGAAGTCGAACATGGCCAAGCACCGCAAAGTGTGCTTCCATCGCGCCGATTTGAAAGTGAACACGTGGCGAGAAGCCGACCAGGTCGTACTTTATTGTACACACACATCGTACCTTTTGGTATGAAGTCGTATGTTTTAGTATGAACTCGTATATTTTCGTATGAACTCGTACTGTTCGGTATTAACTCGTAGATTCTGGTATGAACTCGTACTTTTTGGTATGATCCCACTTCAAAAGTCACCATAGTCCTCAGAAAAAATCAAATCTAAAATTCTCCAGAAAATTTGTCGACTACCTTTGTTTTACCCAAGGTGGTCGATCATTGGCCAATTAACACAGAATAACTGCCAAATGTTGTTTCAGCAAAAAGAAGTTGCTTCCGATGACGAGCCCATACAAAGTCCTAATACAGAGATTCGACTTCCTCGGACCGAAACAACGTCTCAAGGCGACCGAAAATCATTTTATAGGGTTCGAGCTATTTCCATACAAATTTCTTGATAGTGACTGCGAGGGGCTACTATTGAGGTGTTATTTCAGTCAGAGTAAGCTCTACTTCAACGAGAGGCTTCATCTGATCGGCTTCAAATAATCGGATGTAGCAGCTTTACTGCTATCCCAGAATAAACGTTTTGTACAGCGGACGGGAAATAAGCGCGTACAGGGATACGAGAAATACAAGCACCTTTTTAACATGGACCAGACTTCAATTTACGTGGACATGAACCCCAAGACGACGATCACGTTCCAAGGCGATCGAGATGCTGACGTTGGTCAAGGTATGGATAATTTGATCTCCATTTTTTTAGATTTTTTTGTTCTAACTTTAGCTTTTTATGTATGGGGTAGGAATGTCGGAAAACTCATTCCGCGCAAGTGTTTTTTTTGTGTGGGCGTGAAGTTGCCACCGTTCATCGTATTTGCCGGGGTGCAGGGGTGCAAGGTCGAGGCGGAAGTGCACATGAACACTCTGCACAAGGAAGGCGAGGTCGTGTTAGCAGTGCAGAAGAATGCATATTGCGATGAGCGAGTCATGTTGGAGTGGATCAAGGAGGTAAATATTATTTTAATGTTTTTGCTTTTGTATTTGCTTACTAATTGAAATTGTATTGGTTTAGGTATGGAAGCCGTCAGTGACCTTCTGTCATGTGCTCCTGTTGGACAGCTTAAAGAGGTTCACAAGATGAGCACCGTGCGTACTCATCTTGAGGACGCCATGACCGACGTGGAATTCGTCCCGCCAGGCGCCACGATGCTGGCCCAGCCCATGGACGTGGCCGTGATGGCTGGCTTCAAGCGCGAGTGTCGTGAGCTGTACGCCCACCAGCACTGCGACAGCGACCACAGCACAACCCCCCGAGAGCGGCGTAAGTTTATCACGTCGATAGTAGTGAAAGCGTGGGAGTCCATTTCTGATGTTACCATTAGGAGAGGTTTTATGAAAGCCGGCCTTGTTCCGATCGGCCCTCGCACTAGTGATGGCCGTTTCACTGTTACGAAGCCACCAGCAGCCCAACTTAAGGCTAAGACTACCAAATAAAAATGTTTCAGTCGCAATTTGCACCTAAATAGTATTGTTTGCTGCAGGGCAAATGTTGGTTGAGGCGGGGTTTTAGTTTTTACACCGGTTGTTGCACGAAATCCGTGGTTGCAGAAAATGCATATATTCCGGTAATCTCGTAGGTGTAGGTGGATACAGCAGCGCTCGTCCTTGGCTTGGGATCTCGTTGAAAGACGTCCAAATTGTGCGTGAGTATGAACGGAGGAAACATTGCCATTCCCTCCTCTGGCTGGTGAGTTCGCGTTGTGGGGTCATGCTCTCTGGGGAACAGTCCTCTTGGTTGGATTAGTTAAAACACTGGAAGATGAGTTTTGCTCAATTCACTGACCTGCTCGAAGAACCCACGGAGGAGATGTTGTGGATGCTGCTGGGTCGCCGAGCTGCTGGTGTGCTTCGTCGAGATCACAAGGATTCCGCTGTGGTGATCCCGATTTTCTCTGGCCAACGGGTTTCGTTCATCTTGGTCCGAGTGAAGAATAAATTCGAGACCACCTCCATCCTGGACGGGGAAGATTGTGAGTTTGAAGATGAAAACTCAATGTCAGCGGATGTACTCCAAGTAAATATTTATCTACGGACTGCATCTACGAGTGGTTGCACGTGCATTGCCTTACCCCGCCGAGTCAGTCGCAACTGCATGTAAGAGGAGAACATGGTGCTAACGGTGGCATCTAACAAGCAATCGGTGCACCTGGCTGTTCGTGCATCAACGGATGTGGGGTATATGCTCTGCCTCAAGGGAATATGCACCCATTATGGGACGGTGAATGCAGCAAGCAAACGTCCGTGGTTGTTCTTGTCCTCGAAAATGCTTGGAGCATATTGCGAATGCATCAATGTGGGACGTGAAGAAACGAGTGCTAAGTGATTTGAAAAGGCGCAGCAACATAGCCTTCTCTGACCATGTTACCCGATAATGAGCTGATGGAAACGTCGGAATACTCCATGGTAGTATAAACTCGAACGCCGTAAGGAAATTGAGCATGTAACCTAGCAAAACTGTATGTACCCGATAGACTTGTGGCTCACATCGCCGTAATCGGGTTGTCGAAAGAAATTCTATACGTAACGACAGTGATGGTGACATGTAGCGACAGAGATGGTGACGATTACCCTGGTCTCACTAATTGGATGCACAGTTTTCCTGCTGTAGGCGTAGCCAAGTAGAATTTGGGGGCACGGCGGGGAGATTCGCAGTCCTCATTGAACAATGATTAGGAACTGTTGGTTTTGCTGTTGCTTGTGGTGAAGAGGGCAAATGCCGAAGTGAGATTTACTGTTAAGCCTAAATCAACTTTACTGTCCTCCTCTCCCCGTTGTCCACCTTGCTCTCCTTGTTGCCTCTCATCACATTGATTAGCGCCCGCCAGACTTGACTTGATTCCAGTATGGTATACCCAACCGAGACTTCGGTGAGTCCTCGGTTGGTCCAATCACATCGTGGCCAGGCACGTGTCATGCCTGCCGTCACTTCGTTCTTCTTGTAGTCATCTCTGCATGAGTCCTCGGTCGTACCTTCGTCACTCTCGCGTGCACTGGCGACGCTCAAAGCCAACACTCCCACTCGCCGCTAGTGCTGAGCGGTCTGGCCGAAGCCTCGGTCCGAAGCCTCTGCCTGAGAACTCTGTCCGATGACTCCGCTCGCTTCGAGTAGATACTACAGGCGCTTGGTCCCCACCGCCTTCGTCAGCATGTCCGCAAGCAGAGCCTTCGTTGAGACGTAATCCACCTTGATGATGCCTCGCGCCACGTTCTCTCGGATGAAGTGATGCTTGATGTCGACATGCTTCGTCCGAGCATTGTAGCCAGCGTTGCTCGCCAGCGCAATCGCACCTTGGTTGTCCTCCCACACTTGAGTAGCTCCCACTTGCTCATGACCCAAGTCCTTCAACATGGCGCGGGCCCACAACACCTCCTGGGTACATAGGCTGAGTGCCATGTACTCGGCCCCCGCCGAGCTTAGCGCCACCGTGCGCTGATACTTCGACTTGAAGACCACCGGCGCTCCACTGATCATCACCATCGTTCCCGACACCGAGCGACGGTCGGCGAGATTGATGCCCCAGTCCGCGTCTGTGTACGCCTCAACCGAAACCTCGCCTTCGTTGCCATTGTAAACGATACCTCGGTCTCGGGTGCCCTTCAGATACCTCAGTACTCGGATCGCGGACTTCAATGTTGCTGCCCGGGATTCTCCAGAAAACGTGACAGCTGCGTGACTATGTAAGCCACATCCGGACGAGTGCACGTGGTGATGTATAACAAGCATCCGACGAGTGCTCGGTAAGGTCTCGGCTGCATTACCGAAAGTTCGGTTGGAGTCTTCGGTTGCTGAGCCTTCGTCAGCTTCATGCCCGACTCACATGGGTTTACCACCACCTTGGCGTCCTGCTGGTTGAACCTCTTCACCACGTCGTCAATGTAACGCGTCTGCCTGATCATCAGCGTCTTGGTCGAGTAGTCGTGGTTGATCTCCATCCCGAGGATAAACGAAGCTTCGCCCAGATCCTTCATCTTGAACGAGCTCTTAAGCGCCACCTTGACTTCCTCAATTTCCTTTTTCGTTTTGGCCGCGATGATCATGTCGTCCACGTAGAGGCATACGTACACATACCTGCCGTCCGTGCCCTTCACGTAGACGCACTGGTCCGCACCGCAACTTCGAAATCCGATGTTCATGAAGACTCGGTGGATAGTCTTGTGCCAAGCATTCGCCGCCTGCTTCAAACCGTACATCGCCTTCTCGAGTCTGCACATCATGTTCCTCGCGTTCGTAATGCCATACGGCACCTCCATGTAGACAAGCTCAGTGAGATCACTGTTCCGAAATGCCGTGTCCGCATCCAACTGTTCGGTCACGTAAGCCTCGGCCACCACAACCGAGAGTACGACTCGGATTGAGTTCATGTTGGCCACGGGAGAGTACGTCTCGAAGAAGTCTACTCCAAACTTCTGTTTGAACCCTTTTGCCACCAACCGAGCTTTGTACCTGATGACTCGGCCGTGCTCGTTGCGCTTCTTCGCGAACACTCACCGACACCCGATCGGCCGAGCTTTCGTTGTCCGCCGAACCATCGTCCAGGATCCGTTGTCAGAGTGCGCCTCCAGTTCCGCGTTCATCGCCATGACCCACTCTGAGGCTTCGTCGCTCTGCATAGCCTGCTCATACGTAGTTGGTGCGTCGTCTGCATCACCAACGTCTGCCGCGTACGTCAGCACAGCTTCCGCAAGTAAACTGTCCTCATCAAACCTCGGACGCTTGGGCGATGTTGGCCAGAAGTGGTCGTCGCTGTTTCGTCAACCTTCGACTCCTCCCCCTCTGCTGGTACATTTCCAAGCAGAATCGCAGGCCCCCTCGCACGTCGGACACGTTCTGGAACTGGGTGGAATACCATTGCCTCTCCCATCGTCGGGTTCGTCACGCCTCGGTAGGTTGTCAGGCCCTCAACTGAGGCTTCGGTCCGAGCCCTCGTCTGCGTCTCTGAGTCTTCGGTTGCATCCTTTGCAGACTCCATCGGCTCATCATTGGTATGTCGTTCAGCTTGTTCAAGTTGCGCATCATCCTCAGTGTCCTCCGAAACTTGGATGGTGACTGAATCGTTGGTAGCCATCGTCTCATAGATGCCGTTCACTTCACGTTCGTCGAGCTTCACCGATCTGGATACCTGCACCTTGTTCGACTCCAAGTCGTAAACTCGGTAACCCTTCGCATCTTCGGCGTACCCGAGGAACATACACTTGAAGCTCTTCGCGTCCAACTTCGTGCGCTTCGCCTTGTCAACGTGAGCGTAACCGACCGATCCGAATACTCGCAGGTGATCCAACCGAGGCTTCGTCTTGAACGAGACCTCGTACGGGGTCTTCGTTTGGTCAGTCCGGTTCGTTGAGCGGTTGATCAAGTACGCGGCCGCGCTGACGGCTTCTGCCTACCGCAACGTTGTCACACCCTTGTAGTGGAACATGCTTCGAGCCTTCTCCATTAGTGTTCGGTTCATCCTCTCGGCCCCACCATTCTGCTGCGGGCTGCACGGGACCGTTTTCTGATGCAGGATCCCGTTCTGTCGGCAGATCTCGGCCATCGACTTCTTCACGAACTCAGTGCCATTATCCGAGCGCAGACACTTAATGCGCTCTCCCCACTGGTTCTGGTAGAGTTTCATGTACGACTTGAACTTGGCCGAAACCCCGCTCTTCTTGTTCAAGAAGTACACCACGACGTAACGCGAGTAGTCGTCCACGAAGGTGAGTACATACTTCGCGCCACCCTTCGACCGAGTCTTCATCGGACCCATCACATCCGTGTGAACGAGCTCTAGTGGGCGCGATGTCTTCGTCTGCGAGCGCGACGGGAAGTGCGCGACCGTCTGCTTGCCCTTCATGCACCCTCCACACAGAGGCTTCGTTTTCTTCTGAGTCATCGGTACGCCCGTCGTTGCCAGCCGAGTCTTTGCAAACGAGTCCTCGTTTGGGTGTCCCATTCGAGCGTGCCATAACTCCCACTCACTGTCAACCCCCGAGTACTCGGTGTAGTACGCCATGTCTTGATGGCAGTCCAACACATACGCCTTGCCGATCTTCTTCCCCGAAGCGATTGCCCTCGACTTGTCCCAGATCACACACGACATGCGCTGGAACTCCACACTCATGCCTCGCTCAGCCAACTTTCCGACCGAGAGCAACCTTCGGTCGAGGCCGGGTATGTGGAGTACCTCGACCATTCGAATCCGCTTACCGTCGATGCCCGTCAATCGCACCGACCCAGTCCCAGCCACGCGAACCTTCTTCCCATCCGCGATGGTCACGTACATGTCCTTCACCATGGCCGAGTACTCGAACATGTCGTCGCGGTGTGGCGTCATGTGCGCCGTCGCACCGCTGTCGATCAGCCACCCAGCCGATCGATCCTCCCCAACGGCGAACACCGAGTCTTCATTGGTGTCACCGTTACTTTGCTCCGGACAGTCCCGCTTCATGTGGCCGACTTGGTCACAGTTGAAACACTTGCCCTTAAACCGTCCGACGTTTCGCCCGCCGACGTTTCGTCCACCAAAGCTACGTCGGCCGCCGTTTGGCCCGCCGACGGCTCGTCCACCGAGGCTTCGTCCGCCGAGGCTTCGTCCGCCGTTGTCCTTCCTGCCGAACCTTCGGTCCAAGCCCTTGCCTCCGAACGATGTAGCCTTCAGCGCACGCTCCGAGGTCTCCTTCTTCTCCTGTCGCTCGTACTCCTTGAGCAACTTCTCCTTGACCTCGATTAGAGTCACGTCCTTGGCGTTCTCGACGATCGATGCAATCAACTCATACTCCGCCGGCAGACTGCTCAGCAGGATGACGAGCGGTCGGCTTTCATCTAGAGGCTCACCGAGGGCTTGCAAACCCACGATCAGCTCATCAAAGCTGTCCAGATGCTTCACCATCGTTGCGCCGTCCTGCATCTTGAACTCGTGGAGACGACGAGTCATCGTCACGCGGTTGTGCATGGTCATCCGATTGTAGAACTCCCGCAGAGTGTTCCAAGCTTGGATGGCCGAGGTTGCGGACCGAATCTTCGTATGGTGCTCCACCGCCACCCCTTGGGTGATGAGTCCGAGCGCCTTCATGTTGTTCAGCAGCCAGGCCTCGGTCATCTCAGCCGGGTCCTTCACAATCTGCACGTGTGCAAGCAGCCCCTTCCTCGCTAGCGTCATCCCCATAGCGAACTCCCAATGGAAGTAGTTGTCGCTTCCCAGGATGACTTCGGCCTTCGTGCTGGTCGTGGTCATGGTCGACGTCGTGGAGCTTGAGCTTGTGCGGCTGTGGACCTGTTGGTTTTGCTGCTGCTTGTGGTGAAGAGGGCAAATGCCGAAGTGAGATTTAATGTTAAGCCTAAATCTACTTTACTGTCCTCCTCTCCCTGTTGTCCTCCTTGCTCCTCTCATCACGTTGATTAGCGCCCGCCAGACTTGACTTGATTCCAGTATGGTATACCCAACCGAGACTTCGGTGAGTCCTCGGTTGGTCCAATCACATCGTGGCCAGGCACGTGTCATGCCTGCCGTCACTTCGTTCTTCTTGTAGTCATCTCTGCATGAGTCCTCGGTCGTACCTTCGTCACTCTCGCGTGCACTGGCGGCGCTCAATGCCAACAGGAACCACGAATATAACGCTAAGAGTTTCCCTCAATTCGCTTAATAGGGAGGATGACATCAGGCTTTAAAATGGGTATGGTGGGGAACGATAGTGAGAGCATGTAGATAAGCTTTTACGGTTGGCATTGTTAGGATTCGACCTACGATATTCAAAGTGCTACGATTCATCCGCACGCGAATTAGCTACGCACCGATGTCAGCGAAAGATTGATACGACCATTCGCGATGAGCTGAAAAATTGATTCACCAATTTTTCTGAATTATTTTCTCAGTTTAATGGCTATTATATGCGGTATTTATCGTGCAAAATATTCCAAGCGTTCGATTTCATCGCTTTGCTTTCATGCACAGCGGGATTAGATAACATTTATTGGTTTTTATAGTCTTCAGAGAGCCCTTTGTCGCCAATTCTATTGCTAATTCGGTTGTTATTCCTACTCAGAAGTTGGTTTCAACCAAATGAAATAATTGAATTATTAATGACGGTAGAATTTGCTGTGAGGCTAATCTAACATTTTAATATTCCCATCCCTGATCGACAACCTGGACTACTTCATGGTCGCCATAAAAGAGCATGTCCAGGTCAAGATGGTCAACTTCGGGCCCCTTCAGAGAAAAAAGTTGCCCCGGGGTGTGCGCCTCTGCGCTCCTTTGTTTGAACAACCTTCGAACACCTTTAAGCACCTTCAGTACCATCGGAAAACTTGATCGCCCTCGATGAAACCAGAAATTCTTACCCAAATATTTGTATTACTGCTCTGAAATGCGGTGAGGCGCATGGCGGCTTCACTAGGAGTGCTTGTCTTCATCTCGGAGCGTGTGGCTGTGCTTTGAGTATGCCAGACGAAGAACCTCGCCGTGCTCACACTTCTACGTCATTCACAGGTACAATGGAGGCCAGCTTTCCATTTCTAGCTCGATTTTGTGGGCTGAAGTTGGTGGCGAGTAGCACTTTGTTGTCCGTGTTAATGATTGCAACTGACGTGATCTGACGATACTTCCTCTGAATGCTAAGTCGCTCCTCCTCTCGATGCTGAGCGTCAAGCGCTTCAAGCGCTTCAGGATCAAAGTCCACGTAAGAGAAGGACCCGAAAAAGAATCGACGACAGCGAAAAAGAAAAAACAACCCCACGAAAAGGCAATAGGTGAGCACCTGGAAGGTGAAGGTAGCCGGAAAACGCCACACGAAGTCGTTCCCATCGAAATCGCCTCCAAAAGCGACGCGAGCGGGGAAACTCCCATGTATCCCCACAGAATCCATCGAAACTCGCGGAAAATCTGCTTTTTGGCTTCGAATGGCGCCATGTCTAATAGACGCCGCCGCGCATGCCTCATGCGCTGGCTGTGCATTGAGAAATTCTTATCTGTCCAGCGGTAGGTCATGGTAATAATCCCGGTCCACAGCAAACTCGATACGATGACAAGAGCGAGGTGATCAACCCGCAACTCAGTCTGTGATGAACATCACCACCCAAGTCACTACAACGACTCGAATCGCGCTGGACTCACGATAGTTAAGCTTTCGAAGTGTGATGTTCCAACCTTTGGCCAGGTACAAAAGAGTCTCCACGGTAGTGACGAAAGCTACAAGCTGAAAGGCCATTGCAATTGAAGGAAGTATACCGCGCTGCCAGTCGAGGTACATCCCAGCGGTTAGCTGTGCTGCGTAGGCAACAGATGCATAGATCACCTGTACTACCGGCACAAGTGCTATTTTGCGATGTAGATCTAGCACAGTGTCGGATGGAGCACACGCCATTTGCGCCATCCAGACCAAACCCAGCAGACTCCACAGTACGATCATGGAGAAATAAAACCACGCTAACGCACTATTGGGTTGTTGGAAGCACTTTCCACTTGCAGTGCACAGATTCATCGACACTGTGCCCTTGATCTCGTACTGCATTTGGGGAGTCATGATGCACTCTCTCGACCACCGCTCGTTCTCCGCCTCCGACCGGTTCGGGTAGTTCTCTGGGTAGAAGAAGCAAGGGGTTTTATTCCCAGTAGCGAGGTAATAATTATCTGCCACCGGTGGCGGGAACTCCATGCACGACCGAAGAATGCTCCGGTTCGCGCCTAACAGTTCACACGCGTCGATGAAGAAGGACAATTTCGTTAAAGTGTTGGAGTATAAGCCGCTGACCTTTGAAAACTCCGCCTGCCTCGTGATATTGTCGACTAAATCCGAGATTGTCTTGGTTGACTGATACACAATGCTGTTGGGTGACTGATTCTCAAGCGGGTACGACTTGCAGTAGTAGTCGAGCGTGCGGTTGGGCATGGCGCAGTGCATATCGGGGTGCGTTCCCTCCGCAGTGACCTCGATGATGATCGTTTTAGCAGGCTTTCCAGTAGTGTACACTATCGGAGGTGTGTAAAGCGCCGTAATGTCCGCGATCGCTTCCGTCGCAGGTTCGTCGCACACTAGCAAGTAGAACAGCACACGACCGTCGACGCCATCTCTGCTGCTGTTCAACGCGAGGCTGAAGTCGAGAGTGACTTCGAACGTTCCGTCGCGCCCAAACTCGTAAGCTGGTAGAAATTCTAACGACGAGAAGGAGTCGTTGCTGTCCAGGTACGTGTAGTGGTGGTACTTGAACGGAGCGAAGAGCGTGGTCGCTGTTAGTGGAATTTCTGGAGCTGCAACATTGTCTTGTGCCGAGGCTAGCAGAGCCAACTGGACAAATGTCCACCAAATAATAAGGAGGGTTTGAATTAACCGTTTACCGCGATGAGAAGCTTGCTTGGAATGCTATTGTAAGTCCTGGATGATTCGAAGGTAGAGTGTGCCGCTGTAGCACTGGGGTTGCAGCTCTGCTCGCGAGACAGAGGGGAAGGAAGGATAAATTTGAACCTCCATGATGATCATTTTTAGCTGGACGTAAAGCCAAGCAAAAATCAACTAGCAACGTCTTCTTGTTATTTGGTTAAATCGATCGATTGGGGTTGACGCGGAAGTAACCACGTACCAGTTTATTGGACTTCAAGTAAATCAGCGAAGATAGTTAAGCTTGCATTTGCAAGAAAAACTACTTTAAGTAGCAAAAACGCAAAACAGTAATTCGCAGTTCGTAGGGGGCCTCAGAAAAGTGTGAAGCATTGACATCCTGCAACATAACGGTCAGCGTTCGTAGGTTGCTTGATTGTGCCTGAAGTCCGGTACACTGTCTGTATTGTAAGGATTGACTCCTGGAGCCCGGTGCTGTGGTGGAACCGTCTCCAAGTGGAGGAATATGCCATCGTGCAGAGAAGCTTTGTCGCCGTAGTTGCCGATTCAGCTATTACAAAACTTTCGCCCTTGTAAAGAGCTGCAAACGGAAGGTTAGGCACACTGGTGAAGGTTCAATTTGATGAGGACATTCGTTTCAACTTCGAATTGATTCGTGACAGTCGATCTGGTGATCATGCGAATTTCATCGAAGCGGCCCGAGGTGAGAATGAGGATGTTTTCATGCCATACAATCTTGAATTACATTTCTACATTTTTTCAATCGCAATAGGTATTGAAGTCTGTTAGTTAAAAGTTTCCGTGGCTCCACGCCGCCCAGCCGGTCGTATTCTCAGCCCTGCTTTGATACCGGAGAACGGAAATTTAATACTTCAAGTATGGATCTTGCCAACTTGACAGTTTTGCGTGATATGACTGCTAGTGCAACGTCTGTACATTTCATTTAACCCCTAGGAACTTGTCCTGACCACAATAAACGTCGTTTCGATGGACCCACTACGTCCAGCCGACAACCTACGTGGTGATCACAAACTTGCTTAGGTCGATAGTGCATGTCTGCTGATAGCTCTTGAGAAACAGGCTCAAATATACCTAGTTCTGCTTAACATTCAACCCGCATTCTTATTCATGTTCGAGGCTGCGTTGCACGCAATTGTTCATATTGTTCTTGCGCTCGTCTTCTACATTCATTGTTTCTGAAATGCCGTGGTATTTTAGTAAGATGTGTACCCATAGTGGCAGTTTAGTAAATGAGCAAACTATGAGTGGTATAATATGGAAACTTTAAAATAGTTTTCCTTAATGTTTTTATGCTAGTAGCTTTTTCCTGCGGTTCAGGTATAAACGGTACGCTGAGCAGTGCTAATAAAATAAAAGACTGTAAACCAGACGGCAGCGAGATGTTCAAAAACAAATATTGTGCCTTGCAGAGATTTTGCCCTTCGTTTTGACCTCGAATATCGTAGTGGTCGGAAAAGATAAAACCGACCTTGGTAGGGGTAGGTTTGGATAAGTATGAGGTCAAGTCGCTGTTTTGCCTCCCCCAAGTTTATCTAAATCCGACCGCTTCGGTGGCTGTGAGCACACGGCATTTGTGCTACGCTCGCTGCATTCAGATTGTAAGCATCCTGACCCTGCCTGCTTGCTGCAAGATTTGCGAGTAGCACGAGCTCGCTCGTTATATACATCACGAGGTGTGAGAAGAAGCTCGGGGTCCTCCACCAAAATGCTACCGACAAGTACTAATGCTACTCATGTGTTTGCAACAGACTGCTGTAGAGATAATGCGATGAAGTAGAGCATTAATGCTGTCCAAGTAGGCGCGTTCCTGTCGCCAGCAAAGCAGCGTCTCGGCCCAACGGGTGCTCCATCAGGCCTCCTCGGCGTAAGCCACGCCGGCGCCGTTGGCGGAGATGTTGGTGCCAAGGATGGCACGGGTTGTCGGTTCGTGTAGGAGCGCTCGTGCGGAGCTTGCGGTCTATCAGCACGGGGGTGCCCGGAGAGTCGTTCACGGCGGCGAAGAGTGGCATGAGCTTCACAGGTTAGCGGGTTGTCGTCGGCGGCAGTCGACGTGCAGCTGCCAGTGGACCTGGCCCCAACGCGACCGGGTCGATAGACGTGTGGTGCAAGGAGCTGAGGTCAGCGCTTTAGTCGGCCTGGCTGACTCGGCCCTCACGCAACTTCAGGGTACTGCCGTCGAGGCGGTAAAAGCTGCGAGCATGGCGGGTAGGCCGGCGACGCGAGTCGCTGTGTACTCCTAGGCTAGTAGTAGAAGGTGTCGGAGCTGGTAGTGGCTGATCGAGCTCCGCTGTTCGTCAAAGCTGCAATGGTTGACTATACTTCAGTATGGAGCTTCTAGTTGAAGTATCGCTCCTGTTTATACTGAGGTTTCTGTAGTATAGTTTAACCAAGAGGGGGTTGTCATTTCTCCTCCTCAATCCCATTCTTTCCGTGGGCAAGCAAGCTTGTGTTCCTGCGTTGTCGTGTCTTGCCCTCCACCGTCACCGACACTACGTGCCAGGAAGCACAGACATCCCACTGCGCACTTTAGGGTACTGCCGTCGAGGCGGCAAAAGCTGCGAGCATGGCGGGTAGGCCGGTGGCGCGAATCGCTGTGTACTCCTAGGCTAGTAGTAGAAGGTCCCATAGCATTTTAATGTAACCGAAGCGAAGGAAAGTTGCTTTTTTAAAACTGTCCATCTAAAGCTTCTGTTTCTTCTGCATAAGTCTCTACTGTACGCCTGCGTAGGTGGCGTCCTTTCAACTTGACTTCTTGCTCGTCGTGGACGACGCTATCTCTCGTGTACTTGCGAGACGCGAATTCGTTCGAGCTGGCAAGCAGCTTTGTGTGTGTAGCGATCGAAACAAGAGCACGAGCTTGCAGCACCAGCTTGACCAGTGGGTTCTACAATAAGAGTATCCTGGTGTGTAGTAGCGCCGGTGTCGGAGTCGCCACAAGAGCGGCATCCGATATGGCGCGACGGCGCGACAGCCGCATCCAATATAGCGGGAGGGCGGTCGTTTTGGCCGATTTAAAACGGCAATTCCGACCTGCTTGATCAGCTCGACCGAGGTTTGCCAAGCTAAATCGTACCTCCACCTGAAGTGTTCCGGCTTTATCTCTGAGCTGCAAATTATATCCGACCCGATATATCCTACTTCTGAGCATCGGAATTACCAAAAAATTTGCAAGGCACAATACTTGTAAACTGGAAAGCCGAGTTAATCTAGACCTATTATTACAGTTGTGTTGTTGTCTGGTCCAGTGCCCCGCAAAAATGTCCTTGAAATTCTCGATGCCTTCTCAGTTCGAGAAAGAAGAGTGTTTGTTGGTGCTGAGCGAAACGTTTTTATTAATACGCATACATGAGTGAAATTTGAAATTTGGGACTTTGCATCCAGTTATTCGAAGTCGCCTCGTAATTGACACTGACCTGTGTACTGCAAGTGATCCTACTCCACGTTAAAATTCACGCGGATTAGTATTACTGACCTCACTGGAGGCTGGTATAAATATGTGTTATACAATACTACCTTTTGCTCAAATTTTCATTTTGTATCACATTCCGGAATTTTTCCTATACAATACTTTCATATAGAAAGCAAGTATCAGTATTAATACAGATTGCATTAATTTTTTTGGTAATACATATACAAAACGTTCCCCATAATCTAGGGCCTCTCGAGGCCGCGTTTACACTCATTCAGACTAAAAGAACTTCGTTTAGGGTGGGTACTCTAGTTGTCGCTCATGGCCGATGACAAAGCACAACTGTAGTAGTAAATTGCTAAGAGGATTTTGCTTAGTTTTTGCAAAGGTTCATACCATCATTTACATCTATACAAATAGCATCAGAATGTATATTCTTTTGACAACTGGTCCCTGGACACAATTAGAATATCAATCCATGCTCTCTAAACGGATATCATATATATATATATGCATTTGTTGCGGTTATGGCGACAACGCCCGATGTCGTATCCCCGCCAACAGAGACCACGACGAACCGTAGACCTTGCGGAAGTTCCAACTGATATCAAATATGATATGCACAGTTTAACGACATTTCTTAAAATGGATATACACCATTTAGAGACACTCTATTGCGGGGATCAGGGGATTTACATTGTTGATAATGCAATTCACGTGAAATCAGTTCTAAGGTTTACAAAAATACATCCATCAGGGTAGCTCGTTTACACCACGCTTCACGGCTCTCTCTTTTTACCACGGCAACAATCAGCTGCCCTTACAGCTTTTTTGCGCGATCGACCAGCAACACCGCAACGTCAATGGAAATTCCACACACAAAAAACATTCGAATGAACGGCATCGCTTTCTGCTCCGTCGGCATAGCATCAATTACAAGGGTAAGGTATTGCAGAGGTTCCTATTTCCTACTACAACCTCCACTTCCTATTTCCAATTCCAGAATTTGACGGGTCACGAGCAAGTGTCTGCCAAGGGTCGCCTCCAAGGATCTCCGGGCCCTTGGTTTTTCTGGGGGGAATCCTCCCTAGGGAGCCCAGGAAGGAGCATGGCGGCACGGCTTGCGCGTGATCATGACCGACGACGGGAGTCGGCACAGGAGCAGCTCGCGCGCGACGACGGCGATTGCGCTCCAAGAGGGCGGCGACTCTATGAGTCGTTGCCACGGTGGTGGAAGACCCAGCCTTCGACCACTCTTTCAAGCTCGCGGCAGGCGACTGCGGTTCAAGCACTCAAGCCACGCCTCCACGGAGGCATTTGGGCGGTGGCCTTCGGGATGCTGCCGTCATCTGATGTTGTTAGAGCCTAGGCTCACGCATCCTTCAGCACGCGCCGGACGAACGCGATCAACGCTCAAGTCAAGTCTCCATGGGACAGCGGCCGACGGCCGCACAACAGGAGGTGCAGGGCCCCTGTCCTGTATCTGCCGACCTCGTGGGTGGCGAGTACGAACCACCTGACCTCGCTTGAGGTCGCGCTTTGCACTGATTTTCAGACTTTCCCACCAGACTCTGGTCCAGAGAGCCCCTTCCCTAGTGAGGTGAGGCCCCCGGTCTTTAGCAGTCGTTAGCGATCGTATTAGCTAAGTGACAATGATGATCCTCAATTCAAAAACAAACAAACAAACAAACAAACAAACTTCCTATTTCCTACGTTCCTACCGACAGCTTACTAGCTTTATACAGCAGTTTCAGACGCAGCTTTGCTCTTTCAGCTTCTTCGTTCAGCTTCAGGCACTACCACCAGAGCAGCTTCACGGTCAGCGCTTCTTCTTCTTCTTTGGACCGCCAGTGGCATCTGGAGACCATGCGTCACGCAGCTCATTGTCGGCTGGAGACTCCTGCAGCTCCAGAGCCACTGCATTACTTTTCGGCACACTACATGGCGTCCCAGTTCTGCGGTGGAGATGACCAATTCGGCAAAGATTGGCGAAAGTGTTTTGATGGCTCTGTACAACGAAGATATACACTCCTACTTGTTTGCGTATTTCATTCCTGGAGCCCCTGCACAAGTTCTGGACAATAGTGCAGGTAATATCGGATGGGTATTGCCGGACACTTTGCTACATGCACTCCCTCGGATGGGATTCGATCTCTCACGCGAAAGCAGCAAATGCATCCATTCAGCATGCAACACAGGATCGCCGCACCATTGTGGAGATACCGAGCCCACCAGACTATATCAACGTCGTACTAATACATCGGGATGGATCCGACAACAGCGGTGAAAGATGGCCACCCGAAGCAAACTTCGACACGGAGATGATAGTCGATGCTGGCGGAGTCACTCACAAACGGAGGGTTATCGTCCCAACTGGACTTTTGTCTGATAAGGGAAAAGATTTGTGTTGCGTGAAGTTTTCTCATCTTAGTTCCAAAGTCAACAAGCAGTACAAGTCAGAGGTTGCAAACGGCCAGCCGAAATCTCTCACGGGTCTGATTACGGATAGCCACGGCTGTCCGGCCGGACACCACGGCCGGCTGCGGATAACCGAGATTCATTGTAAATATCAACTTTAGCTGTTCTAGCTTCGATTGTTACAGCCAAAAGGACTGCTCTTGACGTTGACAATGAGTATTGTGGCTAAAGGAAGCGGTATTGAGGCCTCCAGCGTTGAATAATGTCCGTATCACCAGTCAAATGTAGAAATAGCTTGGTACGAAAATATCAGCTGTTTTACGGCCAACCAAAGCCAAAATGCCGGCCAGCCGTGGCTGGCCGAATGAAATCCACGGCCGTCCACGGACAGCCGAATCCTGCCTCGAGGTTGGCACGGCCGGATACGGAGTCCGTATCCGGCGTATTACGGACAACCGGTTTTCAGCGTTTGTGACCTCTGGTACAAGTACACCATGCATGCTGTTGAGCTAGCTTTCGTTGAAACCACATAGAAAGAGCAAGGGGCAACTCTAAAACGGGTCGCACTACTGCTCGACGGATGTTAAACTAAACCAGTCTGGGCCTTTGAACATTTGTATATTGGAACGAGATGGACTGCGATGTTTACCATTCACTTCCTCGTACCATCGAGAGAAAAAAAGACTACTAAAGTTACGAACCAACATGTACTGTACACAGTCAAGCGGTTAATGAGTGTTGACGAGAACGGCTACTGTAAGTGTTACAATAATGCAAGATCTCACATTTCACATTCAATGTAATATCTGTCCTCCCAGCCTCAAGCAACGCCCCTTGTTATGAGAAGAAAAAAATGAGTCCAAAGCATTCTATCGTTAAATTGTTAACTTCAACGGGAGGCCTCATCTATTTCGGCTTCAAATGATAGGATGTACTGCTTTACTGCTAACCCAAAACTGAGATTTACGAGTCCAGTGCACCATCGCGCAACATGGACCAGTATGGCAGTGGCACCTCGAACGACCAGTTGGGTGACTCGTATCGGTACGAGTGTAGCCACAGCACCTCGCTCTCCTCCTCTACAGTTAAAGCTCCCTCACTTTCAGCTACGCAGACATCGCATACGGAGATGCATCGCTGTTCATCGTCATTGTCCTTGTCTTCAGCAGCATTCGCGTCAGTGCCAGTGTTGTGCTCGTCGCTCTTGTTAGTAGCTTGAGGTTGTTCTGACGAGGCTTCAGTGAACTTGTCGTCGCTAACAGGTCCGTACATCGGGTCATTCACAATGGGGAAGCCTAGATGCTGCAGGTGCACGCGGATCTGGTGCGTCCGCCCCGTCACAAGTCGGCACTCGACGATGCTCTCGCCCCGAACAGCTCGTCCTCGACGACGCATCAGCGTCACGCAAGGCTTGGAGTCCGCAGCGTCGATCACACAACGCGAATGGCCCTGTCGTGGCTGCATCAACCCGATGGGCGCATCCACGCGCCAGTAGCCGTCATCTGTGCTTTCGACCTTGACAAGGCCCGAGTTCAGCCCCACAACCCAAGCAAACCCCGCTTCGTCATCGGGAAACTCGCCCTTGACTCTCGCAACGTAATACTTGTCCACCGAGCGGGTTCCAGCGCCGTCCACCGACAAAGTAACGGTCAACTCGGCAGTGAGAGTGCGGGCCTTGTTCGCCGTCTTGGCCAGAATGAGCAACCCGGATGTGAGTCGATCCAGCCGATGCACTGGAAAAAGCTCCAACGTCGTCTCCGCCTCATTCTCCTTGTCCTTTGTAGCGCCATGCCGATCGTGCTGCAGCATGTGCGTCAACGAGTTGAGCTGGTAGCTCCCCGTCGGGTGGACGGGGATGCCCGACGGTTTGTCCACCACCAGCAACTCGTCCGTCTCCAAATGTATCCAACGCGCGGACAGAGACGTCAGAGTGGACGAGTTGGTCGCATCGTCCACCGGCAGATGGACGCTCGGTTCGTGTCGATGCTTGAGGTGCTCGAAGAAGTCCCCGCCTTTGATGACCGCGTCCAACTCGGCCGCGACGCCGTTCACCCTAATGAGACCCAGCTGAGCTGCTCGGGCGCAGTAGGCGGTGGACAGCGTCGGGAACTCGCTGGCGAACAGCTCGCGCAGTGTGCGACCGGCCCAACGGCCTTTCACGAACAGCGCAAAGCGGTGCACGTAGGGTTCGATGCTACGGACGACGCAGTCGCTGCCTGCCACTCGATTGGCACAAGTGGCGGACGCGCACGCTTGGTAGTGGACGGCGGCGGACGGAGGTCCACTCGCACTTGCGCGACTCTGACGCTGGTTCCGGCGCTTTCGCTTGGATGGTGCGTTGTCCTCAGCTAGTTGTGCAGCCTTGCGCTCTGCCAGCCATCGGGCTTTCTCCTGCTTGCGGCGCTGCTTCTTGCTCGGCGGAGGTGGAGGGACGTCCGCCATTGCAACTGTGAACCAAAAGTTGCAATTTATGGTGTTGTAAGAAATGGGCCCCGTAAACTATTATGACATGTCAAAAAAGTATTTTACACGTCAACGTGCGTAGCGAAGAGCTCGAAGAGCTTGACGCAGTCAATCTTCCATTTCGGGTCCATGCTCTAGTATCGGATAAATCTTCAGTCCTGGTTGTTTCTGCCCAACTTGCCCTCCCGTGGCTCGGCAGCGAGCCCCATTTAGAGACTGAATTTTGGCACAGCGATCCGATCCTCCGTGGTTTGCGCTCAATGCGTTCCTCATCTTGGCTAGTTGGAGGTGTGCCCTGCGAAGAATGGAGGCGAGCTCTTCGCGTTTCTCTCCGTCTGATTCGCTGCTTCTAGACATCCGGCGGCTTGTCGAGAGTAGCTGTTCGTATTGAGCCTCCAGGGCTTTGACTTGACGCTGGAGGTCCCCGAGCAGGTTCTAAATACAAGCAACCAGAGTGACAACAGCTCAGTATGTCCTCAATCCGTCGACGTTCATACCCATTCATCTGCATAGACCTCACCAGCTTTTCGCGCACGCTTTCCTGGGAAGCACTGACAGAGTTAGCCCGTACTGACGGAGTGCCTTGAGCGGCAGAGGTCTCCATTATGACGAAAGCTGGCAATGAACGGCTTGAGTGTAAGTTGATCTTGTGAAACTCTGGAGAATGAGGCTCTGCGAATTTGGTCGAGACGCCAGCAAAGGAAGACCAAGTGCATTTCGCACAACCATTTGTCGCGGTCTGGCTTGATCAGATTTTCGCAGATGTTAGCATTGAACGTGGCAAGCGCGCGTCTGGAAGCCCAACGAACGAAGATGACGACGATTGTAGCTGGTGGTTCACTCATATAAGCGCATCGGCAATCTTTGCCAGCTCGTTTGTGGTTTCTTAGCCTTACTCCAAAGCGTCGGCGGAGCCGCACTTGGCGCGACTAGACGAAGCTAATAGAAGTGTATCTCTCAGAAGTTCGTCAGACTCATACATGTATGCTGATGGAGAAACGAGCTCGAAATAATCCACTGGCGCACTTCGGAGACTTATTCCAGCTGTCGATCTCTTCAACTCGGACCTCGAATCTTGTCTTGGTCTGCAATGCACTCTCAGATATATCCACGCACAAGATGAACCACAAAGAATCAGCAAGCTTTCGCGATAAGTTAACGATCTATTAGTCAAAACCAAATACAAAATAAAAACACGTATGACCACGGTATCAATTGCTCAACGAGAACATGGGCGAGATCAGCGACGACTCGAAGCGGAGCACGAGGAACAAAATCTCCATGAGCCAGTACCTGACGCCGCCCTTGGGGATATTCACGTAGTTGCCTCCGTACTGCACCACACAGCCGACTTCCGGGTGGTTCGGGTCCGAGGGCATGAAGCGCAGCACCGTGAGCGACTGGGTCCAGATATCTGTCGCACACACGCGCTCCTTCACGTCGGGCAGGTCGAGCGTCCGCACGAAGTAGACGAGATCGTGCTCCCTCCTCACGCGGTTGATGACTTCGATAGCGCGCGACACGCGCCCAGTCTGCGGGTAGCAGATGACCCGGTAGATGATGATCGCGTCGTCGCAGACCTTTTGCAACAAGTGTTTCTGCAAGACCAAGAGCACAAAACAGTAAGCGACCTATACACAATACCTAGTCCCCTCTCTCTCAGCAAGAAACTCACCCGAATAAAGAGCGACGGGCTGAAGAAGCTGGCGTAGCTGTCCGTTGTCAGTCGCTGCCATGTGACGTTCCAGAGGTTCTCGGCGCACACGTGCGGGAAGGCCTTGTGCAGCGTGAACTTGACACTCGTATTCTCGACGTGGCGGCGGTCGGACCAGCCCATGACGTTGATCCCCGACTCCTGCATGGCCTCCTGCGTCAGGATGCCGTCCACGCTCTGCAGCGTCTGGCACACGAGCTCCTGCCACTGCTGCAGCGAGAAGGGCGTGAACTGCTGCTCGACGGCCGCGGCCTCCCGCTGGAAGATCATCTCGAGCGCCTCGAGCGTAGACACGGCGGGCGGCGCCGCGCCCTGCGCCTGCTCGTGCTGCTCGAGCAGCGTCTTGTTCTCGGTCTCGAGGGCCTCGCGCTCGCTCGAGAGCTTGAGCACGGCCACCTGCTTCTCCAGCGCCGCGATAGACTTCTTGACGCCCGCCAGCATCTCCTTCTTGCGCTGCATGAAGCGGCGCTGCACCTCGCGGTGCTTCATACGCTTCTCCTCCACGGTCACGCGCTTGCGGCCGCCCCTGCGCGGCTGCGGCTTCTTGGTCTCCCCCATCTTGACGGACGCGGTCGAGTTGGACGAGTCCGCGAGCGACGACGAGCTGGGCGACGGCAGCAGCAGCGACTCGAAGATCTGCTGGTCCGTGTCGCTCCAGTCCTCGGGCAGGAAGTCGGGCCGCGACGCGTGCAGCTCGAAGGTCAGCGGCGCGTGCGCGTGCGGCGGCTGCGCGAACGGAGACGCCATGTATTATTAGAGGTGATGACGGGGCTGCGGAACGGAAGTGTAATTGAGGTCGAGGAAGAAGAGCGGAAGACGAGGGTGCTCGGCTAAGTGCGAGTACCTACGTGTGTGCAGAGACGGGAGTGGAAATGTGAGAATGCGTACATTGCGAGATGAAGTATCTGGATTGGATGGCGTTTCGATAGAAAATAACGTGGTGTGCACCTGCGAGAAGAGATATAGAGGATCACGGGCACACTGGCGAAATCATATTCGACGGGATCCGATACCAGCCGGCGGCGTTCCTAGCCAAGATGCAGACGGCAGTGTGCCACCTGCTTGGTCTAATAGTCTAGTAGAGTGCTTGCCGTCTGGGCGCGCGAGCGCTGCAGCTGGAGGCGCTTGCGCTCTACGGCGGCGACGGCGGCTGCGTCCGCGCAGCGTGAAAGATCCACGATCGACGTGCGCACAGGAGTTGAAGCCGGGGAGTGGGACGCCCCAGGCGTTAAGCGGTCCGGCTAGCTGGATTGGGCAAGCGCCGCTGACTACCGCCGGACGCGCATGCACGCCGCCGGCCGCGCGCACTAATGGCCCACGTCACTCGCGACGGTCTGCTAAGAAGGCAGGAGCTGCCTTGGTACAATTGCCGCCTCCTCCTCCTCCTGCTACTGGGTTGGCGGCCATTGCCAGAAGGCTCGACTACCGGCAGGACTTCGAGGCGTTGGAGAGGCGCGGGTCTGGCTCCACGGCTTTCGAGTAGGTAACGGACAACTCGGCGATGCAGTGCTCGACTATCTCGAGCCATGAAGTCCCCAGCAGGCTCTCGCGGTGTTCGCGACCGACTCGTGCGCCTCGTTATCCTCGAGATCTGTCGGCGGTGACGGGGCCAGATTCGAAGCAGAGACCAAGCCAAGTTGAAGCGAGCTGACACGAAGCCGTTTCCGCGCAAAATACGTCATGTTTCGCCGGTTATTCCCCCAGAGTCTTTCTCCTCGGGGGCAGGAAGGAAGGAACCGGACCAACTAACTAACTTGGTGCTGAGCCAGCCTCTCCCCGTCTGCACTGCGCAATTGGCCCTGGAGCCCACTGACTCGACAACGCAATGGCGGCTCGCGAGTCGGTCGAAGGCGTGCTCGGACACCTGACTATCGCGCTCCATGCAGAGAGCTACGCCCCGGGGGAGGTCGTCACGGGTGTCGTGAAGCTCTCGACGCTGGAGCTGATCCAGGCGCGAGAGCGTAAGTCACACGTCTGCTGTTTGCGAACCTACATCTGGTTCACTCACTCACCAAGCTGTGCTCGCGTTCGTTCCCCCCTACACTTGCAGCGCTGGCAGTGCTTGTCCAAGGCAAGGAGACCGTTGCATGGGACGAAGGAGGCTACAACCCCGTCACGAACGCCTTCGACAAGATTTTCCTTCAAGAAAAGGTCGGTAGGCAAAGACAATGTGCGTTCAGGTGTGGGAGTTTTGTGTGTGTTAACTCTTTCATGCTGCAGATTGAGCTGGTCCCGACCACGCTCTTCAGTGCTGGTGACTCGGAGTACAGCTTCAACTTCACGCTGCCGAAGGACTTACCCTCGAGCTTTGAGCTGACCGACGTCTACAGCGGAACGGCCGAGCGGCTCCGCGTTCGCGTCAAGTACGAGGCGAGTGTTTGGCTCAGAGCGGAGGGCGACTCGGTGGCGTATTTGCAGACGTCGCAGGAGTTTTCCGTGCATGCCCCACCGACAGCGACCCCGCCGGCGCGGGCTCTGGAGATCACAACGTCGGAGGTGGTGCACTGGTTGTGCTGTATCAATCGCGGCAGTCTGCAGATGATGCTCGAGATTCCGAAGGATGTTTTTGTCGCGGGTGAAGTGGTGCCACTGGTCTGTCGAGTGGACGGATCTGCCTGTAAGGCGTCCGTCAAGTCGATCTCGGTTGAGTTGATCGAAGATGTAGCGCTGCGGAATCTAGGAGAGCGGCCAGACTGGACTGTCACGCGTCAGCTATCGACGCAGCAAGTGTTTGGTCCCGACGCCGGCCACAAGGGGGAGCAAGTGGTGGAGGTCGGGCTGGTTGAGAACGACAAGAAGACTGCGATTAACCCGGATGTGGCCACGCATTTCTTCCGATGTACTCATCGACTGATCGTTCACTGCAAACCGTTTATGGCGCAGAGTATCATGGCCGAAGTGCCTGTGAGAGTGCTGCACCACAATACGTCGTTCAGCACAGGAGCAGTTCGAGTGCTGAGATTGCCCGCAGAAGCGACTTCCGGGAGCAAAAGTCCGTGACAAGCTTGCGGTTGGCCGCTGATATCAAAGTGCACAGGAAAATGGAGCAGTCTGGATAGGGCACCCTTTCTCAACGTTCGTGTGCGTGACGATCCTAGTTGCAACCAACAGGATGCTATTCTGAGGTCGATTGCCAGGTCGGATAACGATGGCCAACAGTGCGACCGAAGAAAATCATAGAACTCAAAACTTGAGCTGCGTTACATACCGGTATACGCATGTCATTTTAGTGTACGAAGTGCACAGATTCATATTCGTACAGTGGACGCCTGCCAAATATAGCATAGTCGAGCGGCTTATCTGCAGCGATTAAGCCCGACTTAAAAAAAATATATGTCGCTTTATCGCAAAAAATCTCTACCACAAAGGTGTTAAAAGTGCTACCTGTGTCCGACCGATAGTGTCCTGAATAAGGCTGCTGCTACAGTGACGTTGGTACAGTGAGGAGTGTACCCGTCACTTTGCCTCGGACACGCCGAGCGCATGAATCCTTCTAGATTTCCTCATTCTGACTTTTGCGCACGTCGAGCACAAGCCCCTCTCGCGGACGTGCTGCTGCTGCTCACAGACGCCATCGTGAAGCAAGGTGAGGCGCTGCACGTCGCTCGCCGTGAGGTCTTCCGCCTCCTGGTCGAGGAGGCAGGGAAGGTGGCGATGCGCAGCCGCCATTACCTCACGGCTCAATGCCTGGACATGCCCTGCGAATCTGCGTGGATGGTCCTGTACAGATACGGAACTGACATCAACTTCGTAACCCCACCAGCCTTACCAAGTACGTTGAACTGCAGGTGTGTTGCATCAGATGCGTATATTAACAGTACATGAATGCTATGAATGATACAGGTCTTCCTTTCACCAGCTACTGCGCCGGTTCACTAGCTACTACTACATCCCCCGCGCCCGCTCCAGGGGCCGACCGCTCAAGCTCCGATACCACCATTAGGTGTTGGGGCTGGTCCTATGCTTCTATGTTGGCTCCATGGAGCTGAGCAGCTTGATCATGCTGTTCGGTGTTCCTCCGAGTACATTGGCGCGGACCCTGCGACGGGCTGAGGAAGCACTGTCCAAGACACTGGACAACTACGCCCCCGTACGCATCGCATGGCCGTCACCCAGCCGCCAGACTGAGCTGGCGAAGCTCGTCGAAGCTCGAGAGCCTCTGCTGAAGCACACCTTCGGCTTCATCGATGGGAAAAACTTTAAGGTGCACACAAACGCTCATTATGAAACTGAATTGTATTGCGATAAGTTACAGCTACGTTTTGTTGCTATGAAGGTCCAGCAGCCCTCGAACGCTGATCTACAGAACGCCATGTACAATGACTGGCTGCACTCGGTGTTTGACAACGGGACGATCTGCTTCGCGGCAGACGGATGCATCGTGTGGGTCAAGCACAACTGCCCCGGGTCGTGTAACGACTCCGACACGTCGCTGGACTTCAGGAACAAGTTGCTGGACCCCCTGTACTGCCCCGACCCGCGCAAGAACGTCGTCTCGGACTCGGCCTTCCCATGCTCCACTGCCATGGTCGGCCGCATCATTACGCCGCTCAAGGACGGCGACCTCGAGCGCCTGCACCCGTCGCTGAGGAGCTCGGCGCGGACCATCCACAACGCCATCACCTCTGTGCGGCAGGCTGCGGACTGGGGCATGGGAAGCGTTCAAAAGGTTTACAGTCGCCTCAATCTACCACTACCTCACGAGCCGGCACTCCGTGGGCTCAGACTGAACAATTTGTTCCGCTTGGCAAACTACCGTGTTCGCACGGTTGGTATCTCGCAAATCCGCACAACCTTCGCGGGCGAGATGGAGCTGCCAGCGCACCTGTATTGCTAGTTTGGTCTTTGTAATGCATTACAATACATGTAGTTGTGCTGCTTGATGAATACACTTATGGACTTTGAACGTACATGTCTGTCTCGAGCTAGTAAAAGCAAGAAATTCACGTTGCTGTCTATAGATCTACCACGAAGTTGTAAGACATGCAAACCATGAGCTTTGCTGGTTAACCCACCGGCGACCGTTATCTCGATTTTGCTGGGATAAGAAAAACCTCGGGGGAAAGTGCCGGTTCAAGCCATACAGGTGGTTAGGGTAACTGCGACTCTTCAAGGTCCCGCCGAGAGCGTTTTGGCCAATGCGATCTGTTTGCGGATTTCTCACCTTGAAAGGTAAATGGGCATGGGTGCCGGGCTTCCGCGCCACCATTGGCCACCGCACAAACATTTACACCCGCAGATTGCCAGGTGCCCGCGAAGGATTAGCGCTTCTCCGCTATGGTAAAATTCTGAGTTGATAGGATGCACCGCTCACTAATGTTAACTTTCTTTTCCCTTGTATCATTGCCTTCTATAGATGCCTTGACACGCGCGAGGTACGCTGGTCGAGGAGCTACGAGTACGGCTCTGCGGGTACCACTGCGAAAACCAATTTGTTTCGATCGAGACCTGGACGCTCCTGTTCGTGGAGGAGCCCGACCGCTACTTCGGCAAGGTACGTGAGGCGTCAGGGCTACTGGATCTTTAGCAGAAGGGAGGCTGACGCTGAGAGATGTTGTGGACTCGGTAGGTGTGCGAGCTGGACACCATCTTCAACCCCCACAAGGTAAGGCGGCGTCTTGGCAGCTTTGGCGTTCATATCTAGGGGCTCATGCTGGTGTTGTTGTTGTCGACAGGCGTATTACATTCAGAACGAGCTGTTCACCGGCTACTCCCGGCAGGAGTTGAGCAAGAAGGCGATCTTGCGCATCTGCGCCCACCTAAGCTACGTGCCCCCACCACTGAAACCATGCGGGTGCTGACACTTCACCCTAACGCAAGTCGACTCCACAGCGAATGTCCAAGCGCGGTGCCGAAGGCACGACGGTGGAAACAAGCGGCAGGGAGGACGCCAAGAGCACGACAGGGACAGCGGGGTGTGGCAAGACTTCAATCACGACATATACAACGGCGGCTTGAAGCATGGAGTCTTCATGGTCAGTTGGGGTCTGGTTACGGAGCCCACGATGCCGTACGTCGACTCGAGTAAGCTCGTCCGCTTCGAACACTTCATCTTGTATTGGGTTCTCTAGACCTCGTATGACAGCTCATGGGGCGACAGCGGCTTCATTACGCTGTCAAACTCAACTGCAGGTCGAAGTTGATTAGAGTTGTGATTGATTTTCATGCAATTAATACATAGTTGTTGGTTTGAACCTCGGCGGCAATGTTAGAGTAGTGATCGTAGTTACTGCATCGACCATCTTGGTTCAGCTGCGTACAGGTGTAAATCCCGAAGGGAGCTGCTGTAAGTCATCGGAACCTAAATTGTTTTCAGTAACTTCCACCGCTTGCAAAACGAATTTCGGCACGTATTACGATGCCGCGGACACACTCGTGTTATCAGCGCCACCAGACGTAGATGAGGTAGCTTCATGCACAAAGCACACATTGCCAAAACCACATCTTCTTCGAACACAGTGTCGTGGCAAAATAAAAGGGTGGCGGAGCTGATAAGGGAGCTGGGTCGAGCCAACTTCGAGTCTGGATCAGCACTGATAACAGTATCGCTGCCTTCAGCAATATTGCGGATGTCTGCGGTGACGACGCTGATCTTGAGCAAGTGTGGAAAGCGCGATGCCCTAGACGCATTCGGCTCCATACCTCTAGCGGCCAGGTCACGTTGGATCTCAATACCAACCACACGAAATGCTTGCGTTTGCAGAGCGATTTGAGCAAGAACATTTCCCACGCCGGATCCAGCACCCAGAAACACGTCATTCACTTGAATATTCGCTTCTTCGATCAGCATGGACACCCCAGCCATTGTAATCTCCCCGGTATTTAGCTGACGTTCACTCGCGCGCACATCACGCCTGGTGAGTAGGCAGTGTCGTGTAGGAACACGCACTAAATTATATAATAGCACACTTTCCCCACCAACAACACCCACCAAGTCCCGATGACTCAATGGGCTTGTTAGGGTTAGAACCTGAAGGTCCAGGAACTTTCCCTTGCACCGGGTTGACGTTTCCTCTGTGCACCGTGTTTCCGCTTAGTCAACTGACGGAAACCCAGCGTCACCAGCCACGAGCAAAGGCCGGCACGCTCTCACACGCAATATAAACCTCGCAGGCCCTCAGGAAGGAAGGGTCCCAGCCAGTCACGGCTTGATACGAGGGTGCCGGAGCTATACTCCGACGGGAAGGATAAATGGAGTGCGCTCTCGCTCCTCCACTACACGGCGATGACTCGCCCTTCGTATACACGGCCACTTCTTCACTACTCTTGGCCTGACCACGGGTAAACGCACGCTACGATACTAGCAGGCTGGTCCACCGACAGTCATAATCCTACCAACAGGTTTATCCAATTGCTACGGGAACTCACCGATAGCCCGGACGTCTTCCTTGAGTGGTTGGGAGGAAAAGCTGTTCTGTTCTTGTTGCCCAAAGGGCTTATCTGTTCTATCTTCTCTTTCCTATGGTTCAATACAAATATCTAGTATAAACGTGTCCGTTTTGGATCTTCCCAAGTAACCACCGACCCTTCAGAGCCTCCTCGACGCCCCAAGAGGCCTCTCGATGACTCTATTGGACGATGAAGGGGTTCCCTGACTTGGAGCAGTCGCCGGGGCTCGAACGGTCGTCTTAAGTGCGGATCTCGGGTCAAAGTTCGCTGTTGGTTCGGATCGTACTTGAAGTCCTGGATCTCGAACTTGGGTGTCGACGAGTCATCGGCACCGGTCCAGAATTGCCAATCAGCATCCGCCGAACATTGCTGAACATGTCCCGACGACTCGGGTCGCCACTGAAGCTTGGTCGTCAGCTCGATTCTCGTTTACCGCCAAAGCACTACACCACACAGAATAGTCCTTCAGTGGCGTTGTACGTTTCTTGCGGTGATAGGATCGAAATGATATGTGGTGAAGGCGAAAACCTTAGAGGAGACGCGGCTTTGGCTTCCAAATGCAGTCCTGCTCGGTCTGGTGGCGGGCGGAAATAGCGTGGATAGGAAACTCAGCACGTTATTGCCATATCGTCTCTTGAGCGTCTTGATTCGCTGTTGCAGTTTGGTTGCGCTCCATGTTGACGGCCTCATGTCTTTCTCCACTGACACCCAGTCGATTCGTCTTCCCGCTTGCTCGTACACCGCCGCGAGCTGAACGAGTTGGCGATCCTCTTCATCTGAAAAGTCGGCCATTTTTCGCTTCGGATACTGTCTATACAAACTCAAGTAAAACGACCCTTTGGGGGTTCATACTGAAACCGAGTTTATTTTTTTTGGATTTGTAAGTCAACGTTGGGTCGCTGCCGACCGAGTCAATGTAGACTCGTTCAGAGTCGACGTTGACTTCGCTATTACTGAAACTAGTACGTTTGAGTCAATGTCGACTTGGTTTAAGTCCATGTTGACTTCGCGATCAATAAAACAAGCGTATTCGAGTCAAAGTTGACTCGCTCTGAGTCCTCGGTGACTTGAAAATGTGTATTCATTCATCGTTATGCAGCAGCACACACAACTACAGCAGACTAAGGATTAATGGTTTTCTCCAACACGCCCAATGCTTCCATAATCTTCGCGCATACACACGCGTATCTGCCGTGGTCCATCGAGTGAATGACGGTACCTGTCTTGTCGTGGACCAACTCGTTTCTTTTCTCCCAGAATTCGACCGCAAGCGCGTTGAACTCTTCAGCGTCCGCCGTCTTCGCCATAAACGCCTCCTTCATTTTGCCCAGAATGAAGTCGCGCTTCTTCTGCATTGTGCTCGTGTTACCCACAGTTTTTTCAATCCAGAGACAATGAGAGTCAATACAATGTCAAACCACACTGAAGCAAAAACTCAAGCGGCTTACCATCTCGGATGACGGCGTTCCATTCCGTGAACTCTTCGATAGCTTTCTCGGTCACCGCGCTATGCTTGAACATACTCAACTACAGCTCTAGCCTCGCGATGGTGTCTTGCAACCCGCTGTTCTCCGTTTTCACCGGCCTTCATCGATTCCAACTGCGTTCTCACTCCATCCCGTTCTGTTTGCATCGCCGCGCTCCCTTCCTCGATCCGGTTGCGGTTGGCTTCGAGCTCTTTAAACGCAGCTGGGCACCCGTTGTTCTTGAACTGCTCTTCCAGGAGCCGGGTCTGGCGCTTCATTTCATTCAAAATCTTCGCCTGCCTCAGCGATATTCGGCCTCCTTGTTGCTTCTCTCGATTCGGCTTCTCTCGTTTCATTTTATCCGCGTCCAACTGCTCCCGCTCCCGTTGCAGGCGATGCGTTACGTTCTGGAGACGCCGGCTCTCCTCTTTGAGCTTGGCCTCATGAGATTGCAGCTCCTCGGCTTTGACTTGTAGTTCTTCCTCCTTGTTCTCCATATTCTTCTCTCGCGTAGCCACCTCGTTCTCCCGGTCCTCCAGTTTTTTCTTGCGCTCGTCCACCTCTCTCGTGAGGTTGTTCATGTCTTTGTGCACATCCTGGAGTTTCTTAGCATGGCTAGCCTGCGCCTAAAGTAGATTGTCTGCGTGCGTGGTGACGGATTGCTTCGAAAAATTCAACTCAGTTTCCACATGGGCAAGTTTGTTGCGCAAGCCACTTGAAATCGCCTTCTCCTCGGCTAGTTGTAAAAATCGAATTCCGCAACTCCTTCGTCAACGCGATAGTTATATCGTTGTCTGGGAGATCAAAATTCCTGAGTTCGGTCAGCTCGTTTTCACCGGCTGCTAACTGCTCCTCTAATTTCCTTGAGCGCGCTTGCTCCTCCTCCAGCTGTCGAGCTCCTTTCTGCTTCTCTTCATCCAGCTTCTCTCGGAACTGCTGCAGTGCTTGCGAAATGGTATTTCAAGATGCGCATACCCCCTTCGCAAAGGGTGGGTCTGCAGGCTCCGAGCTGGGGCACCTTCCTCCTGCACGACCACGGGTGTCTGCGAGATTGGAGGCCCTGGAGCTTGGTCTGACGATGGCTGAGCCGCCTGGATGTCGCATTGCTCGATCGCCAGGCGCTCGGCTCTGCCACGTTGCGATAGCTTCGGCGAACCCGATCCAGCGGTCTGCGCGTGTGCGTCTGCTTTCAGGGCTTGGTCCGCTAAGTAAACCTCGTAGAACTCTTTCAGCAGCGCAGGCTCGTGACGCTGGAGCTCTTCTGGGTTGTTTTTGAACGCCTTGAATTGAGTCAACTTGCTCAAAGCCTCGTAGTCCAAGTCGTTGCCGCTGTTCCTAGCAGCTGTGTATTTCTCCGCTCACACACGCTTCTGGTAGTCTGCCATCTTGTAGTAATCACCTGCCTTGTGCCGTGGGCCTTGCCGGTGCTCGCCCTTTTCGTCTGCGATCTTCTTTTGTAGAGCCAAGCACGTGGACCGGAGCGCGTGCTTGGGTACCAGGGGAGTCGTCTCTTCATCGCGAGTTGTCGCCTCGTCCTCCGTTGCACTCGCGGCGCCCAACTCTCGCTACCACGGGGTAATAAATGATACACATCTTTTGAGTGATCTCGTCCCGTTGGATCCTTCGCCAGTCTTCTTGGCAGTCTTCCTCTGCTTACGGGGGCTTGGCGAAGTGTCTGGCCCCTCCCCCTTCTTCCGCTTCTGCTTGGCATTGCCGGTGGCAGGCGTGGTCTTGGCAGCGTTTGCTGGCTTGTCAGTGGGCGCGCTCGTCCGCTTTGTCGCTGGCTTGTCCGTCGCCTTTGCAGCTTTCTTGCTCCTCGTCATGGGCGCCTGGCGAGGAGCACCGCCAGCAGTTCCCTCGCTCTCTGCAGCCTGAGATCGCTTCGCCATCAGCATCACCATCAGCACTTTGCTGCAGTCAAGGTTCTTTGAGGAAGTGAAACCGCAAATCCTACAGTTGAAATAAATTGATGTGGACCAATTCGATTTAGAATCAAGAGGACTGTAAGTCAACGTTGACTTGGTATAAGTCGTTGTTGAGCTGGCTTCAGTAACAAGTGTCTAAGCCAGCGTAGACACTTTCCAAGTCGTAGTCGACTTGGTGACTCAATGAGATATGTACGAGTAGATGCACATGGTTGTCTTTACAAAAAGATGCAGAAGTGGTGAGATAAGCGCCAACACAAGAGTGGGTACGTCAAATTAGAGATTTACTGAAGCTACCAGTCACCTCTTCGGCATTGTCGGAGCACGTTAGCGATCACGCATAAACTCTTCCAGCGTGATGATGTAGGCGCTCGGCATATTGACGGTGGTCAGCTCGTTATCGATGTGCAACTCATCGACGGTGGCCACCTCGTTGTCGGGGTGCGGCTCCTCCGGTGCGTTGTGTCTCCAGATGTTGAAGTACTCCACGAAAGTGCGACCAGGGATAGCGTGGCCAACACAATTAGCTCGTTCCAAGAGCTGTGTTGCTTCCGACAGGCCCGGGGGGCATTCGAACGCAGCAACCGCAAGCTTGTCCGAGGGAATGTGCAGATCCTGATAGCGCTCAAAATCATCCATCCGAAGGTTGCAGTTGTCGACGATAACGATATCCACGCCACGGTCGGAGCTGCACCACAGAAGTTCTCTGCATTGTTCGTAGCAGCTTCGATGCGCCTCGCGTCGAGCACATAGGATCCTCCGCGCTGGAAGAAGAGGTCAGCTGAGCAAATCGATGCGCGGAAATCAACCGTTGCTGCGATGTCGTCGAACCTCCAAGATTCCGCTGCTTCTGATGTTGACCACATCATATCACCGACCATGTGTGAACACACATAAGTCAACATTGACCTGGAATAGTCAACATCGACATCTTGGCCGGACCAGTTGCGCTCCTGGACGATCTCAGCGGCGTGGGCGACCGTCGACCAGCATTTCGGCGAGCCTGGCCACAGCGTCACGGCGAGCCTAGCGGTAGCGGGGACAGCGAGAGCAGCACAACGAGCATAGCGGCGGCCAGAGTAAGGATCAGCAGCATGGCGAGCTTGGTGGCGGCCTTGGCGGCGACGGTCGATGCGAGCCGGGCGACGGCATAGTTGGGGAAGCGCGCTGGAGCAGTAGCTGGCGATTTTGGAAATTTGGTTTGGGATTGAGCGCGCGGAAACGATCTTCTGGCACGGGTCGCAGCGCGAGCGTGATTGGCCGCGAAATGGCTGGCCAATTACACGTCGCAAATTCAAACGATGGGGGCGCTGATTGGCGTAGATACCGGAGCGAACCCACGGGCGAAAATCTGCGTGTTGCGCGAACTCAAAGCGCAAGTTGGAAAAGCGCGCGAAAAGCTGTGTGTTGCGCGAAGCTTGATGGCTGAAGCCAGGCTGATACCACTTCGTGTGACCTTTGGATTGAGCCAATGCTGATTGGCTTTTTAGCTTCAACTTTAACCCTCGATAAGCACTCCGAATTATAGTAGTTATTGATTTAGTGATTACCTAATACGAGGGCATTTCTTTTGCAGTTCTATAGTAACTTACTTTTGCAAGTTCTTCTGCAACAGAAATGATGGCAAACGGTGCCTGAACGTCGCTCGCCTCGCTACCTAGGCCAGTGTGGTGTCCTCACAAAACGCGGTACCCGTAGAAATGAAATACCAACCAATGCGTGCACACGGTTTCTATAGGTGAGTGCTAGCACCATTGATCTTGTCCGTCGAAAAAGCTCTGCTTCTGGGTGGTCAAAAGCTCACGAGACAGCACACTAATTCCCTCCTGTTCCTCGACAACACTGATACAAATAGACGCCAGTGACTTCAGCGAGGAATACGCCGCGCTAGCTAAGAACACGGATGGATGCCCCCCCTCCTTTATTTTACTGCAATTTACTACATATAGGAACCCACACACCGTTTGACCTCCCGTGCCGCGCCACCGCGGCTCGCCGCCTCGCCCAGTGAGGTGCGTTCTGCGGTCCGAGGGTGGCTGGTATCGGTGGTATGGCGAAAGTCGAAGGAAATTCGCGTCCGTTGGCATTGGTGCTCCCGGGGCTGCATGGAGATGTCAGGCGTGACTTGACCAGCCCAACCACCAGTGCCGCACCACCGTGCATCGCTGCCTCCCAGCCGGGAGCACGGTGGCGCGGCACGGGAGGTCAAACGGTGTGTGGGTTCCTATATGTAGTAAATTGCAGTAAAATAAAGGAGGGGGGGGGGCATCCATCCGTGTTCTTAGCTAGCGCGGCGTATTCCTCGCTGAAGTCACTGGCGTCTATTTGTATCAGTGTTGTCGAGGAACAGGAGGGAATTAGTGTGCTGTCTCGTGAGCTTTTGACCACCCAGAAGCAGAGCTTTTTCGACGGACAAGATCAATGGTGCTAGCACTCACCTATAGAAACCGTGTGCACGCATTGGTTGGTATTTCATTTCTACGGGTACCGCGTTTTGTGAGGACACCACACTGGCCTAGGTAGCGAGGCGAGCGACGTTCAGGCACCGTTTGCCATCATTTCTGTTGCAGAAGAACTTGCAAAAGTAAGTTACTATAGAACTGCAAAAGAAATGCCCTCGTATTAGGTAATCACTAAATCAATAACTACTATAATTCGGAGTGCTTATCGAGGGTTAAAGTTGAAGCTAAAAAGCCAATCAGCATTGGCTCAATCCAAAGGTCACACGAAGTGGTATCAGCCTGGCTTCAGCCATCAAGCTTCGCGCAACACACAGCTTTTCGCGCGCTTTTCCAACTTGCGCTTTGAGTTCGCGCAACACGCAGATTTTCGCCCGTGGGTTCGCTCCGGTATCTACGCCAATCAGCGCCCCCATCGTTTGAATTTGCGACGTGTAATTGGCCAGCCATTTCGCGGCCAATCACGCTCGCGCTGCGACCCGTGCCAGAAGATCGTTTCCGCGCGCTCAATCCCAAACCTAATTTCCAAAATCGCCAGCTACTGCTCCAGCGCGCTTCCCCAACTATGCCGTCGCCCGGCTCGCATCGACCGTCGCCGCCAAGGCCGCCACCAAGCTCGCCATGCTGCTGATCCTTACTCTGGCCGCCGCTATGCTCGTCATGCTCCGCTCGCTGTGCCGGCCGCCGCCATGCTCGTCATGCTGCTCTCGCTGTCCCCGCTACCGCTAGGCTCGCCGTGACGCTGTGGTCGGGCTCACCGGAATGCTGCCCGACGGTCGCCTGTGCCGCCGCCGTGCTCGTCATTCTGCGCTCGCTGTGCCGGCCGCCGCCATGCTCGTCATGCTGCTCTCGCTGTCCCCGCTACCGCTAGGCTCGCCGTGACGCTGTGGTCGGGCTCACCGGAATGCTGCCCGACGGTCGCCTGTGCCGCCGCCGTACTCGTCATTCTGCGCTCGCTGTGCCGGCCACCGCAATGCTCACCATCTCGCCATGCTGCTGTCGCTGTGCCGGCCGCCGCAATGCCCACTCAGTGTCCACCAACTCGGAAACTCCGATGTCCAGCACATTGACCGACTCGGTCCAGTGCTCGCACCAAAAGCGCTTCTGCTTCCTAGCAGAGGTGGGTTCATGACTCGCCAATGCTCCGCCATGAGAGATGTGCGTAGCACCAAGGGTCTTCGACCTCCAATCGATCCAAGGCTCGTGGTGTTCCAGCCACGCCATACCAAGGATGAGATCATATCTCGAATCGAGGTCTAAGACCAGACAGCGTTCCACGCTATCAAAATCCAAAAACTTCACGCCCAGGTCCACAGGGACATTAGGCACCGTGACACGAGTGCCCATCGCGAGACGAATAGTGACGATGTCACTCCTGCGCGCTACCAGTGCCTCAGCATAAAGCTGACTTCCGTCCATCGTAGAACGCCGGGCGTAGTTACCCGACGCTCCCGAATCGATCAAAATCGGCCATGGCTTCGTGAAGCCCTTCACCCAAGCTTGGACAACTAGCACGCCCGGCTTGCATACACGTTCCGTGTTAGAGAGTACGGCTCTCTTCGGGGCTAAGTCCTGTCGACGTCCACCTCGCCGAGGCTCAATAGAACTTAGTTCTTCCCCAGTAAGCCGCCCCGCGCCTGCTGGGACTTCTCATTTCCCCGAGACAAACCAGAGCCGTGGTTCGAACTCGAAGAGCGGCTTGACGAAGCCTGGCGCTGATGGCGCACCGGACACCCAGCACGAAGGTGACGGGTGTCACCACAGATGAAGCATCTGCGGATACCGCGACGCTGCTCAGCAGCACGAAGCTCGGCTTCTTCGTCTTCAGCATAGCTGAGGTCCATGGGTTCCGGACTACTCGACGCGCTAGCGTAAGACGCATTCCACCCAAGTCTCGACGACTTAAAGTTGTGCTCCGCATTCAATGCGACGCTCACATCCTCTTCAAAAGAGCTCGGGTGGGCTCGGAACACCTCCGTCCTGGCAACGCCAGTGCGAAGG